GGTTTAGGGCTTAGGGTGTAGGGTTTCGGGTCGAAGGCAGTTTAAGCGGTTTAGGGCTAAGCGCTTTAGGGTTTAAGGCTCAGGGGTTTAAGGTTTTACGGTGTAGGCTTTACAGGAAACCTCTCCGAAGAAAAAAACCTAAACCTGTAAACCTTGAACCCTGAAACGCTAAACGCGGGAACCTACAAACCCAAAAACCCTGATACACCCATCCCGAATTCGCAAGTCTGCTCCGGTGCCATGGCATTATTGGGGTATTTAGTTTAGGAGTCTGGCAGTACATGTTACTAAAGCTTCGGTGAGCGTGTAATAGTAGGATTTCAGTTTTAGGGTTTGGTGGAGTGTGGGGCTTGTTGGAGAGCAGCTTTCGTCATAAACCTGGAGTTTAGGGAGAACAGTCCCCCTGAGACCCACATCCCATTCCCTAGCACGCCATCTAAATTGAGTGGGAAGATGTTGAAGCATGGTCTGTGGGCACGAATTGGCCAAACGCCCAACGTAACATGAGTATGAGCTTAAGTCCCGATCCCAACCCCCCAGCCCCCCTTGCCCCTTCAACACCCCTGAACCCTAAACCAACAGCCGCAGTCTGAATACAGTGGGCCAAGATGCCCTCAGTTGCCGGTGGTGCATTCGTCCGTCTGCGCCATGGCCTACCGAAGCCCGTTTAGGGTTGATGGTTGCAAGACCCAGCTACTCCAATATTCCTTGATTAAGGAATATTCCTTAAATCATAGTAGGGTTCCAATTATAATTTGAGGTATATTCCTTAATAAAGGGATATTGGAGTCTCTGGGACCTGTAAAATTAAAATGGTGCTCATGCTCCGAGCAAGGCCTTGGGCTGCAATTGTAGAGTGGAGGGAATGATGACAACCCATTTGGCAGTTTCCGAAAATAGGGGACCCTAATATAGTACCCTGAATAGTAGGATCCTTATTATAAGGGCCCCAGAACAAGGTATCCCCAATTTTCGGAAGCTCCCATTTAGCAGGGGCATTAAGAGTTCTACATCCCAAAATTCTGACCCTTGAGTGTGAGGTTTTGAGCAATCGGGACTGGGGTTTGGGCCGCCACCACCGCGGTTTAAGGTTTCGGGAGTTTAGGGTTCAAGGGCTTGGTGTTTGGGGTTTGAGGTTGAGGGGACCACCATCACCAACAACATCACCAGCACCACCTTGCGTTGGCAGCGACGACTACTCGGCGCTTCTACTACTAGCAGCAATGATGGCTCAGCGTTGACATGATACTGCCGCCGTTGCCAGAACCATGACCGCACGAGCAATGAAACTATGTGTAACTACACCTCAATCTCTGCCATCATATCTATCCGTAAAGAAATGCGCACAGACCGCGTGCACAGTCACGAGTAGGCTGTGTGCGCAGGCAAACGCCGCATGCGATGGACATATACATGTATCTATGAGCTTTGCATATGCATAATACAAAAACCGAGTACACAAACATATAGTCAGACAGTTATCAACAAGCATTATATCTCTTTTCTGCACGTTTACATTGCCGAAACCACAGACTTGTTATCACTGTCGGCTTCATGACGAGTGCAATCACGAGGTGATGATGGTGGTGGTGGTGGTGGTGATGGTGGTGAAGAAGAAGAAGAAGGGGAGATGCGAGGCACACCGGCCTCTTCTCAGCAGGATCTCTTTGCAACCGGCAGCAATACACTTCACCCTAGCTTGAGCCACAGCCAGGGTCGTTGCGAGTACTACACCTAGGTTCAGGGTAAAGTGTTGGCTTGTCGACTTCATCGACAATTCGAAATTTGGCTCTTGCCTTAAGCCCTAGAACCTCGAACCTTTGATTTGATACCCTTCTGTCCAGTGCTATTCGTCCTTCCAACATCAAAGATGCGGCAGCCGAGCACAACGGTTACGGGCTAAGGATTAGATTAATTAGGACATTAGCGTCAAGGTTCCATCAGAGCTTACAAGAGCTGGCTGATAGGGGGTTTATCTGGTTAGAGGGGATATTTCAACCTGCTACTACATTGGACAACATGCCAAAAGAAGCAGCCGAAACCGTGGACGTTAAAGCCTATACCTGCGCGGGGTAAGGTTCAGGATTTCGGGCGGCTTAGCAGGCTTGGCATTTTATAGGATTTAAGAACTTGGCGCAGGGTTTAGGGTTGTTTAGCGTCTGGGAATGTGGCTGGTAGGTTACGCACCTCCACCTGCAGTAAGAGCCGCCACCAGGTGGCCGTGTAGGTATGTTCCGGGCCTACGAGAAATTTCCTTTTTCGAAGATCCAGAACCCCAAACCCTAAACTCTCAACAACCCTAAACCCTAAACCCCTAAACCCTAAACCCCAAACCCCTAAACACTAAACCCCGATGCTGCAAGGAGGACTTTGCCCTGAAGCACTTAAGCTATCCCAAACAGTTAACCGTTAACCCCCAAAGCCCTGACTCATGGCCCTACATCCCAAACCATAAACTCCCTAAAGTACCCAAAATCTTAACGGGGCCCTGAACCGTAAACTCTTTAAAGCCCCAAAGGTGGTTTAGGGTTTTATACGGATTCTACACGCCAAAGACCTGAGAGGTGGCCGGGGTGCCCTTTCGTTCGCAGCTCCGCGTCCACGTCCGCAAATCGATTGTTGCTGGGGAATCTCTGCTGCTGCTGAAAAGGCTCCCACAGAGTGAAGATTAGACTTCAGGGTTTATATATAAACCCTAAACCCTAAACCCTAAACATAAGGGTTCAGGGTTTCCAGGGTGTCGGCTTGAAGCTTTAGGTTGAAGTCTTGATCGGTACGCGTATCATCAATCTCGGTGTTTATTCTACGGTTCTGCTCTTGACTACAAACTAGCACCCGAAACCCCCTACCCCTACGACCTTAAAGCTGACATAGGATAAGAAGCTAGGACTACCAACACGGAGGCTGAGCCTTAGCCTGAAACGAGCTGATACAGTCTGGGTCCTGACGCATAGACATTTGGAAGCCTTCACCAAGCCAAGCCACATCTCTGTCGACCTCAACCTACCCTCACCCAGCCACTCATCTGACTGCAAATGCTTTAGCTCAGAGCTCGAAAATATCGGCGGCCATGCGGAACCCCGAATTCCTAATGTAGGGGCCTTCAAGTTCAAGGGGGAGATGGCCTAAATCCTAAACCCTACGCCCTGAAGCCCAAGACCCTTAGCCCTAAACCCTAAAAGATCCTCTTTGGCTACCTAGACCCTAAGCCCTAAATCCAAGACCCTTAGCCCTAAACCCTAAACCCTAAAAGATCCTCTTTGGCTTTTAGTTTCGGGCCAGCGGCAGAGAGCCCTGACCGCCCATCCGGGTTCCTAGAAATCTCCAGTGCTCCAAGAAGCTCGACACGGGGCCGCAAGTCTGATCTTGATGTATGGGGGCCTTAATAGTTATTATAGGGTTCCTTTAAAGGGGTCTATACGGGTTACTGATGGTTACTGTAAGGCAATATAATATATAGAGGCCTTATAATTATCAGATAACGGGTTCCGGGGGTAACCCCAAACCCTATTCTGATTATAAAAGCACCCATCTCAGAGCTTGGAGTGGGGATCGGGCATCTTAAGCTTCGGGATGTTGGTACCGGCCCGCTCGTCTCTTTGGCTTGCCTGAGAAAGAACTTCAGAGCCCCGACGACATATGAGGACCACCTCAAAACGGACTCGCGACTTTAAGAGAACCCGGTACATCAGGATGAAAGCCTAAACCCTAAACCCCTAGAAACCCTAAAGATAAAGCAGATGCCAACCTGAAATCCGAAACCTCTTTGTCTTTAACCCTAAGCCCCGGCGCCAAAGCCCCGAAGTCCCACGAAGCCCTAGGTCTGCCTTGAGGCCTTGAAGGGGCAAAGGGCGCTTGGCTTGCTGCCATACTCAGAATTCTGACGTAAAAACCGTTACTATGACCGGAAATCAGGGTTCGGTGTTTGAAGGTCTTTTGGGCTTTGAAGTTCCATAGGTTTGAGGTCTACTGAATTTAAAGCTACACCCGTCACCCGTCACCCCTCAGCCTTGTCTACAGACCTTTAGGGTTCCGGGATTGATGGTTCAGGGGTTTACGATTTAGGGGACTTGGGCTCCCTCACTTCTTGGAGAACTGCCTTCGATATGCTCATTACGAGGAGGACACTGGCCCACTTTGTGGGAACTTTCGATCCATCCTGCCATCCTACAGCCGACATCTTAAACTTTCAGCCCGAAAAGTCGCAACTAAAAGCACCTATATAGAAATCCTTGCGAATTCGGGCCCTTAAAGGACACCTCAAACCCTAATCCCTTGATAACTTTTAGCCCCCAAAGAGTCGCAACCACAAGTCTAAACTCCCTGAGCCGATGACAGGTGAGCCGACAGGCATCCGATAGCCCAGAAGATGCCCTTTCTAGGATGCCCAGTAGCCTAGGAATAAAGAGGGCCTCCCTTTTTTGGTACTGGGTAACTTTATTTACGAGGAACCTAGGTATGTAAAGGGAAAAAGAGGGCCCACTGGGAGGCCTGCATTTAGGGTTTAGGGTTCAGGGTTTAGGGATGCCCTGAAATTGACTACGACTGTTTTGGGCTCAGGGCAGATAAATAAGCTTGGGGACAAGGGCTTATAAGTTACAAGGGCTGAGCTCAGGCTCAGAAGGTCTAGGTGTCAAGATTGGGAGAAACTTGAGCCCGAAAATCTTGAATGCTAACCTCCGAACCCCTAAAGCTTTAACACCCGAGGCCTTTAACTATACGTACATCAACAAAGAAGCACAAGCAAATGCATACGCATAAGCACACACACATATACATATATGCACACACACACATGTAACCAGATATACTACGTCTGCATGTATGTCAACCCTACAACCTCAAAACCTATACCCTGAACCCCTAGACCCTAAACTTGTAAACCCTGCAACCTCAAACCCTAAACCCTGAACCTTAATTAAACCCTAAAACCTCAACCGTAAACAATCAATCCGTATAAGTTCAAATCTTAGGAATCTGCTCAGAGGCCGGCGAAGTCCTCACCGAAGCCCCTCAGGCCGGGAAAGATGTGTTAGATGTGCGTATATACATATACATATACCAAAGCATGTGTGTGTATATATATATATATATATGAAGATAAATATAGATACCAAATATAGACATATACATAGATATATACATGTACAAATACGTACATAATTCTACATACGCTTACACACACATATGTATATATATATATATATATATACTACATACATACAAATACATATGCACATACATACACATATAAACATACACGCACACCGAGTTAAAAAAATAGTGAGAGAGAGAGAGAGAGAGAGAGAGAGAGAGAGAGAGAGAGAGAGACAGAGAGAGAGAGAGAGAGAGAGAGAAAAAACAAAGAGATAAAATTGGGTTTTGTAGGGCTTCGTTTGCCTTTTGTGCGGAATGGTGAAGGCGTTATGCATGCTTCAATTCTTGCTTTATTCGGTTGTACGAACGCCTTGTCGCGTTTTGGAGCTTAATTAATTCACCTGGTATTCCGAGGGGCATATCGGGTATTTTTCTTACAGGGTGTGATGAGGGTTTTGCCAGGGTCGTAGACTCCAAGAGTATCTCTGGCGTGCTTTCAGAGGCTTGTTGGTTCTGCAGAAAGTGAAAGGTCCTTTTTGGCCACATTGAGAGGTCGTCACAATGCTTTGACCGATGTGTTTTCCACCAGAGCGGGCATAGCTTCGTCGTTTATCCGAAAATGCTATGTCATGCGAATGCCCTCGCCCTGACCCATGAATCCTAAACCTGCGATACTGGCAGCCTGGCAGCAGCAGGTCATGAAGCAAACGATCCGAAACTGTGAAGATGCCTCAAGGTACACTTCCTAGGAGTTTTCGGGCTCATCTGATTTTGCAGACACATTCTTTAGCAGGCCCGTGTTGCCATGGTTCCTAAAGGCGCGGGGTTACTGCTACCACAGGATTGATAAGAGCCTGCGGATTCCACTTGGCCGAATGGGCGTGTTGTCGCGCGATGGGGCCCAATGGGGCCTGACAGGGGCACATGGGAAACCTTTTAGGCCCCATTGGGCCGCAACACGCCCCGCTCGGCAAAGTGCAACCCACAGGGGTCCCCTCCACAGAACCCCTTATCAACCCTGTGACATTAAGTTGTTTAAATCGCCCGAGCCCATAACCCCGACGGCGATAGAGCAGTGCCAAATGCCAAGAGCTTAACCCCCCTAACTCAAACTGACCGACTAAACCCGAAAAAAACCTGAAACCCTAAACCTTAAACCAAACAATTACCTTTGGCTAGTAGGGAATGGAAGGATGGTAGTTATACTTGTACCCCACGCCTCCATTCCCTACTAACCAAAGGTAAGAAAACCCAAAGCTGACCGACCAAACCCGAAAAACCTGAAAACCCTAAACCCTAAACGCAAAGTGAGGGAAAAAGGAGGGACCCTTAGTGTGGACCCCTACCCTATAATAGGCTATATAATGGGTATCTAATAGCTATATTGAGGGTATATACCTAGGGGTCCTTATTAAGGGTCCCTCCTTTTACCCTTTCACAAAACCCTAAAACCTTAAACCAAAAACCCGTAAACGTCGAGTAGGGTTTAGGGTTTAGGGTTTAGCGTTTAAGGTTTAGGCTCTCTCGCTGGGGATGAGGCCTGCATGGCCGCCTGAAACTCCTCGCGCGAGATCGCTCCATCCTTGTTCACATCGAGGCGGTCGAAGAGGTCCTTGGGGAGAGCTCCATTGCAATAGGGTTTAGGGTTTTAGTTTAGGGTTTAGGGTTTAGGGTTTTGGGTTTAGGGTTTTATAGGGTTTCAGAGCTCCATTGCAAATAGGGTTTAGGGTTTAGGGTCGTTTAGGGTCCTTGGCGAGGGGATTTTAGGGTTTGGGGGTTTACGGATGGAGGTTTTGGGCTTTTGGGTGTTGGGTATGGCTTTAAGGAAAGTTTAGACCCGAAGCCCTAAACGTCTAAACCCTAAAGCCGAATCCCCCCTAGGGGGCGAGTTTCCGTACGGAAGGGGCCCTAAGAGAGATCCCGTAACGTCGGAAGCTTCTGATAAAGATGCAGCCATGGCTCCGACCCAATTCTTAGGATGGAGTTCTGGGGCACATGTAGGTTTAAGGAACAGCCTTTACCCTAGACCTTTAGTGACCCGATCTCTGGAAAACGCAGTAGTCTTGGCTTCAGTCATGGCATGCAAAAACATGCTAAGACTAGTGGCAACTAAAGCACTCGTAGGAGCAACAGTAGTTGTCCTCGTCGCAGTAGTCGTCGTCGCAATAGTTGCAGTAGTAGGAGTAGTAGTAGTAGTAGTAGTAGTAGTAGTAGTAGTAGTAGTAGTAGTAGTAGTAGTAGTAGTAGTAGTAGTAGTAGTAGTAGTACTAGTACTAGTACTAGTACTAGTACTAGTACTAGTACTAGTACTAGTAGTACTAGTAGTAGTACTAGTAGTAGTAGTAGTAGTAGTAGTAGTAGTAGTAGTAGTAGTAGTAGTAGTAGTAGTAGTAGTAGTAGTAGTAGTAGTAGTAGTACTAGTAGTAGTAGTACTAGTAGTAGTAGGGTAGTAGTCGTGGTCGCAGTGGCATTCGTATCTAGAACACCGTCAGGCCGCTGAATCATTCCAAGACTCCATCCCAGACTGCGTTCCTGCAACTGTCTGCGTCTGCACCGGGAAGGAGGCGACAGATCGTACCAAAGTCCTTGCTGGCGCCGTTAGGGAGTTTCAGCATTTTTGTTGGTACGTTGACTGTCTTCATGGACTTCATGGCTTAGATTTATACATGTAAAGAGACAAGAGAATAGGGTTTCACAAATTCAGAAAATCTGGTTTACATAAACCCCAAAAAGTATTCTACGGCCGAAACTCTACAGCCGAGAAGTGCCAATACAACCCCGAGACAGACCAGAAAGCTCCCTGAATAAACTTTGCACCAGCAGGCGGGGCGGTGGTGACCATCTGCCCCGTCGTGACAACAGCAGGCCTGGGCTACAGAGCTGAGGTTTTCGGTTCTATGGCGTCGGGTTTAAGGTTTAGGGTTTAGGGTCTAAGGTTTAGGGTTTAAGGTTTAGGTTTAAGGTTTAGGGTTTCAGGTTGAGGGTCTGAGGGTGCTGACTTCATTGTGCGCTTAGGCCTCGGGCATTGTAAGGATGGTGTCTTAGGGCTCAGGGGCTGAATACGATAGGGTTTCTTTAAACCGGGGCCTATAAGGGATACTTAGGGATCTATTGCAGGGGCCTTCATAACCCTAGGGGCTGAGTACCCTAGCCCAAAATGTAAAGCTTTCAAACTGCGGTAGGTTTCTCTGAACCCAAAAGGTTAAAGGTTACCTACTCAGCTACCAAGCCTTATTTCCAACGGTAAAAGGAGGGACCCATAATAAGGACCTCTAGGTATATACCCTTAATATAACTATTATATACCCATTATATAGCCCATGATAGGGCAGGCGTCCCCATTAAGGGTCCCTCCTTTGCCCCGTTTGATTACAGGCAGCTTCCGGGGTTTCATGAGGGTTGTGCTCTGAGAGATTCGCGGTGTCTGCACGTGTTCTCAGTTGTATTGTAGGATGATGGTGTTTGTAGTATTAGTAGAATTCCTAGTATTAGCAGTCCCTAAACCCTAAACCAGTGTTCGTAGTATTAGTAGTATTATGTCAGTTGAGTGCTCATGGTTTACGGGTCAGGGCTCTGAGGTCTAAGGGGGTTTCCTCATTAGGGCTTAGGGCTTTAAAGGGTTAGGGGCTATGGGGCTTTGGGGTGTAGGCCTTTATGGTTTAGGGTTTCAGGGCTTTAAGGCTGAAGGTTTAGAGGGGCAGTTCTGACTTCGGCTTCGGGTTTGGGGGCTCCCAGAAACACCGGCAAACCTTCAGAAAAGATTCGAAGCTTAGAGGCTCGCTCAAGGGCAGTCATAAGGAGCTCATCCAGCTCCAGCAAGCTAATAAAGAATGGATAATTACCAGTACTAATTGCTATGCTTGGTCTGTCGTTTATGATAGAAGGGAAGCCCAAACCCTCTTCTATTTAGCAATGCTCTCATACTATGTCGGTGTATTTGTGCTGCATTTGAAAGAGACGTTAACCCTCCTTAGTGGATCATGAGACTTAGTAAGTAGGATTATCAGTACCTTGGCTATCAGTACCTTAATTACGGTTATAGGAGATATAGCAAAAGTTACGCTATTAAAAACCCTAATAACTAAGTCCCGTGATCCTCCAAGTAAGCTCTACCCCCACAATCCGATTTTGCTATTGTGCGGATGGAGCAGGGTCATCATATATGGACCGTAGGGCCCTCTTTAGGCATTGTTTTTGCTCCTTTAGGTTTCAGGAGAGAGAGAGAGAGAGAGAGAGAGAGAGAGAGAGAGAGAGAGAGAGAGAGAGAGAGAGAGAGAGAGAGAGAGAGAGAGAGAGAGAGAGAGAGAGCGAGGGCGAGAGAGAGAGAGAGAGAGAGAGAGAGAGAAGGGGTGAGGGTGTAGGGAGTTTGGGTCTAGAGGCTTCCCGTGGTTCAAAGAGAAAGAATAAGATTCGGGTGTGGAGTTAAGGGGGCTTAATTTTAGGCCCCAGGCGTACATGTAGTTAAGAATATTGCAGTTGGGTTGTAGCCCTAAGCCCTAACCCTGAAGGGGTTTGGTGTTAACCCAATACATCTCTGAAAGAAACCCCAGGTCTGTTCCGGAAAAACACTCTGAAACCTTCCAGTGCTTTCCAAAACTCCAACACCCTGAACAGAAAGGAATACCCCTTAAAGCATGATAGGAAACCCAATATGGTTTAAGATACTTTTCTTGATTAAGAGGGTTTCGGAGTCCCTGTGATTGCGCCAAACGGCTCAGCTGCGGCGTACATCTGCCCTTGTGTCACCACCGTCGCAGGCCTGGAAATGTAGTTTCGGCAAGACTTGGAGAGTTGCAGGGCGCAGTAAGTCGGTCATAAGTAGAGTTATCAGTACCCGAAAAGGGATTCTAACCTGGACCTTGCCTAAACCCTGAACCCTCGGGCGCTCTACACTGACCCCAAACCACAGAACCCAAACCTGCAACCCTCAAACCCCAAACTCGAAACCCAAAAAACCCTGAAGCCGTAAACCCCAAAGCCCAAAACCCAAAACCCTGAACTCAACACCCCGACAAGACCGCTTCTGCCCAAACTCCTTGAAGCCTTGCTTGTCCGCTATCCCAGGGGAAGTAATTCAAGGTTAAGCTTTCAGGTTTTATGTAATTACAGTACCCCAAACAGGCTCAAGGTTACCTACTCTACTGCCAGGACTCTCCCTAAACCATAAACACTGAACCCCTGAACCCTAAATCCTAAATCCTGAACCCTAAACCTTGACCCCTAAAACCCTAAACCCCAAACCCTGAAACCTGACCCCTAAACCCAAAGCATTCAACCCTGACCCCTAAGCCCTCCGCAAGTTTGCTCCGAGGGGCTGAGCTGCCCCGACCATGTGCCCCGTCGTGACGATTCGCGAGGGCCTGCCCAGTGCTTTGAGGATCATGGGACTTGGTAAGTAGGGGTACAAGTTTAAGGTTTAGGTTTTAAGGTTTTGGCTTTAGGGTTAGTTATAAGTACATTAAGACAAAGTTATAAATAGATGTAACTATAGTTACCTCACTTACTTCTGACCCTACTTACGAGGTCCACCGATCCTGCAAGTGGGGCTCTGGGGGCCCAGGATTAGAGGGTTCAGGGTTCATAGGGGTTTAGTGTCTTGGGGTTTCAGGGTTCAGGGGCACCTGTAAGCCAAGAAGCCTAACTTTTCTAAGAAAACAGGTGGCGATAGCTAGCGAATCCTAAAGATGTACGGCTTTTTGGGGCCGCAGCTTTGCTAGTGTTTCAGGGTCTTGGGAGAACTGCTGGGGGTAAGGCCGAGACGTGAAGGGTTTAGGCTTTACTTAGAGGATCATGGGACTTAGTAAGTAGGATTATAAGTACCTTAATTGGGGTTATAAGTAGATATAACTACAGCTACCTTGCTTATAACCCTACTTACTGAGTCCCTTGATCCTCTGAGTAGGCCTTAGGGTAACCTGAAACTCTAAACTCTGAACCCTGACGTCCCAAGGCCATTGAATAAGCCTGCGGAAGAGGTTAAAATCATAAGCGAAAAAACCTCTGCTACTAGACTTCTAGATTCAGCCTCCCCTATCACACTCCGAAACTCTAAAAGGCTCTGAGGCTCTAAAGCCTCGAACAAGCCGAAACCCTAAAACGGATCCGAAGCTCTGTGCCAAGCGACGGAGCTGCAGCGACCATCTGCCCCGTCGTAACGACTGTCTGGGTCCTGCGTAAGAAGGGTCTGGCATTTCTCAGGGTTCCAGGGTTTGGAATTGAAGTATGAGTATCGGCCTTGAGAGTTCTTGTTCTAGGGTTTCCGTCGAAGGACTGACTCAGTGCTTAGATTCGCTATGTAGTCTGTAGTGGCTGCTAGTGATGTTGGGTTCAAGCGGTGCGTGCGACCCAGCCGGATATGGAGCAGGTCCTTCAGAACAGGTGTGAGGCAATGTTGCAGTAACCCGCGACAAAACACCAGCACAAACACACACACACACAAACCCAAACACAAACACAAACACACACACACACACACACACAGACACACACACACACACACACACACACACACGCACACGCACACGCACATGCGCACATGCGCACGCACACGCACACGCACGCGCACGCACACACACGCACGCACACGCACCCGCGCGCACACACACGCACACACACGCAAGCACACACACGCACACACACGCACACACACACACACACACGCACACACTCTCTCTCTCACACTCACACTCAAGTAATATGTGTGTGTATGTATGGGTATACATGTGCTAGTAAACTCATATTTACATACATATGACATCATGTACATATATAGTTACAAACGTAGCTCTCCATAGAAATATATCCATATATATATATATATATATAATATGTATATATACAGAAGGGTCGATCCTGGGGCCTGCGTTTGTGTCCAGAAGGTCTCTCTCTCTCTCTCTCTCTCTCTCTCTCTCTCTCTCTCTCTCTCTCTCTCTCTCTCTCTCTCTCTCTATATATATATAGGTTATATAGGCAGATACAAATGCATGCATGCTCACCCATAGGGGAGCCCTACGTCCTCTCACTACGACTCCCAGGTATCGAGGGACAAAGCAGAGACAGTAAACGTGGGAGGAGATTTCAGTCCATATCCGATAACCGGAACCCGTGGGCTGTGAACTTACCTAAATGTGACTCTGAACTGGAAACAGCCGCACCTCATACTCCCTACACAGCTATACCACTTAACCCCAGTCGAGTTTTTGGGCTGTCAAACACTACAGCTCTAGAACCCTCGTAGTAACCCACCTATCCTAGTTGTATAGGCCAACATGCAAGATATCCCAAGCTTTGTGCTAAGGGGCGGAGCTGCGACCATCTGCCCCGTCGTGACGACGGTCGAGGGCCTGTGATGTTGGAGTCTAGGGGGTTTTAGAGTTTAGGTCCTACTGTTATGTGTTAGAGGGCCTTAATGAGTCTCGAGAATGGTTTCGTGAGGTCTTCAATTTCACAGAGCTTGGATTCCTTCCTTCAAGGGCTTTTTAGGGTTTGATCAGGGGTTGATAGTTCTAGGGTTTAGGGTTTTTGGGGTTTAGGGTTTGAGTCAGGGTTTAAGGGTTTAGGGTTTAAGGGCTTAGGGCTAAGGGAGCTTGGAACTCACAGAGGCCTCGGGATTAGCAAGACCGAAACGTGCAGGAACCCTGCCATCGGCCCGAAATCCTAAATTCCTGCACCCTAGTAAAGAATCATAAAACCCCAAACCCTAAACCCTACATCCTGAATATGCGCACCACTGAAACACCTGATGGAGAGCTCGAGGGAGCTTGGAGCTTGGGAATCGAGCTCCTGTCTTACTTGGACCGCTTATATATTATTCTCTGCGGCTCGGCTACGGTTTAGGATCATCTGTTTGTATATGTATGCATAGACCCGTGGTTTACAGACCGTAAACAATTTCGTTAAGCACCATGATAATCAAAACCATCTCGCGACCCTTAGGGGAGGAGGGTGTATCCTTTCATCATGATTCTGCAAATATGTCCTAAGCCCTGAACTCCGACTCAAATCGGCTACAACATCATAACCCCAAACCAATAACTTACTCCATGGTTGGGACAATCTGAACATGTCCACTCCTACCCCTTAGAAGATTTGAGTACCCATAAACATGCAAAGTGTTACCCAACAATGACAGAGTTACCCATAGAATATTGCAACTGAGCTAGAACCCCCGGGTGCCCTCAAGACTCCACGAGCCCTGCAACTGACGCAGGGTCCAGCCTTGCAGCGTATGTCCTGTCAGAGACTCTACATCGAGGATTTAGGGTTTAGGGTTTAAGTAGGGTTCTAAGTAAGGCATCTCTGGCTGTAGCTGCTTAAACCCCTGATTCAGGTACTTACAACCCGACTTACTAAGTCCCATGATCCTCTGAGTAGACCCTAAACCCTAAACCCTTTTAGTAGCCATATAGATCCCTTAAAGGCACCCATAAACATGACAGGTTGCCGGTTGTTGTCAACCCCACATCCTGCGCCGCTAATTAGTTTTCAGCTCAAACCTGCAGACCACGAACCCAAAAGCCCGAACCGCCCAAAAGCTGCAACGAGCTTTCAGCAAAGTTAAAAACTGATGCATGCTGTTTAAACTTTTCTAGCATATGGACAACTAGACATTGGGGTGTTGTGATTTTTGAGACGGTTTGGGGCTTAGGGTTTAAGCATAGAGTTTGAGTGCAGGGTCTCGGGTTTAGCGCTTCCCAGGTGAGATCAATGCCTCAAGCACCTCGCTGGAAGTTGTCGCGCAGCTCCGCTTGCTGGACAGGGAGGGAATATCTTTCTCTGCTCGCTGAGCTTGTTGCGTAAATGAAACCCTAAACCCTAAACCGTGCGACTGTCCAGGCCCAGAAGCCGCAGGTGGCCGTCCTCTTGGTATCTGCAGTTGCAAGGCCGCGACACTTGTCGGTCTAATCCCGAATTCCGAACCCCTGAGCCCTAAACCCAATCCATGCCTGGACAAGAGTGGCCCAGCAGCTCTAGCAAATGCAGTGCTTTGCTGCGTCAACACCCACACGATAAACGCCAGAAAGATGGAACCTGGATGTAGCATGAGTAGTGCCAGGAGCCCCTACTTGGGGGGTCGGGGGACTTAGTGAGTGGTTAGTACGGTTAGTAAGTAGACTTATAAGTACCCTAAAAGGGACCCTAATTGGGGTTATGGTACTTATAAGCCCCTAAAATAACCCCCCCATCATGTACCTTACCTAGAGTCTCCAATGTCTCCAATGTAGTTCCTTTTCTTGGCTTAACCAATTATATATTAAGGATCTTAAAATTTTAAAAGGTAACCCCAAAAAGGAACTACAATGGAGACTATAGGTAGGACTTGAGGATAATTATGTCCCAACTTTCTGGCTTCTACCTTGCTAAGTCTTGGGATGACGATCTGTCAGACAGGAGTTGGCAGGTTAGCAGTCAGTTTGCTACTTCGCCCAAACGGGTCTCGAAACGATTCGCCAAACTAGGAAGAGGCCTAAAGAAGTAGATTGTGGCGTCCTATCCACCTGTCTGAGCAAGATTGACAACACCCCGAATCGATTTCGGACTGTGCTGCGCCGCAAACATGCTCAAAGGGAGCCCCCGAAACGGCTTATGACCCGGAGCCCTATCGCCGGAATGACCCTCTATAAGCAAAGCCATACGCATGTCTATTGACAATTCTGTTGCAAGCCCGCAAACTGGCAGAAAACGACACCTGCTTGAAAACCTAACCAGACCCTACAAAACATCCACTTGCAAGCTTAACCTGATAAAACCCCACAGCTTAAAACCTGCTTCAAGTTTAACAAACATGAACCAGCCGAGGCACATCGCCCCGGCAGCCATCTGCCCCGGTGCGACCACAACACTGGGCCTTCGAAGCGACTGAAGCTCTGGGACTTATTGTGGGTTTAGAGGTTTCCCCAAGGGTCCAAAGCATGCGATAATCAGGTAGTTGGGTTTAGGATAGTAGTTATGTAGGTTAGTATTTGGGGGAGTGTATGATTATGAGGTCCTTCGACTCTTTGGGTCTGGGCTGCAGGACTCGCGACGTTGGAGCTCGAGAGGTCCTGACTGCTTCACATGCTCTCGGGATCTAACCCCAAAGGGTCCAAAGTACCTAAATAGTAGCATGTAGGGTCTCTATATTTGGAATTACTATGATGATTTGGGAAGCTTTACCCCATAACAGTACCTATGACCCTTTGGGAACAGACGGCTCCCACCCGAAACAACGGGAGTGAGGTATTTTCTATCACCCTACAAAGCTCTGATCGAGCCTAAACCCGTTATATTGAACCGGAGACACAAAAAAACACAAAGCCCTTCCGACATTGAGGGCTCAGACAGGCTTTCATGCGCCGACTACAATTACAGGACCTGATAAACATATTTACCAGAGCGATGTCTGGCCTGCATGTGTCTGCATGTTGTGCGTTTCTGTTCTCGTCTGTCTCTGCCTGTTCGAGTTGGGGTTCCCGGTACTGGTTTTACTCCTTGTTGGAGCACAAAAACTTGAAGAACATAGCTGTCTCTTAGGGTTTATAGCAACCAGAAAAATTGAAAACAAAAAGGTTGCCCCTAAGGTACTATCCTAGTACCGAACTCACTACGCCTAGGGCCTCAGGCATCTCACCATAAACCCAAAGCCTGCTTTAAGATTTCAGGGCTGCGATGCCGAGGACTTAGTTAGGGCGATGAGGCTGGTTTCTCGAGTTTAGGGCCAACGGGCTTCAAGACCCCACCCTGCGGCTCACTTCATGCACCAAAACCGAATTCAAGGAATCCCATACAGCTCACTTCTCCTACCTGAAACCTCCAAGCACATGAGAAACCTGCGAAGAAGCCAAGGCTTAAACCGAAAACTGCTACGAAAGCTCTGACCACCCTGAACTGTGATGGCACCCTCCTAGAACTTTTCTGTCAAACAAACGAGGCCGTTCCGTAGAAACAAAACCAGCCCTAAACCCTAATCCCCGAAACCCCTAAACCCTGATCCCGAAACCCTAACCCTGGCAACCCTAAGCCCATTGTCTGCAAGGAGGTCGTGGCCTTCCGGTGTACGTCCTGTCATCTCATAGTAGCAGTGACAAGACTTAACAATCATAGCAAAAGTAGCAGTGATATATAGAAATATTGATAACGGTACTAATCGCAGTACTGCTTGATTGTTCAGTATCTCCGGGAAGAGAAAAGGTTATCCAAACATCATAACAACAATAATAGCAACAGTACGAACACGAGTACAAGTACAAATACTATAATAACAAGACTGCCAATACTACTGATAATCACAATAACAGTAAAAGGTCCAGGCAGGTCCAGCTGCAGGCCATGGGGTTTTGGGCATAGACCGTCACTCAAGAACACTATCCCTTACTCGCCCTTCAGCCCTAGGGACATTCCGGATCTCCAGTAGTCAAAAGGGCTTGTGGAGTCTTGCGGAATATGTCATCTAGATTCTGGACAACCGGGCAGGACAAGGGTGGAAGCCCACGGGCACTAAAAGTGGCTATGTATGAATGTATGTGTCGATTCAGGGCTTGGGGTTTTTGGGGGGTACGTGCGTAGAGATAAAGACTGCGCGGAATGCGTAGGTCACTGGGTACATACTAAGAGAGATCGAAAAAGCAAAAAGGCAGACCGTCAGACAGGTCAAAAGCTTGGTTAGACAGCTATGTAACTACAAAGGAGCACACACACGCAAACACACGAACCGAAGCACAGGTGTGCATACAAACACGAATACCTACCTACCTACCTGGCCACCTACCTGCCCACCTTTGCCTGCCGGCCTTCGTGCCTGCCTACCTACCCACATACATACATACATACATACATGCATACATGCGGACATACATACAAACAGCATACATATATTAAACAACGAAAGTACGTACATACATGCATGCATACATAAACACATTATGCATAATTACATGCATACCTGACACCTGTACACGTACCTTACCTGCCAGCCTACCTCCCTGCCTGCATGCATCCATCTACCCTCCCACAGCCAGCCATCCATCCATCCATCCCAGATACCATGAACCCCTATTCCAAAACCCAGAACCGGAAAGCCCACACCCAGATCCCACAAGCACTAAATCGCAAACCATACCTGCACCCGGAAACATGAAGCTTGCTGAACTATAAACCTCGCGTCGAGATGTCCAAACATCAGCCCGACAACCCCCCCCCCCCGCCTCCAAGGCTTACATGCTGAGCTTGTGCAGTGAAAAGACTTCTAAACCCTAAACTCCAGCGCTCTGTACCCTAAACTCTAGACCCTTAACTCCAAAACCCTAAACGCCAAACCCTAAACCCTAAAACCCGAAGCCCTATAAATTCCAGAACCCCAAACCCTAAGCCCTAAAGCCTAACTCCCCACGCCACCCACCGGCACAAAAACCGCGGCAGCAGCACGGGACCGGCGACACCACTTGCGAGGCCCTGGCTTTCCACTGAGTCGGGCGTACTCAGGGTTCCTTCTAAGCTCCCCTATATCAAGGGCTTCTTTAAGGGCCCCTTTAAGGGGTCTATGGGGGGTACTGTAGGGTTTAGGGTCTACTTATGGAGGATCAGGAAACTTAGCAAGCAGGGCCCTTAATTCAGGTATCCTTTGAGGGTTCCTCTAAAAGGCACTTTCAGGGTTTTAGGTTAAGGTGCTTGTAACCCTACTTATCCAGTCCCCTGAAGCTCCGAGTATGGGGGGCTCCGGGTGTAGGGTTGCGGAATTGACTTTAGGAATTCTAGCTTAACCTTATAGTCTCCATTGTAGTTCTTTCTTTGTGCATTTACATTGTAGGAGCCTAACCATTAAGTTGCTTAACCCAAAAAAGGAACGACCATGGAGACTACAGCAAGGGCTTGAGGGAGGGCTCCAAGTCTTCAAGCAGGGTTTAACGCCCAGGGGGTTGGGTGTCTTTGAGTCTACTTAGAGGATCATGGGACTAAGTAGGGTTTTAAAACTATGGTTACCTTACTTATAACCCTACCTACTAAGTCCCCTGATTCTCCAAGTAGGATTGTGAGCTGTGGCTGTTAGGGCTGTGCGGATTGGGGTTTAGGCATTAGGGCTTGCGGTTTCGGACTCTTAACTTTGGGGTTTAGGCACTGGGACCTACACTTCAGGATTTACGAGTGGGTGTAGCGCTGCATGTGTGGACTTGAACCCTGAATCTTAACAGTGATGCCATGACCGGTAGAAAGTAGGGAAGATCGGGGCTTGGCTTTGCGGGGTATCGCTTCACACCGCGAAGGGTCCAGGGGTGTAACCGTAGTCACTTCCTTGACGTTTATTTTAGGGTTTCGGGTTCAGGGTTTTCGGGTGGGTTCAGGGTTTAAGGTTTGGCAGGGGCTTAGGGTTCAGGGCACGCCGGTACCTTCGGCCAACTCAGACTCACCTTTGGATCTTAGCTCCTGAGCCCTGAAAAAAGCAGTGCGCTGACTTCCTGCATTCTACCCGTTTTACGGCTTAGGGCTTATATGGTTTAGGAACCCTAAACCCTAAACCCCGAGACCTGAGCTGCTCCAAGACTTAGCCCAGCCCCAAACTGTCCAGAGAAGTGTCATTCTTCGGCTCAGCTCGGTTTAGGGTTTAGGGCGCCAGATACTTCTTGGTGCTACTCCGACCACAACCCTAAACCCTAAACCCTGAACCCTAAACCCTAAACTGCTTCTTGAAGTCTTACAAGCTCCGGCAAACGAACAGAAGGTGACTCTCCCTATAAGCCACCGAAATAAAAGGTTAAACTTTCCGATTCCAACTTAACTATACGAACTCGAACAGTTTAAAGGACAGGTATTGGGATCTGAGAAGAAAGCCCAGACATGACAGAACAGAGCTCTCATCCTCTACTGGGCCCCTAAGCAACAAAAAGACCTTGATACGCAATAATACTTCTGGAAAAACCCTGAACGCACCAAAGCACATCTCAAGCACCGTGACCTCTACCCTAAACCCTGAATTACTCTAAACCCCAACCCCTAACCCAAGCCCTTACACCCGAAATCCCCAAAATAGATTGTAGGGGCCTTAATCTAAGAATAATCATGGATTTGGTCCCTTCTTACAACAAACATAACCCTCAAACCTTATTCTAGTAATTAAGGCCCCTGTTTTAGAAGGACCCCAACTCTCGGCAGGCCGGCGTCCGAACCGGTGCGGACACGGCCACAGACGCGCCGACTTGGATCCTAGTATTTGTCTTTCGCTTCTGAGATCATGGCTGCATGATGGGAATCCTAGATCTAGATGTGAATTGAGATTCAGAGCACCAGGACGGTGATATTCCGGCTTTTTGACGCTGCGTGCAGTGAGGATCTGGGACTGTTCTGGCTTGAGATGGCTTGAAGCTTGATTAGGGGGAATAGATAAGTTGTTCCGGTACCGGGCTTGAAGCTGGGGGGAGTCGAAGCGTGCCGTTTGAGAGCTGTGAACCGTACTTAAAGGATCAGGGGACTTAGTAAATAGGGTTATAAATAAGGTAACTATACTTATAATTACTTATAACCCCAATTAAGGGACTTATAACCCTACTTACTAAGTCCCCTGATCCTCTAAGTACCCACGGGATTGTGTAAAGTGGGGTTGGAGGTCACCGGAAACCCTCTCAGCATTCCCTGTAGTACTTATCTCCAACAATGCATGAAGCTGTCTCATCTCCACCCAGTGCACGGCATAGGTTCGACTTGAGCGCTGAGCAGTTCCCTGAAGACTACCCCCTCAACACTAAATCGAGAACCCACCTACCAAGTCACTCTATGTTTCCACTGACCTGTCCAGCGATCTTAGGATCTTGAAGCGTTCCCTCGGGATTTTATATAGGGCCTATACACTAGTGACTGTATGGTTAGGGTTTATAGGAAAAGGACTATATGAAAGTTAACTTCAGGTTCCTAAGTAGTAGCATCATGCTCAGCTCAACACCTTCCCTGCTCTTTCAAGCCCCAAACAAGCAAAATCCGAATTCCTAAACACCAAACCTCAAAAAAACCTAAAACTCAAGGCCCTAAAATCTAAAATCCTAAACCCCTAAAAACCCTCATGGCCCCTAAACCCTAAACCCTAAATCCTAAAACCCTAAATCCCTTCCACTGCCCGGCAAGTGGCGGGGGGCCCATGGCCACCGGCGGCCCTACAGCTACGGGAGGGCCGGTGGTCACCGAAGCGCCGGTGACGGGAGGGCCCCGAACCTCAGTGCTCTGTTCGGGCTAGGCTTTCGTGTTAGCGGTTTAAGGCTCTGGGGTTCTCAAGGTGCGGCCCCATGGAGATGCGGATTTCGGGGGGTTCCTTATTATCAACATAGTAAAATGGGCCCAAAACCCTATTCTAATTAATTATTAAGGCACCTATACTGAATCCTCATAATACCCCTTATAGACCCCTTTAAGGGAACCCATTTCTAATTATTAAGGCCCCTATATATGGTAAATCTCCAAGCCCTGGGCAGGAGGCCCCACGGCCACTGCAGGCCCAAGAACCGGCGGGCCGACGGTGATGGGCGTAGAGATCGCGCGGCTGTACCTGACGGCGGGGTCTAGGGTTTAGGGTTTGGGGTTTAGGGTTTATTGGGTTTAGGGTTTAATCGTTAGGAGTTTTAGAGGTTGGGGAGTTTGGGGGTTTAGAGCTTTTAGGGTTTAGGGTTTTGGGGTTTCGCTGCTTCGAACAAGGCGCACTGTAGAGGAGCTGACACATCTCTACTTCTTGCTTCAGAAAAATTTACATGACGCGACGTACTCTCGGTATCATGGAGTTTCCTGACATGCTCTGATTCACTTTCATGTGGGGTTTGCAGGGGACGGTCTTCTTGCGCAGTTGAAGCTTTGCAAGCCGTACAATGCCAACCAAGTTCCAGAACAGTTTAGATTTTACGGTTAAGGGCTTAGGGTTGCAAGCCTTGCAATGCAAGACGGGTTCCAGGACGTTCTGAAATGATGAATGTATTTCCAAGACAAACCAAACAGTTGCCAAAGGCTGATTAAACATTGGCAGTATACATTTTTGTTCATGGAGGTTGCCTGTATCACCATGCCGCTACCCGAAAATCGTGCTGTGGCAAAAATCCCCACTCAGCATTGAATCAGAAAACGAAAAACAAGCGAGTTATGCAGTCGCGGCTGGGATTTATCGTGGATTGTGGGCGGGGGGGGGGGGGGGGACATTTCGGCTTTACCACAAATAGAAGGAACGTTTACGGGTGGTCTAAGCTTGAGGGGTTATAGGTGAACGCATGGGGTGTTAGGGTTTAGGGTTGCGGGCCGTGTGGCTTGGGGTTTAGGGTTCAGGGGTTTAGGGCTTAGGGCCCCGGGCCGCGAATGTTCCTGCTACGCCCAAACCCGCAATAAATAACCCTAATATAGGTCGGTGTGGTGGTGCATTAGACTGATAATTGCTCCAGGATTCCTAAGTAACTCTTACCCCTAAACCCGAAGCCCTATAACCCTGAACCCTATAATCCTAAACTCTAAACCCTACTTGTAGTATTCTTACTACCCCAACAAGCCACAGAAACAAAAGGTTATTAAACCATAAGAACCCAAAAACTTTCAAGATCAGGCATTGGGGATCTAAGGGAATTCCCTGAACCCTAAACCCTAAACCACCCCCAAGGAAGCTTCGGCTTAGCTTCACTTGGGCACGTCTGCGGCGACGTCCTGGCGTGCTTCGGGCCACCCATCTATCCCAGACCCGCGGGAGGGTTGAGGCTAAGAGTTTGGGGTTTGGGGTTTAGGGTTTATAGGGTTTAAGCTTAGGGTTTAGGTTTTGGGGTTCAGGGTTTAGGGTTTAGGGTTTAGGATTTAGGGTTCAAGGTTTAGGGTTTATGCTGGTTAGGGTTTACAGAAAGGCCTGGAAGGATCCAACAAGTAGATCCCTTAGAGGAGCTCCTGTCAAGTACCCCGTAGTAGTAGAGGGTGCCAAATTAGAGGATCTAGTTTTAAGATCCTGCCGGGGGGTCTGGGTATTCGATTCGACATGCACAAAAGGAAGCTTCTCATTTTGGGATAAGGGGGCGAATCTGACTGAAGGAGGCTTTAGGTGAGGAGTCTCGGATTTAGGATCCAAGCAGGGCTTAGCATTCTCGGACGATGCTCTACCCAGTTGCTGAGTTCATGAGCCCCAAGAAATGTACACTTTCAGCTACATAGTGGGTAATATTATCCCAAAAAGTGTAAAGTGTATCCACTCAACTACTAAGTCTAGGTTTTGGAGCTGCAAGGTTGCACATGCTCTGTTCTGTATGCATACTATAGGATCCCCAGTAACCCAGGGATAAGAAGGGCTCCTCAAGCTGCAAAGAGCGATCATGTCATGGAGGGGGCCGGACCAGCTCAGCCTAAGAACAACCTTCTGGGTTGCCAGAATAAGAAGGGTTTCCTTTCGGGTGTTGGGTACACACACACACACACATTCCTCAAGCCTGAAGGCCCCTGATCCCTGTCACCCAGAGGGAGTTTCCGAAAATTAAGGATACCTTACTTTGGGGTCCCTATAATCAGCATCCTACTATCTGAGGGTGCTAGATTAGGGTCTCCTAAACGCTAAACCGTAAACTCCCAGATCTCCGCGAAGATCGAAGCCTGAAACTCAAACATGCCGGCCGAACACAGTGGGCATTGCCTCAGCAGTAAGGGCCCACACATGCTCGTGGGCTCATCGTAGAGGGAAGGTCCAAAAACTCGGAGAACTTGGAAGATATGATGATGGAGTTGAAGAGCTTGCAGAAAATAATGCGAGAATTCAGGGAATTATTGGGCTTCCCTGAAGACTTCGCATCTAGGATTTGGAGTTCAGCGCCTATATCCGGTAGGCTTTCGTGCTTCATTGGTCGCAGGTACGGGAATGACGCCCTAGCCTACTGTGAAGGCACTTCGGGTTGGATAGCGTCTTTGGGGGCATAGCCCTAAACCCCAAACTGACATGCTGGGCTCCCGACACTGGGCATCGCTGGCACGGACCCCGTGACTTGAAGCTCCTTCTGTACGTACCTGGGACAAGACTTTCCCGGTGAGGATTTAGGATTTAGGGTTTATGGTTATGTTAATATGTTGATCTTGACAACTATAATGTGATTCTGGGACATGCTATACGATAAGAAACTTCAAGGAACTTACGATGGCTGCATTGCTACGTAGAGGCTCAAGGGACTTAGCAAGTGGGGTTTATCAGTACCTGTATTCGGGGAGTAAGTCCTTCAAACCAGGTTCCCCAGTAGCCCCTTAATGATGAGGGCACCCCTTTTCCTACGGTTCGGGATTAACAAGGGAACCCTATACCCTAAACCCTGAAACGTTTGGGTTGAATCGGGGAACCCCAACAAAAACAGGGGCTGAAAAGATTTTCTTCCGAAGCCCAAGGATCCCTGAAGCAACGAAGGAGCTCAACGCCGCTTGAAGGAAGGAGCGGTCCACCAGTCAGTATAAGTAATATACGTTGGAGTGTGTGTACATACATATATATATATATATATACATATTCAGGTTTTTGACGCTGAAAAATGAAATCCATAATTATTTTTGATAGTCAGTCAGCCAGAAGCCCTGTATGGAACACCCACTTGTGGTAATGGGATTCGGCACGTCGGCTCAGAGTATGATGGTAGCTCGGGCTACCGGGTCTAGGGTTTAGGGGCGATTTAGGGTTAAGGCTTAGGGTTCCGACGTAAAGCTGCATGGCTACCAAGCACCACGGAGCCTTGGCCCGAGAACCCCCTACCCAAGACCTTGCACCCTACTTCAGACACCCTGAACCCAACAAAAACTCTTACCACAAGCCATCCCCAAACGACGAACTCCCAACACCCAAGCCCTTAACCACACCAAACCAAACCAAAAACCCTGGTATAGGGGCCTGAATATGCTGCGATTACAACATGGAACCCTGTGAACAGAAACTTTATACGCACTCAGGAGCATGTACAAAACCACGCTACCCTACGAGCAAAACAACCCTAAACTCCGAACACCATATTCCCTAAGCGCTCAACACCTAAACCCTAAACCCTACCTTAAGGTACCACAGCCGACTTGCCTGTAGGTTCTTATTTGTAAACTCTAACATGGAATTTCTAGGGACCCCAACAAACAAGTAGGTTGTGGTAGGTTAGGGTCCTTACAGGATCAGGGGACTTAGTAAGTAGAGCTAGAAGTAGAGGCACCATAGTTATATCTATTTATACCCCTATGTATTGTACTTATAGCCCCACTTACTAATTCCCATGATCCCCCAAGTAGACCCTAAACCCTAAAAACTTATACTACCCCTATAGATCCCGTAAAGGGGCCCTTAAAGTAACCCCACTCACCAAGTCCCATGATCCTCCAAGTAGGGTAAAAGGAGGGATCCTTAATAAGGACCCCTAGGTATATACCCTTAATATAGCTATGAAAGGTCCCTGAGGCTTCCAAAGACTGGGCTGAAACCTTGAGCCCTATAGGCTGCACACGCAATATAGCTAGTATATACCCACTATATAGCCCCATTGTAGGGTAAGGGTCCCCATTTAAGGGTCCCTGCTTTTCCCCTTTGACCCAAGGGAAGTCGCGAGGTCCCCGCTCCATCTCATACCTGGGAACTTCCTTCACGGCCTGAGGAGGCGAGAGAACCGGGCCCTGGTAGTTAGGTTTAGAGTTTAGAGCTCGAATTTCGGGTTTAGAGTTTAGGGTTTAGGGTTTCGAGGTTAGAGTTCAGGGTTTTAGAGTTTAGGGTTTTAGGGTTTCTGGTTTAGAGTTTAGGGATACTGTAATGGTATCTACTGACCGAGCGTTTGCATTACCCATTTACGTTCACAGGTGCTGGTAGGCTGAGAGTCGGAGTTGGGGTTATGGTTTATGGGTTTATTGTGTTCCGCGGGCTAGGGTTTGCGGATTCAGGGTTGAGGGTACACTGCAACGTAGTTGGAAAGTAGATTCATGCTATATTAGTACCCAAGATGCCAAGATAGGTTGAACTTCAGTACGTACGTCCTTCGGCAATTGCGTTGCCCACGAACTTTTGAGTGAGTGATATACTAGGCCGCCAAACTCCAATATCCCCCAAACCCCTCAACCGCACCTGCTGCGTCATCTCGTTGGGCATCTCCCGAATCGCTTCGGCGACCTGTTTTGAAGAGCGGGGAGTAAACTCTAAACTTCTAAACCCTGAACCCAAAAACCCGAAACCCCACACCGGGCACACACAGAAACCTCCACTGCAAGCTTCACTCACCCTCCCTGCCCACATGCTCGTTGTGGTTTACAGCACGGTCTTGTCTTCGGAATTCCTTGTGGTTCCTTTGTGCACTCTTGTCTGCAGCCACGGCCGATCCTACATCTGCCTTTACAGTAGAAGCCAGAAAGTTGGAATATCATTCTCATAATCCCTTTAAGGCAAAATATAGGGGATCCTACCATTAATCCATATTCCAACTTTCTGGAGTTCCCTTTATGGCCATCTGCACCCACGACTGCACCCAGGAGCCTTCGGGTTATGTAAGGGCCTTCATAATTAGAATAGGGTTTGGGATATATCATAGCATAAGTCTAATAAGGAACCCTCAATACCCTATTCTAACAATTAAGGCCCGTACATGATAGTACCCTTATAGATCCCTTGTAGAAACTAATAAGAAACCCTCAATACCCTATTCTAACACTTAAGGCCCCTACATGATAGTACCCTTATAGATCCCTTGTAGAAACCCTTATAGACCCCTTGAAAGGAATCCTATTCTACTTAATTAATAAGGCCCCTGCATTATCGAGGCGACTATCGATCGGCTGGGCTGAGCCGGCTGAGCTGGGCTCGACTGGGCTCATAGATCAGGGTTTCGGGTTTAGGGTGCGGCTTGGGTTCAGGTTTTGGGGTTTAGGGTTGAACCGCCAACCCTAGAACCCCTTCAGCCGCAAAGCCTGAAACCTTGGGCTTTGAACCTCACACCTTCCAGACACCCTCGGGAAGCTTTCGAATCCTAGCCTTGGAATTCCGAGAACAACCCAAACACGACCACGGGAAACAAAACGACATCAAACAAACAAACAAAACTCTGGAACAACACAACTCCAAAGCATCTGTGCCTGCATCAGCTATAAGTTTTAGAGAGAACAAATCCAAAGCACCTTTCAACAACAATAAGAATACCATAATACAGTATTATACACTGTAAACAAACAAACTAGCAAACGAACCGAGACATAACATCAGCAAGTAAGTGAGCGCCAAATCAATACATGGGAGTTTCCGAAAATAACGGGACACTAAAACAGCACCCTAAATGAATAGTAGGATCCTTATAAGGACCCCAAAATACGGTAGCCCTAATCTTCGGAAACTCCAGAATAAATCAATGCTATAATAAACTGAATTGTCCTTTAAGCCCTTTGAAAACTATTTACTGTTATGGTTCTCTACAAAGTAGCAGGGGAAATAAAAAAAGATCTCAAAGGACAACCCAGTAAACGAAACGGCCAGGTCCGGCCTGCACTTCGGGCACCTCCACGATGATTTCCTGGTGGAGCACCGTTGGCACCTCGACGACCTGGTTTAGGGTATGGGTGGTTGTCAAAATTATGCTCCCTTTTGGGGTCCCTATTATAGTACGGCACCTAATATTTAGGGTACCCAGAAAGGGACCATAATTTTGACAACTACCCGTATAGACTTTAGGGCCTAGGGTAGGGTTTAGTGTTCAGGGTTCTCTCAAACAGGTTCTGTCGAATCTACTACTGGCATTGCAAGAGTAGTATGAAAGAGCGTTTACGGGAGTGGTGTAACGCTAGAGGTGGTTTGAAGATTGCCGTAGGGTTCTTGAACAGCTTTCGAACGGTTTAAAGTTTAAGGAAAGATTCTGCAGCGAAGCTGAATATGGGGCTTTATCTGCTTTGCATGTGGCTTATGCAGCGTAGCCAGTGTGCGTTCCTGGCTTTACTTCTGAAGTACCTTTAACAAGGCTCAATCCTTTGGTGTATGGTTTGGGGTAAACGGTTTGGGGTTGAGGACCAGAGGCTCTTCAATTTGTTGGGTGCGACAATCTTCGAAAGCCTTTGAACAGGTCTTAACACAAGCCGTGTCTTGTCATTTTTCATTGGTTCGGCGCCGGAACACAGTACAGGTCCATCAAGCGCGCCACATGACTTGCTGCGTTTTGGTGCTTCTGTTGCGGTGCCTGATGGTCATCCTTGCTGTCGCGTGACCTCTTCGATGCTCTTCAGCACATCTTCGGCTTCTTGTTGATCGCTTGATGCGCATGAACGCCCCACTATGCCACGCAATTCTCTGAGACGCAATCCCGTCGTTTATTGGTTTTGCCCAAAAAGAGTTGTAAGTCCTAAACCCCAAAGAAGCTTTGTCACCCTAAGCCTCCAATCAGTATGCAAATATACTGAATACTCACTCCGGGCTTGGCGGAGTCAGTTGGAGTGCCAGTGTAGCTCATTATGCACAGGACTTCTGCTTAAAACACGGCTTGAACAAACATTTCGAAAGCCATACCATCCCTTAAACTCACAGCCACACCAGTTCCACAAACTGCTCACACGTCGCAGCGACAGAAAACACACACACACACACACACACAAACAAAACACAACCAAAAAACTATGAACCCTGTAACCCGTCCAAACGAACACTCCCCACCGGAGCGGCCTTCTCGACCGCCCGCGTCTCGAAGCGTGGGACCTTCCAACAGGTTTATGATCATGGACTTGAAGGCTCAGAATGATTTGGGGTTTTGGTGTTTCGGGTTGAGGGCTTAGGGCTCAAAAGGTCTCAGTATCTAAGAAACGCAGCTTTTTGAGGCGGCGGGTACAGGGCCTTTGGGGTTTTTGCCTTAAGACAGAAAGTTGATGCAAGAGTCTGGATGGGGCTTTGAATTTCCAATTTGTAGAATCTTTAGAAAGTGTGGCATTCAGCCCACTTTTAGGCTTGTATTTCGAAAAAAAAGTTGTGAGGTTTTGAGGGTGTTGATACGATTTACTGAAAGCTGGCATGAGGCTCGGCTCAAAATTAGTAGGGCTTTGTTAGTAGCATGTTTCGGAGAGGAGAAGGTTGAGGGTTTAGTGGTGCAAGGTCTTAATAACCCCTACCTGAACCTGAAACCCTCAAACATTTGGGTGCAGATCTTGCAGTTTAGCAGGTGAGGTCTCTCTTACAGGATCCTTTTATTACAGTCTATACAGTGTTCATGGCAAGGACCCGAATTACAACAAAGCCTCTTTGAGTATATCAACGAAGAGAGTCGTTCATTGCCTCGTCATAACCAGATATAACCAGTGTCCAGAGTACTTGGACCCCACACCGCAAGGTTGAAGATGAACTGAAACCCCGCGTTGGCAGACTAAAGCCCTAATTCCTCCAGTACATGTCGCCAACTTGTACAAGCCCCAGCACCCGGCACCCAGAACCAGAAAGCCCTGCAGAAAGCACCGATAGCGATCTCGCTTCAGCCGTTGCCATGTATCACCGTCTAAACCATAAAACAAAACCACCACAAGACGCTGTAAATCAAAATGTATGCACAGAAGCGGTGATGAAGGCCTCTTTGTTCACGTATTCCACAATCGGCTTCGGTACCTCTGCTGGTAGTGATGTTCGGCAGGTGAAGGGTTTGCGGTACCTACGAACGCAGAACCATCTAAACACCAGAAACCCAATCCTGGACCCAGTCTCCGCAAACGAAAGCCAACACCACCAACACAGAAAAGCCCTAAACCCTAAACGAAATTCATAAACACAAAACCCGAACCCTCAGTTTCCAAGCCCTAAAGGGTAGGCTCTAGGGTCGAAAAGGGCGTTGCGTTTCAGGTGATGGTGTTTTTCTCAATTTCCCAGGCATCACATAGCCGTTGTGATGATGTACTGCGTCCCCTAAGCCCCTCAACCCTAAACCCGAAACTCCAAACCCCAAACCCTAAACCCCTAAACCCTAAACCCTAAAACCCTAAACCCGAAACATTCGGCATGAGAGCCTTCGACACTAGATGCCAGGAGCCAGGAGCAGTAGCTTTGGCACCCACTCACACACTCACCAAGGCCCAATACATATTACTCTACGGATCTCCGAATCCCTACAACCAAAACATTAAAAACCCTAAACCAAAAACACCCTAGAAAGCCTAAACCCTGAACCCCCAAAATCCCTGAACCCTAAACCCTGAACCCTGGCCTCGCGAATCACCTCCACCCTCTCGGTTCTGTCGACCTGGAGAACGCGCTCCTGCGACTCGACTTTAGGGGGGCTTCGGAGCTTTAGCGCTTCGGGTGTTTAGGTTTAGGGGTTTGGGGTGTTGTGCTCCATAATGCACATCCTCCTGTGTAACTAACCCCTTAATCCCAAAACCCTAAGCCCAAGAAACCCCGGAACCCCTAGGCCCGAAGCCGCGTCCTCCAGTAGAATCCCACTATGAATATATCTAGAATAAGGAACCCCTAAAATAGTATAGGTAAACAAGTAGTTAGGCCCCTACACTAAACCCCCAGAATACCCCTTATGGTAATCCTTACAGACCCCTTTAAACAATTGTAAGAAGGGCCCCTTAAGGAGCCCTATTCTAATCAAATTTAGGCCCCGCAGGCTAAGCGTCCTCCTGTAGAATCCCATGGAGGGATTCCACCTTCTCTTGCACTTCGATGTGGAACTGGCCGGCGGGAGGCTTTTTCAGAGTTTCTTTGGGGCCCAGGGCTTGGTTTTAAAGTTTAAGGTTTCAGGGTTTAAGGTTTTAGGGGTTTTGGGTTTTAGGGTTTTAGGCCCTAAAACCCTAAAACCCAAAACCCCAGGCTTTAGGGCTTCTTACAGTGCTGGGGATTTAGGGCTTGGGAGCGGGGGGCTCCAGGCTTTCCGATCTGAGGTAGCTTGCATTGATCCACCAGGATCTTGGCCGCTTCCATTGCCACCTTGTCCCAGCATGACTCCGGCCTACTGAAGGCTTCACCGAGCTGCTCGAAGTGGGTTCGATGCACCGCCCAGAGCCCCTGTGCAATCGACGGCTTGCCCCTGAAGTAGGCCTTCAACCTCCCGAAATGATGGTCCGCGACCTTTTCGGCAAAGGAAGTCGTGCGCGGGAAATCGCGGCCTTTCTGCCCAGGGTAGAGAGTCGCCAGGATACCCAATTAGCAGACATGCAGGACATTTTCCGCAGGGTCTCACGTCGGAGTGAGAACTGAAGCCACCTATCAGTGTGAAGTAGAGTTCAGAGACCAGCTCAACGTTCCAGCTCGGGGCACTGCACCGGAACATCAGCTTTGCCGGGGATTGTATTGACTTTTGCTGTTGTGCTTTGTTGTTGGTTGGGTGGAGCCTGACCTGCACCAAATCTAAAATCACTCTGAAGTGCCTGGCGACATCTGTCCAAGGATGAAGTTGTACCTGTGTGTAGTTGTACATGCATATGTAAGAACTACACACACACGTGCCTGGGAACGAATCCAACTTCCCGTAGACTCCAAAAGCACTTGAATCGGCAGGCCACCTTAAGCCTAAACCCTAAACCCTAGACCCAACTTGATCGGAGGAAACCGTACACCTAAACCCTACCCCTTTAAACCCAACCTAAGTTGAGGAACTCCTACACTTATGCCGAAACCGTTGAATGTTCCCTAAGGAGTTTGAGGCTCCTTCGAGGGTTCCTTTAAGGGCTCCTTAAGGGGTTCCTTAAAGGGTTCCTTTAAAGGGTTCCTTAACGGGATCCTTCAAGGGTTCCTTCAAGGGATCCTTTCAGGGTTCCTTTTGGAGTTTTGCACTTGGAGGATCATGGGACTTAGTAAGTAGGGTTATAGGTACCTAAGTTAAGGTTATAAGTAGATATAACTATAGTTACCTTACTTATAACCCTACTTACTAAGTCCCCTGATCCTCCTAGTAGACCCTAAACCGGAACTCTATAGATCCCTTTAAGGAGCCCTACTTACTAAGTCCCCCGATCCTTTAAGTAGACCCTAAACCCTAAACCCTATAGAGCCCTTTAAGGAACCCTCTAGATCCCTTTAAGGAGCCCTTTGAGGCACCCATTTCCAGAGTGCCCTGATCCTTTAAGCAGGGCAGCTTCCAGCCTTCGGGATCTCTTTGGGAACGGCCTGGTACCTGGCGCCACCGGCAGCACATTTTGGATTTCGGGTTCTCTGGGGGCTTCTGAGCTGGGGTTCGTTAAAAGAGGATCTTTTAGAGGCTTCCATAAGGTCTACTGTAAGGGCTCTGTAAGATTAAAAGAGGATCTCTTAAAGGCTTCCATAAGGTCTACTATAAGGGTGCTATAAGATAGGGTTTTGGGGGTTAGTATACTCTAGTTGAAGCAAGGAGCCCCCAAAACCCTATTCTAATTTTTGAGGCCCCTGCGGTAGGTGTCCTATAAGTTTTTTAAGGGGTTCCATAAACAGCTGCTACCGCGGGGAGGGTGGTCTCAGGATTTCGGACTTGGGGTTACGCCTAGGGATTGCGGGTGTAGGTGATGTTTGTTTCGGAGGGTCGCGAGGAATTTAGCCTCGAAAGCTGAAGAACATGGGAGTTTCCGAAAGGAGGGGACCCTAATGTAGTACCCTCAATAGTAGGATCCTTAATATAAGAAGCCCAGAATAAGATACCCCTAGTTTTCGGAAACTCCCACGTGCAGGCTGGCAAGTCACAGGGTGGAACCCCTGCTTGGAGGAGCACCTGGCCTTAATAATTAGAATAGGCTTTTTGGGCCCATTCTACTATAGTTATACTTAGGAGCCCCCCAAAATAGTATTGGTATTTATTTAGGCCCCTATAGTAGTAAGCAGGCTTTACTCAGGGGTATGAGTATCACATCGCCTGCATCCCACGCAACAAACCTAATGCGGAAGCAAGTTGCCGATAGTAATATTGCTTAGGGGTCCTTCATGTACATATTACAAGCACACTACGCCATACACCAAAACCAATGCTACTCAGTAATGCACAACATTAGCTCGTGAAAAAAAGCTAGCGGGCGTTGGCTTAAGTCTTGTGCCGATGCAAGGCCTCAGTCCTAAACCCTCGTCCTAGATCCTGAATCCTGAACTCCAAATCCGCAGAGTAACTTAAAATCCTGACACTTAAATGCGTAAAGCTCTATTCCAATTATTAAGGCCGCGAACAAAACAGTGGCCCTTATAGGGCCCTTTCCGAGAACCCTAAGGATCCATTTCAAGGACACTATACCCTCAACCCTGGGTCCTAAAGCCTATAACCCTAAGCCCTGAAATTCTCAAACCTGATTCTGACACGCACCGCCTAGAGCCCGCCTCCCAACTACCCTCTAATATACCCCATATACACACTCTTAAGGGCCATAAGGACTCGATTCGAGGGCCCTTGGGGGGTCCGGGCAAGGAATTAGGCAAAAAACCCTAAACCCTAAATCCCTAAATTTTAAACCCTAAAACCCTAAACCGTTTAAGCTCTCAACCGGGGCCCGCACTGTGGGCGCGGGACCTCTGTGATGGTCTCCACTGTGTGGACCTCGGGAACCTGGCGTCGCAGAAGCAGAGCACCCTCGGGGTTTGACCCGGCACTGCCGTGCCCCCGCCGTCCTCTGTAGAACCCTACGGCCTCTTCGTCACATATCATGCCATAGTATGCCATACGTGCCTTATATGCCACCCTACCGTACCGTTACCATAGACAATATCGGTACACATGCGCATATGTCCATGTACATGTACTTCTTCCATTCAAAACTTGTTACATTTCCAGAAATCCACAACTAGGTTGGCCCTTTAAAGCCTCTGCAAAATATTCGTAGATAGGGTCCGATTAAGCCCCATAAGGGAAAACATAAAATATCCCAAAGGCCTACCTAGACAACATCACGACCCGAGTCCCCCAACCGTGCCTCGACAGGCACCTCGTGCTGAATCACGGTTGGCACCTCCGTGACCTGCACTTGGCAAGCTTGTGCTTCACACGTCTATCATGACTGAAACCGCCATGAAGATGGGTAATGTATGTATGTAGTATGTATGTGATATAATATGTAGATATGTAGACAGCGGTCCTTTTTAGCTACAAGTTGCCATCAAGGCCTCAGACCCTAAAACCGGCCCCTAAAACATAGTGTGCTTAAGTCACGGCTGCCGCATTGCTTCTGAGAGCTCTTCTCTCTACGGGCCCAACACTCCCAACACGCCTAGTTGTGCTTGCCGCGGCCATTGAACACAACCCTCTTTACCACATATCGGTGAATCCAGAACCCTACCCCTAAACACCCATAGTTTCGTGTTTAAAGCAGGCCAACAAGGTCGGTTCCGATAAGGCCTTCTCGAAGTACTGCATGGTGTGCTTCGGCACCTCAAGAACTCAGACAAGAGGCATCAGTTTGAGGTTATGGATTTAGCGCTTCAAGGCTATAAGGCTTGGAGTCTAGAGGTTGATTTCGTTTGTTTAGGACGGTTACCCTGAATTTCCAGTGAGAGGGCCTAGGAGAAGTTTACCAGCTTAAAGATTGCTAAACCCTAAACCCAAAAGCCCCGAAAACCCGAAACCCAAAAACTCTTGCATAAGGCTTACTACACTCTACATGGTGGCAAAGCCAAAGCATGCTAATTCCTTTCAACAAAATCACCAAGGCATCCGGTCATTGCGGCTTAGGGCTTCAGGTTCCACTGGGCTTCGAACTTTTTCTAGTAGGTGTCCATATTGTGGATGTGTGGTGAGCGTGGACGCCTTGGGAATTTTGGTGAGTGTTCATATTGGGTGTCGTGGGGGATAGTCGCAACAGAAAACCCCATTAATCTATGTGTGCAGTGTCGTTCGTGCGTTGAGCCGCTTGGGGTTTGGCATGGTCCTAAAAAGGGGTCTAAACAATGAGTACAGATGTTCCGGTACAATGTGTTATTCTGTCTTGTCAGATAAGCGCAGATTTCATACCCCGAAGTGCTAAGGTGTGGTGCCTCAAGGTTTGAAGATGTTTCTTGGGCTTAGCGCTCAAAAAAAAGATAGCACAACTCCTTCAAGAAGATCTAGCTGCCAAAGTGCTGATTCCCCTACTCCTAGTCCTAGCATCGCCCCACCTACTGGCCTAGTGGCGAGAACGGACGACGGATGGAGGAGACCTGTTGGACCCAGCACCAAGCTAGGCTTAGGCGATACGGTTGGAAATATAAAAACTGCACTACACACCAAAAATTCTGGGTTGGGGGTTTTAGGGTTTTTTGTCGTTTAGGCAATGGTATAAACTTACCCGTAAGAAGGAATGTACCATAACTCACACAGTCGAGGGTCAATGTGGCAGAGCAGGATTTCAGTCAACCGTAGTGCCAGCATGCCGGGCCAGCCTCCTTGTCCACATACTGCACTACGGGCTTCGGCACCTCTGGCAATGTTCAGGCTTAGACAGAAATGCAAACACCATGCAAGGTATGACTAGACGACTGTTGCAACATCATTGACATTACCCTAAGGCCCCATAGTAGTTCCTCTTGGGGGTTCATATATCAAACCCTACAGGTAATCTGAAAAAGGGAACTACTATGGGGCCTCTGGGTAAACAACTATCGTCGTTGTCAAGCAGTTTAGCGGTCCTGCTGCGACTATGGCGCATCACCATTGCCACTATCAAGCGCATTCCTGGGGAGGTACATTATAGCTGCACTGTTGTCCTCACTGTCGTCCTTGTTGCTGCTCCCGTTGTTGATGCTACTGTCGCTGCTCATGCTGTTGCTGTTCATGTTATTGCTGGTGGTAGAGGTGGCGTCGTCGCTACTGTTGTTGTTGGCGGTGGTGCTACCGTTGCTCGTGATACTACTGGTGTTTCTATCTCTTTTGTTGCTCCTATTCTTATCGTTGTTGCTATGTGTTAACATTGGACTTCTGGTTCGAGGTTTTTCTTGTTATGGATGCTGTTCCTGGACTTGAAGCTTTAGGCTTTAGTTTTAGGGTTTGAGGGTTTAGGGTTTAAGGGGTTTAGGGGTTTAGGGTTTAAGGGTTCAGGGCCTGGGTTTAAAGGTTATTGGAGCCTGCTTGATGACCTCCCGATACTCCACCTCCGGCACTTCAATGATACGCTCCTGCAGAGGAGAAGGGTCTTAACCACTATCCGAAATCCAAGTACCTGATTATTGGGTCCTTTGGACCCTTATGGTCAAGTTCAGGGTTTAGGGAAACACATGAGCTTGTCCCTGAACCCTACAAGAGCTGTAAAGTCAGGGCTTTCAGGCTCAGGGGATAGTCTCTAACCTCTAGACTATGAAACTACCTTAACCATGAACCCTAAACCCGTAAACCCTAAAACCTACAGACTAAACTGGCTCTGGTAAAATCGGGGCCTTCTAGGACAAGAGTAGAGTTGTGGAGGTGTGTGAGATGGAAACCATAGCTAAACCCAAAACCCCAAGCCTTGAACCTCCACGACTCCTGGTTGCAACCAATAGTGAGGGCCCTAAACCCTAAACCCTGATATTTCGAATCGTGTGTTCCGGCATGATCGGACACGAAGTCTGCGCAGGTATAAAGGCCTCTGTATGGGTAGTTGTCAAAATTATGGTCCCTTTTTGGGTCCTTATTATAATGCGGCACCTAATATTTAGGGTACCCCAAAAGGGACCATAATTTTGACAACCACCAAAAAATTCATTATTCAGAACTCGGCTGTTTATTTTCTTTGGGCCTCAGGCTGCGACAGAAGGGTTCGGAGGTTAGCTAGGGTTCAGGAAGCTGGGTTTCCCAGTTGCTAGATCTACCAGCTGGGAATTCACCGTCCCAGAGCTATATATAGAGCATGTTTAGCTGAGGCGGTCAGTAGAAATGGACACAGCAGTCACTCGGCTGTCAGGTTCATAGCCAGTCGCCGCGCATTTGCGAGGTCCTAAACCCTAAACCCCTAAACGGACCAGCCAAGGTCAACCCTAAACCCTAAACCCAGCTTTCCGAAAAGCGGACTGCGGCGACTCCCGTGGCGTCCCAGATTCGGTCTGGCTCTTCTGTGGTCAGCGTTCCCAGAGTCTCCAACATCCCGTAAATAAGGAAGATACCTTAAATTATAACAGGATCCCGAATATGATTTGAGGAATATTCCTCAATTAATGGGATATTGGAGTCTCTGGGTGGCTCTTCTGTGGTCAGCGTTGCTGTCCCGTCCCACAGAAGGGCGAGAGGCCCGAGATGCCATTCGGAGCTTAGTTGCTGAGTTCATAGGCCCCCAAAAAGTGTACACTTTCAGTTTTATAGTGGGTATATAATGTTATACCAAAAAGTGTAAAGTGTATCCACTCAGCAACTAAGGGAGGCATCCACCATGCACGCCTGCCCTTGCAGAGGCTCCTGTTGCTTCTCCCCTTCCTCCTTTCTTTGGCAATAGCAGCCGCTGCGAGAGCACGCGACTGTCATTATGGCTGCTGGCGCTTATCACCAGGTTAGCAACAAGCTTACTCCATAGACGTGTAGCACAACTGCTGTTGTGCCTGTCGTTGAAAGCTCAGAGATTTCTCGATGCTGGCCAAGAAAACATAACGATGGGTGGTGATGCTGATGATGCTGCTGATGATGATGTGATGGTGATAATGATGACAACGACAATGACAATGATGATGGCGATGACGATGATGATGCAGCTGCTTGTAATAATGCTGATGACGATGACGATGATGATGCTGCTGCTTGCAATGATGATGATGATGATGGCGATGACGATGATGATGCTGCTGCTTGTGATAATGATTATGTCGATGATGGTGGTGAGGATGATGATGATGATGCTTGTAACAATGATGATGGTGGTGATGATGATGACCTTGATGGCGGTATTGAGGCTGATAATGATGATGATGGGAGTGATGATGACGGTGGTAATAATGCTGATGCTGATTACGGGATGACGATGACGATGATGGTGGTCATTATCATCATGACAACGGCGACTTACAGGTCTGGAGTCGTCGCGTGTAGGCCGCAGCGGGCAACCCGTACCGTGACCTACTTATCCTGCGGGGTCTTCATACTGAAACAGCATGGACGTTGTAACGACAGGCGGCTATGTAGCATACCTTCACACCGAACACTGAAACTCAGACATACCTTCAGTCGCATTCAGGGGTATCCGGTACCCTAAACCCTAAACCCCTGAACCCCTAAACCCTAAATTACCACGCTCGACTTCTCTGCTTCAGTCTGAGGCTCTGCTGGTGGTGGTGAAAGGAGCTTGCCAGAGAGCCCAATACCCCTTAGTTAAGGAATATAGCTTAAATCATAATATGAAGCCCTATATAATTTAAGCCACATTCCCTAATTAAGGGGTATTGGGCTCTCTGGCTTGAACCCCCCATGACTTTGCAGCCCTTAGCAGGAAGAGCTAGGCTCATCAGGTCTCGGAATCGGAAAAGTCGCTTCCCCCGAATATTAAAACGTCGCCCCCCAAAAAAATATTTTATATTAGGGCAAGCTTTAATATTAGGGGGAAGCGATTATGCTGTTTAAGTTCGGAACGATTCAGAACCCCAACGACTAATTCCGAGAAGCCCCAGAAGCTCCTGCAACCTTTTCAAACAAACTATTTGGGTGGTTGTCAAAATTATGGCCCCTTTTTGGGTACCCTAAATAATGGGTGCCGTATTATAATAAGGACCCAAAAAGGGACCATAATTTTGACAACCACCCATTTAGGATCTAGGGAGGGTAGGGAGTTTAAGGAATGTAAGGAGTTTGTGGAATCTAGGGAATTTCGGGAACTAAGAGAATTTAGGGAATTGAGGGTTAAGGGCGTCGGGCGTAGGGGCCGGGTCCTCGTAGATGATCTGAGGCACTTCCACCACCTTCTCGATGTATTCGATCTTGTGCACCTCCACCTGGTTTTAGGGGCAAGATCAAAGTGTGAAAACTCTAGATGCTTTAGATTGTGGGGTTTCAATTGGGCTTAAGCTTGCATATTGGAGGATTTTTGATGTTATGGCTTTTTGACTTTACGCCGCAGGGTTGAAGGTGCAGGCCTAACAAACCCCAAAACATTGGCCCGCCTGCTTGTCCACGTACTGAATCTCCACGCGAGGCACCTCCTTGATAACCTCGTGGTATTCTATCTCCGGCACCTGACGTCTTGGCGGTTTCGTGCTAGGGACCAAAGCCCAAAGCCCTTAGCCCATCTCAGCCCCCCTGGCTTCATCAGCGGCCTTAGTGCCCACCGGTTCTAGGGTTGGTTCTCATCGGGGGGCTCTCAGTACGCAGCTGAATAAGGCTATCCTACTGAAAGCTCTACCAACCCGTGGTCTCGGGGGTTCCCTGGGCTCTTTCGCTCCTGATTTAAGAGGGATTATCATCATCCCTGGCTCTTTAGCTCCCCCAATATCAATGGTTAGTCTACTCCCTCCCGACCTTCGAAGTCCCCTCACCCTCAGATTCGGTAACCCCAAACCGAAACCCTCGAGGGCCCCCCCTACACACTGACCACTCCCTTGAGCCCACAGTTGAAAGCCCCTAAACCCTTAACCCTAAACCCAAACGTTTGAACCTTAAAGTCTTGTACATTACACTCGACCAAGATCCTCCAGCGACTTCAGACGTCTAACCCCTACTTCAACCCAGAATAACCTACCTTTTCTAAGGACTGTATTCAAAGAAATCATAACAAGGAACCCTGAAAAGGTAGGTTCTTCAGGGTTAAAGTAAACTTGTGCCCTGATGCCAAAATCCTCTGTTCCCCAGTGCCCCCTCGATAGTAAGGGCACAAGTCTTCTTACTGTTCAGCTGGTACTACGGAGACGCCCCCAACGAAAAAGGCCATAAGGGCACCTGGACGCTAGAGCCTGGACCCAAAAAAATCCTTGTAGCCCAAAACCCCCAACCATACCCTAGCTTTTTAAGGAATTGTGTAAAGAAAACCTTCGTAAAGAACCCCAAAAAGGTAGGATTTTGGAGCTACGGGCAGGTCCTTGCATGTCGCAGCACCTCCACGATGCTGTCGTGGATCTCGTGGAGCACCACCTCGACAGTTGGCACTGCCACGTGAGGCTCCACATTTTTAGGTTAGGCCTTTCTGATTTGGGGTTTGGGGTTGCGGGTTTAGGAGTTTTTGGCCTTCTGGGGATCTGGCTTTACGATTTCCGGGAGGACGATCTATGCTCTGCAACTGTTTTTGTCAAACCCCTTTAAGCTTGGGCTGCTCAATTGCGGAAACACGGGCTACAATGGAGAGTTTCGGTACGCCTTGAGCATGTAGGGAGTTACTTTGCTTTGCCGATACAAGGGTTACTTAGGGCTTAGAGGCTTAAGCTTCGGGGTTTGTAGAATTAGAATGCAGGCTTTTGAGTTCGGGGGCCTGAGCCGAACACCTTTGATACCTCAGCAAACTGTATCGACTTCCATCAAGTCCCATTAACCGGAGTACCAGGTTCGTGCAAAAGTCCCAATCGCAAAAAAATAAAGCGCTAAAAGCCAGAGACACTTGTGAACCTTATAACTAATTGCATTGAAAGCCTCTTCTACATAAACCCCTAACCCTAATCTTCAAATCCCTAGTACCCTAAACCCCTGACCCCAATCTTGACCCGTATTCTCAAACCCTATATGGCAATATGGGGGTTTCCGAAAATGGGGGACCCTAATATAGCACCCTAGTAGAATCCTTCTTATTGGTACACCTCATTTTCGGAAACTCCCTAAACCCTAAACCCTGTAGATCCCTTTGTGGAACAAAGGAACCCTAACGTATCCTTATTTTCGCAAACTCCCACGTCCTGAACCCAAAACCCTAAACCCTCACCCTAAAACCCAAAACCCGAACCGCTAACCCTAAAACCCAAAACCCTAAAACAACCCAACACCCTAAAACCCAAAACCCTAAACTAACCCTAAACCCCCAAAACCGACCCCATACTTGGCCTCCACTGGACGCTCGACAAGCTGCACCTGTGGCGCAGGCTCCCGGGCCCATGGGCCGGGGGTTTCAGGGGTTTTAGGGGTCCACATCAGCATAATCGGCCATGACATGCCGCACCCCAGACCAGTCCGGGTTAGGCAGCGGCAGAAAGAAATCGCGCTCGAACGACATGGTCTCACTGAGCCACAGCTTCAGCTTCAGCCCTGGCTCAAGCCAGGTCGAACTCATGAATCCGACGGAGGCAGCGATGAAGATCGGAAGACGCCGGACTCGCTTTCCAGGGCCAGTAGTCTTGGTGCGCTCCAGCACGCCTACCAACCCAAACTTCTGGATTCAAGCCGCTGAGATCATTCGTCCGGCACGCCGTCCACAGCTTCAGAAGTGTGTAAAACGCTAGCCCCGGGCAAACAACGGCGCAGATGAGTCGTTCACCAACAGCTCGAGTGCACCCACCAGCATCAGGGGGAGAAGGGGTACTATAAGGGTTCCTTTTAAGGAATCTATGAGGATCTGTGAGGTTCAGGGTTCCTTTAAAGGGCTACTACAAGGGTTTCTTAAGATCTATAGGGTTTCAGGGTTCAGGGGTTTAGGGGTCTAGAAGTTTAGGGGTTTAGGGTTTAGGGGTTAGGGGTTCAGGGCACTACTTGTAGGATTGTTGAGGTGCTCTGAGCGTTCTGATGGCTTGTTACCTGAACCCCAAAGAACCTGCCTTGCAAGGACTTGAGGAAATCATAATACGGAACCCTGACAGGTTGGGTCGTTTGATATGGGGTCTGGGTAGGGTTTGAAGGGGTTGGGGGCCTTCGAGTTGCAGGGTTTGGAATTTTGTTCGGTGAGTTGTCTTTAGGGCTCAGGGTTTGGGATGTAGGGTGTAAGCGTGAGGGTTTAAACATTGCGACCCGAAGTGAGCGGCTGACCCGATGTACTGCACGTTGACCCCTATCCAAGGCCGAATGAAGCCCTCGTAAAACCCCATGCTGCCAGTGAAGCATTACCACGCCTTATGTCCGCCTTGCAGGGAATTCTAGGCCCTAGCTTTGACACGCTAAGACACGTGGTGACAACCATGTACAGCCCCGCGATGCCCCGACAGAAACCCTGTAAAACAACTTCAAGCCTTATTGAACACCCATAAAAGCCGTTTACCCGAAAGCCTCGACTCCACCATATAGAAACCTCATACAACCTACAAGGCCGCACAACTTAAAGGGGTTAGGGTCTTGAAAGTTCAGATTAGAAGCGGTCCGGGGCTGAGGCGTTTGGATCTGAATGACTGTAGCCTTTATTGGGTTCCATAAGGAGGGTACCTTGTAAGCTTCTGCATAGGCACGGCGTAGAGGACCGCCGACCCACTCCACTCACGTCAAATCTCTATAGAAAACTTGACCTTGAGACCTTTGTGCTGGTGGCTGCTTCCGAATGCAGTAGATTTTTAAGTCCGGTGGTCTCCATTGTAGTTCCTTTTTGTGGGTCACGCGATGTATCTTGTAGGATCCTAACCTCATAAAACTGGATAGTATAGGGGCCTTAATAATTAGAATAGGGTTCTGGGGCCCATTATACGACTATATATACTCACATTAAGGAACCCCCAAAATAGTCTTGGTAATTACTTATACGCCCCTATATTAACAAAAAAAGTTCCGAAGATTCAGGGGTACCTTAGGGTTCCTTCAAAGGGATCCTTTAATTTAAGGGTTCCTATAAGGGATCTTTTGGGTTTAGGGTTTAGGGAGTTTCCGAAAAATTGGGGGTACCTTTTTCTGGGGTCCTGATTATAAGCATCCTACTGTTTAGGGAACCATATTAGGGTACTCCCCTACTTTCGGAAGCCTCCCAAATGGCAGCAAAAGAACCCAAACTCCTAAAGCCCAGACCCTCGACCCTAGAGTCCGAAGCTCTGGGCCCGACAGCCTAAACCCTAAACAGGAAGCAGTTCGCAAAGAACCTGACGAATACACCTTAAATCAAAATTATGAATCCCCCTATAATTTAAAGTACAATCCTTACTTAAGGGGTATTGGGATCTCGGAGTTCTTTGCCTGCGGTCTGTCGACTTTCCTCTCAATCTGACGCACTTCATCAACGGGGACTTGCCTGGGTTCAGCAATGTAGCGTGTAGCGATTGCTAGGTAAGCATAGTTCGTGCGCTTCATGAACGGGGAACCTGAATCAAGTCTTCGATCCTTACGGCTTCGTGCGAAGGAGTTTGACCAGCTTCCAGAAACTGAGAAAGAAGCGAGTGAATCCCTCCCAACAGTCTCAACACTGAACCTCGACGACGAAAACCGAAATCTCAAAGCCCGTTCCGTAAGGCTCTGGGGCTCAAACCTTGAGGGTTTCGGCCCCGTAACCATATGCATATTTCTTCAAATTAGGGTATCTTTTCAGTTGGGGGTCGTCACAAGGGGCCCGAGTTTAGAGAACGACCCATATATTGCACTAGGTCTTTAGCACTACTTTGAGACTTAGGCCGGCCGGGCGTGAATATCAACCCAACAACCCTAACCCCTAATCTCTAAACTCTAAACTCTAAACCCTAAACTCTAACCCAACAACCCTAACCCCTATCTAACCCAACAACCCTAACCCCTAAACCCTAAACCCTAAACCCAACAACCCGAACCCCTAAACCCTAAACTCTAACCCAACAACCCCAACCCCTAAACTCCTAAACCCTAAACTCTAACCCAACAACCCCAACCCCTAAACCCTAAACTCTAACCCAACAACCCCAACCCCGAAACTCCTAAACCTAAACCCTAAACCCTAGCCGGCAAGTCGTAGACCGGAGAAGCCCTGAAGCTCCGGGCAGCGAAAGCCTAAAACGCTAATACTTTAGAAGCTGCCCCCTCCCTGTAATAGTGACTCTAAGGATTATATTAGGGCCCTATGATGTTCCTATTATACCACTATTACAAGGTGGGGGCCCCTTCTAACTAATAGTACCTGGACCCTAAGGAACCTACCTTTCTTAGGGCTCCCTGAAATGATTTCCTTATATCGGTCTTTAAAAAGGTAGGTTACTTGGGGTTGAAGGTATAGGAGCCTTAGGTGATTATGATAGGATTTAGGATCTAGGGGTTTAGGATTTTAGTGGTTAAAATAGGGTTTATAGAGTAGGGGTTTAGGATCTAGGGGTTTATGGTTTAGGGCTTTAGGGATAAGGGTTTAGGGGTTCAGGGGTTTAGAGGTTTACGGTGTAGGGGTTTAGGAAAATGGAATTCTGTAACACATTATTATACAATCCCAATAACCCTTGGGAACAATTGCTCAGGCGCTTGTGTGAGGCCCAATTTTCCACACCCTTAAGCCATCATACGGGGGTTTAGGGTTAGCCTTGACCCCAAATAACCAACGTTTTTGAAGACTTGTATAAGGCAATCATAATACGTAACCCTAAACTGGGCTTTTAAGTAACCAGGGGGAAAAAAGTATAAACTTTTATTTCATAATGGTTCCATAAAGAAAAAGTATTAAAGTATGGTACTCCAAAGCCCAGTAAAAAGGAAGGTCTTTATAGGGTCCATGAATGTCTTAGTCTTACATGTCCAGTATCCTTGGGGAAGTAACTTAAGGTTAAGCTTCGGGGTTATACGGGGGTTATCCCCAAAACATTACAGGTTACCTACTCTGCGACTAGGCAGTTACAGTTCCGGACTGGAGCTTGGGATGGTCCATAACTTTAGGGCTGAGAAACGCCCTTTATGGTAACCTACAACCTTGCAGAGCCCCAGTCAACTCAACCCAAAGCCCTTGCCTGCAAGAACCCCAGGGTTTGGGGCTCAGGGATTTTGGGCTTCGCTCCATGGCCGCATTTCCGAACATGTTCGTCAGCAAGCGTCCATGCAACACGGCGTCGTCCTGATCGGGGTCCGCGGCTCCCACGCCAGCAACGAGTTCTCGCGGGCATCCTAGCGGTAGCGTCGGAACGCCCATGGAAGCCAGGCCCAAAGCCCGTCGACCTGGGCGGATATTCGTAGTGATGTCATTGCCGAAATAGGATAGGCCCAGCACTTCGAAGAGGGGGCTCTCCGTCATCGCGTCGCAAAGCTCTTCTATGCCTGCCCCTGCGATAGCCACTCGATCCTTCACGTGCAGTCGCAGCGGCAGTGCTGCGCAGGGCAGTCGTAGCTCTGGCAACTGCTACCATTGCTCCAGCAAGCTCTCGGGCTTCGGGTCTGCGGTTTGGGGTTTGAGGCAGCAAACCGCATACACCTACCCCTTTTTAAGCATCAAGATACAGATGCAGAGTACCACTGAAATCACGCCTGTACAAATCCCCAAACCCTAAACGGCCTCAACCCAAAATTTGATACAAATCCCTAAACCCGCAACCCTAAACATCATTCGAATCCATCTGGCAGGCCTCTCTGGGGCTGGGGAGCTTCCGATATCAACGCCTATTCGCCTTCGTTGAGGTCGCCGTTCCACTTTCCATGAAGGCCCCTTTTGAAGGGATCTCTAAGGCTCCTGTAAGGGCTCCTTTAAAGGGATCTGAAGGGGTTACGGTTAGGGTCCATTACAAGTAGAAGCCCAAAAGTTGCAAACCCGATGGCCTCAATCCTTAAGAGTCATGTATAGGGAATCCCAGCACTATTTGGCCTTAATCCGGTTTCCAACTTTCTGGGGTTTACTGTAAAGGAGTCAAGTCCTATGCCTTGGATCTTTGCATCCTCGAAATTGCACACTGGATCTCGAAGTCTGAGTCCCTCAATCTGAACCTCCAGAAAAGCGTGTTCTCTTTTTTGCAAGACCTTTTTCCTCCTTCCCACGAATCAAACCACAAAAAGGTTTAAGATCTAGGTTTTTCGAGTTAAGTTTAGGGCTTTAGGGTCAGAAGCTGCCACTAAACCCTAAACTCCAAACCATAAACCCTAAACCCCTAAACCCTCAGCCCTAAACCCTAAACTCATGATTCTCTGAGCAGCTTGATCATCTCCATGAACTCGGGTCGAGGCACCTGGATGCTCAGACCACCGAAGCCCGCTGGCCTACTTGGTTGATAACGGGACCTTGTAACTTAAAGGGTTCCCGTTTGGGCTCCTTAAAGGGATCTAAAAGGGATCGACAAAGGGCCTTAGTAACTTAAAGGGTTCCTTGATGGGTTCCTTAGAGGGATCTAAAAGGGATCCAAAAGGGATCTGTAGGGATTCAGGGTCCAAGGTCTACTTGGAGGAGCATGGGACTTAGTATGTAGGGTTGCACGTAGGCATAACTATAGTTATAGTAACCTTGCTCATAGCCCAACATACCAGGTCCCCTCATCCTGCAAGTAGGGCCTCGACGGGTGTAGGGCTACGGGCTTAGAATGGTTGGGTTGAGGACTCAGGGGTTAGGAGGTTTTTTTGGGTTTGGGTTTTGGGATTCTGGGGTTTAGGGGATTTGGGTTTTGGGGCTCAGGGTCTGAAGTTTGGGACCCCTAAACCCTAAACCCCAAACCCTGAACCCTTAACCCCAAAGCGTTTTTGGGTTTGGGGTTTAGGGCCAAATCCTCGCAAACCAACGGAAGGGTCAAGTTATTCATTTTCAATCCTTGGAGTTTCTCTTTGCAGACACCCGTATCCAAAACCCGGAGGCGGTAAACCCGTACACGATCATACTATAGGGCCCTTGATAGTTAGAACAGGATTTTGGGGCCCGGTATAATGCATCCATCAAAGTAGTATTGGTAATTATTTAGGCGCCTATATTCCCTAAAAGGCTGCATTTGCAGTGACACTCCTAAAAAGCCTGATGCTTGAGGCCCTGAGCCCAAGACTCTGAAATCCAAGGTCTAAACCCCCTATACTACCTATAACCTTACACTTACACGTAAACCCGAGGTCCCAACAAACCCCTCCTTGAAACCACCTGATCGCCCAAATGACCAAAAGCCCTAAACCCACAAAGACCTCTCAAACCTGCCTTGAACAACTCAAACCCCTAACTCCTAAGCCCTGAGCCCCTCAACTCTAAACCCCTGAATCCCTAAACCCCAAGCCCTCGACCCTACAGATCTTACTTTAAGAAAGCACCCCTCAACTCTAAACCCCTAAACCCCTAAACCCCAAGCCTTCAACCCTACAGATCTTTAAGAAAGCAGCCTTAGGAAGCTAGGGTTGATGATAAAATAATCCTGCACTACCTTATATAATCCTAGACTTATTGGAATTATGGGATATCTCTGATTCTGGGTAACAAAACCCTATAAACCCCTAATTAAGCCCTAAACCCTGCAACCCTAACCCCTACCCCGAATATCATGAACCGTCATGTGGGAACCTGATTAAGAGACTTTGGGCCTTTATTAGGGCTCCTTAGATGGATCCTACTATTTTGAGGGTTCTAGGCCCAGAGTTTCTTAATCAGGTTCCTACCTTTTTAGGGTTCCTTATTATGGTTTCTGTCATAGTTCCTTAAAAGGGTAGGTCTTTTCGGAACTTTTCGGCTACAGGTAAACCCTAATAATACCATAATTACCCTAAACCCTAAACCTTAAACCCTAAACCCTAAACCCTAAACCGTAGGATGCCTCGACCAGCTCCTGCTTCGTCGTGATGCTGGGGACTTGCTGCGTTCGCTCGCGGACCTGCTCTGCCACTCTTAGGGATGGTTCAGGGCTAATTATATAACCAGTTTAGGATTAAGGTTACGGTTTATTCAGGGTCAGGACTAGGAGTAGGGTTTAGGACCTGCTCTGCCACTCTTCTGGACTTTGAAGTGACCAAGGGAGAAAAAGTATAGCTTTTATCTCATAAGGGTTCCTTTTAAGGAACAGGTACCAGAGAAAAGCTATTCAAGTATGGTACTCCAAACCCAGGTCTTAGGGATGGTTCAGGATTAATTAGTTTAGGATTATTAAGGCTAGGGTTTGTTTAGGGTCAGGATTGGGAGTAGGGTTTAGGATCGAGGCTTGAGGGAGGTTTAGGGGTTAGGGTTCCTTTTAAGGGATTGCTTCAAGGGGTTTAGGGTTTAAGGCGTAGGTTTCGGGTCTGGGGTTTGAGGTTTAGAGTTTAGGGGGGTTTAGGGCTTATAGGGGTTTTTGGTTTAGTCAGAAGCTTCCCTATGCAGTCTGCCTCGACTTGCATGCGACTAAAATGTATGCATTCCACCTCGTGGTCCAACGAACAGTTGAGGCAGCACGCAGGTATGCAAAGCGAGGCAGCACGCAGCTTCTTGATGAGTGCTCAGGGGTTCTGTGGTTTAGGGAGCTTCTGCTTGATCTACAAGGTTTGCATTCCAGCTCAACTTCTTGCGTTTAGCTGGGGCAGCATACAGACGTTCTACTAGCACGTGGTGCAAGACAAGAACGGCTGGCGAGCCCTGTCACCATTTGGGGTCCAATAAATCTAGGTTCGCCTGTGGCCCCTTAATGATACTTGGAGGGTCCGGGGACTCAGTAGGTAGGTACTTAGTTTACAGAGTTGTAAGTACCATGATCCCATGTAAGATCCCTTTTAGGGTACTGAGAACTCTACTTGACTCTCCTTGTAAGGGAACCCGCTCCTGTTGCATTTCAATAAGGGAACCCTAAAGGAGACAGGGCAAAAGGGTAGTACTGGAGAACCTAGTAGTATAGCGCTTTCAAGAAACCGAATCGGGTTGCCCAATAACGAGCAATATGGAATGAGACGTGTGCTTGTTTAGGCTTCTATACTGCGCTGCCATATTTGCATGTAGGGTTTTAGGGGTTGCAGGTTTGGGCTTTCGGATTTCGGGTGTCAGATGCAGCAAGGATACCCTTAATTCGGCTTTACGGGCTGTGGCTGACATAACACCCGAAATCTCCTAAACCCACATCTATTTGTCCAGTATTCTGGCGAACAAAGGTTTGCGTTTGCGAGTATTTTGGGATTATAGTACCCCATAAAAGTTAAAGGTTACCTACTTTACTACTTGGTAAATTCCAAAAACCCAAGTGTGAGCCCTCACGTGCGCATTCAGGTGGTCAGACGATGTCAGGCGAAGATGATGCAGCTTCTCTATACCTGACGTTCCTGCATCGCCTTGCTAGGTGGGCTTCCTGATTTTGAACCATACGGCCCCAAGGAGTCAAAACTTTTTGCATGCCCGAAGACTCGGAGCCATGGAATCCCAAAACCTAAGAGACCCACCTACAGGATGCGGGACTTAGGAAGTAGAGTAAGGGCTTAGGGTGTAGGGTTTATAGCATACATTCACCAAAGAATGGATTATTCCAAAACTCTATTTACAACCGACTTACCCAAGAACCCAAAACCTTTCAATTGAGGGATGGCTTCAATAACACTTTCAAGTTAAGAACTTCAGTGGAACCCTCGAACTGCCCTCTGGCCTGCACCACCGGCTTCTCCACATGCTTCGGGACCTGGTCACAGACTGTAAACCCTTAGCCCTAGAAGACCCTAATGTTGCGGTCTTAATAATCAGGGTACGGTTTTGTGGTATATCATACTGTAATTCTAGTAAAGAACCCCCCCCGAAAATAATGTCTGTCTATATATATATATATATATACATAGGTTACTATTCAGGCCTCTATGCTAAAACCCCACTGATCGCCTATCTCTACAAAGGTTCCCTGCAAAGAGTTGCAAAAAAAAACTTATTCTCGGGGGTTTAGAGTTTAGAGTTCTATAGCCCTGCCTGCCCCTAACTCGGTGTGACACCAAGAAAGGGGACGAGGAACGGTGGGGGTAGGGCTTAGGGTATCTTTGGGGCCCCCGAACAACTTAGACCCCGGCCGCCCAAACAACTAAAGATGATCAGGGAGGCGGCGCCCACCCCACTAACTCGGATTCTGGATGTTCAGGGAAGAGGGGGGTTTACTAATCAGGAGATCACATTAGAAACCGTACGGAACCTTGAAAGGAGCCATTATAAAGCCCTTCCCCTGAATCTGGCCTTCTTTACGGTGGGCTTGGCCACCTGCTTCTGAACTTCCACGCGCTCGTAGCGCGGGATTTCCACGTAGGCTTCCTGCCACGACATGTCTTTGGAAGTCTTCGGCTTTGGAGGGGTAAACGGTTTAGGCTTGCTTTTTGGTTAAAGGTGCAGTCTCTTAATATCTTTGTATGTAAGGCTGTCTGTTTTGACGGTTTAGGGGTTATTTTTTTCGACGGGAAGCAAACTGAGAACCGTACCAGCTCCGAAGATCAGACTATCTACGGTTGAAGAGCCTACGCGCATGGCAACGAGGGTGTCCCAACCCTACAACTACAACTATAACTACTCGGGCGAGGCTGTTCCCCTAAAGCCCTACACCTGAGATGCTGAGTTTGCCCCATCAGGCCGTGAACCTCACAATCGCAAGCTCTAAGTGTAAGCCCGACAGCCCAAAACCCAACGCCGAACGAGGCGAGAGCGTGATAGCAAAATGCGACGCTCAACAGCCACAAAGCTCACAGAAACCGTACAAAGAAACTACACACAATGTTAGGATATGCCAACCGCTTACCTGCTCGGGCCCTGATGCACCAAAACAACCCCTGTAGGACGCCTATGGAGCGATTATGTGACCCATGCACAACATGTCGAAACCCCATACAACCCTTGTGAATCCCAGAGGGCCAGTAGTGTCGGAGTCCTAAACCGCCCCCCCCCTCTCCTCCAGGGCTAAAGGTCTATAGGGTGTGGGGTTGAGGGTTTTGGAATAGAAATTAGGCTATAGGGCTGAGGGCTCTGTTCTCCTGCGAATGTGGTCTCTGAGGTTGCTGGATTGAGGCGTGTGCTTTGTGAAGGTTCTGTTCTGTCTTCAGCAAATGCACAGCACGAAGGACAAGCACGTTTGATCAGCTTTGGGGTCCTGGATTCAGGATTGAAGCTTTAGCCAATCGTATTTCGGCCGCGCCTGAATCAGCGTCATGGGGACCTCCAAGACACGCTCCCGACCTTGCGCCACCTGGGCTGTGAGCTTCGGCATGTGGGGACACCAAGCCATGAACGCCGAAATTGAACCCCAGAACTCAAAGCAACCTAAACCCTGAAGACCCTAAACCCGTCAGATACGTAGATTCAAGCCATCAGCCCCGAACAAGGGCTAAGAGCTCACGGCTCTGAACAGTGGGCTCAAAGTATGGGCCTTGTACCGCAGATATAGGATGGGGTTGAGGGTTCCGGCTTTGAGGCAAAGAAACAGGGCACTCTGAACCTCAACTCCCATGCCCTGAATCTCTCTAAGCCTTGAACAGCTGAATCCGGAGGTGAGTTTCGTGAAATTGATGGAAAAAGGATAGCTGGTTTTATGTTCCACGTCTTCACCCTAAACCTTAAATACTTTCCTACACCCTAAACCCTCTTCACCCGGTGTCTCAAGTGTGTACAAAAACATGCATGGCACGTAGTTGACCGTTTGCACAGGTTACGCTGCTTTAAGCTTACAAAGATGCATAAATGTAAACGAACTAAAATACACACATGTGTGTACGCATGTGTACCTCCCACCATCTATCTATGTATCTATCTAGGTAGTTAGCTAGCCTGCTCGCTACGTAGCTATAATACACCACACCTACATACATTACATTGCATTGCGCTGCGTTGCATTTTTATTACATTACTTTACATTATACTCCTCATGTCATAGTACATTACGGTACATCACCTGCCTACATACAGACATACATCCCTGCATACGTGTATGCAGGCACATCTGTGGGGTCCAGGTCGTCGCTAAGAGCCAGGACCTTCTGAGGCAGACGGCATGTTGCCCTGCCTGGCAAGTACTCTGCTGGGAGGCCAAAAGGGGCTATTATGGGAACCCTAATCCCTACTAAACCCCCATAGGCTAAAACCCCTGTTGGCCTCCCATGATACTCCATAACAACATCCTGCGCTTGGTGCTGAAGTGTCACGGCCCAGTAGCCTCACGGACTCTGCCCTGTGGGCTGAAACAAAGTCCCGTCTGTGTCGTAAGCGGGTGAGCTCTGGAGTTCCAACCGAGATCTGATTTGCTGTCTGCTCGATGAACTCATGATCAGTTCCATGAGCCCTTGAGCCCTCAAACTCCTATATACACCCTAAACTTAAAGCTTAAAGCCGCCATGAGCCCTTGAGCCCTTAAACACCTAAGCTTTACCCCCAAACCCTAAACTTAAACCTCAAAGCTGTAACAGCTCAAAGCCCTGACTCACCCATCAGTGCCCTACAGCCTTGTCCCACTTCTTGCCTCCGTGAGGGGCGTTAGTAAAGGAAGGCTCGCAGGCCCTAAGCCGCAAACTGTAAAACGAAAAATAATCCCAAACGAAGCCAAGGATTTAGGGTTTTGGGTTATATCCTCAGCAGGGTGGTTTGGGGTTTAGGGTTCAGTGTGTCGGGCGCTCAACCCTTAGCCCTGAACCGTGTAGTGTATAGTTATACCGCGAATTATAGTATATACCCTAAACCCTAAACCCTAACACCCTAAACCATAAGCCCAAAACCCAAAACCCTAAACCCTGAAACCCTAAACCCTAAGCCCAAAACCCAAAACCCTAAACCCTGAAACCCTTAGCCCTGAACCCCATGCTTGCGGACGTGTAGCCGGAAGCTCGATCTGCTTAACCAACTCGTGGTAGTCCACCTTCGGAACCTGCTGGAACGGTCCGGGTTTGAAAGGGCTGTTGGAATTTATAGGGCTTGGGGTGTAGCGGTCTAGCGTTGAGGGCTCGGGTTGATGGTTTGGGCCGTAGTAGGTCCAACTGCTGCTTGAAGTTCGGTCTCAGTGGCTTCAGGCCCTGAATCGAACATCACGGTGACTGATCCTCTACAATGCCCGCCCGAAACCTTACACGCAAAAACATGTTAAGCCCCACATCCTCAGCCTGCAGAAGCCAAGCGCACCGGAACCCGCCCCTAAAAGCCCATAAGTAGAAGCTTACAACCCTAAAAGACACCTACGCCTCACGGTCGACAGAAGCTGCCCAAAGCTTCGGAGACCAGAGACCCTGACGCCCAGTAGCCTCCCACATGGCATGCAACGAGTAATAAGGGAAAACTGCCTCAAGCCGACGTGGAGGATCGGAAAGTGCTGATTTTATCGACTTGTAGCTATCTTCTCCACGTCTGGCAAAAATCTCTTCAAGCCGACTCGAACCTCCAAACGAAAGCGCATGGAATCCCAACCCCCCTACCCTAAACCCCACGCTCCAAAACTCTCCAACCATCATCCTAAAGCCCTAAGGGGGACTTCGTAAGTAGGTTAGGAAGTAGTGTAGGAACCTGATTAAGAAACCTTGTGGCTTCATCAGGGTTCCTTATACAAATCCTCATATATTGGAGGGTTATAGGCCGAGGGTTCCTTAATCAGGTTCCTACATTAGAGCAATAAGTACCCCCCTTGGGGTTGTCACACTGAGAACTCTACTCATGTCTGACATGCCAGGTCCACTGATCCGTCAAGTAACAGTAAGTTTAGGGGTCTGAATAGTCACCGGCGCTATTCCCTCATAACCCCGACAACCTTGTTAGTTAGGGGCCCCTAAACCCTCAACCAGAGTCTGCAACCCTTTAGCTACTATTTGCTTAAGAACCCCCAAAAAATAAAAAAATATATTCCTTATGGGGGTAATATAGGGATTATTATTTTTATTTTTTTGTGTTTCTTAAGCAAATAGTAGTTAAGAGGAACCTGCTCAAGGAACCCTTTTTTGGGGTTTGCAAAAGTTTAGCGGCCAGGGTTTGGGGGCTTTCGGAGTCAAGGGTTTAAGCGTTTAGGGTTTAGGGTTTTATTTGTCACCTCAGGGGTTAATTACTAGGTTGGCCCTTTAAAGCCTCTGTAAAATATTCGTAAATGAGGTCCTATTAAGCCCCATAAGGGAAAATATGAAACATCCCAAAGGCCTACCTAGATTAAGGGTTCCTCTCAATGCTCTTTTTTCAGGTTCCTGCCCGAGGCCTCTCGGATGATCTCATCCTGCCTCACGTCGGGGACCTGATCCCGGGTCTCAGCTTTGAGGGAAGAGTTGGGATGTGATGTGGATAAAAAGATTTAGGGGTTAGGGGTTTAGGAGTTTAGGGTTTAGGGATTTAGGGTTTAAGGTTTAGGAGTTTAGGGTTTTGGGGTCTTTGGAAGGACTTATGATGCAGGATTGCCGCTTAAATGATCGGGTCAGGGTTGCGCACTGTAAGATGCTGCCGGCCCAAGAGATGCCAATGTCGGAGAGTCAACGGGGCGACCCCTGAATCCTAAATGCTGGGGTTTTAGGGTTTAGGGCAGTTTAGGGTTTAGGGGTTTTAGGAAGGATTTCAGGAACCACGGTAGATGGATCTGTCCATACCTCCCTTCTCGAATTTAGAACTTCTATACACTGCTATTCAAGAACCATTCCTAGACAAACCCCTCTTAACCCTAAACTCCGGACTTTATTAGCCTTCAACCCCGGATCTTCGCTCTAGCTCTTCAGGAGGCAAAAGTCTAAGACATCGCCATACTTTATTAATGTCGCACCCTGATTCAGAAACCTTGGGTCTTTATTACGGTTCTTGATATGGGTTCTAGTATTTGGGGTGATACGACCAGGGTTTCTTAATCAGGCTCCTACATCACCCTTCAACTCTAAGCCCTTTACGTCCCTAAACCCATAAAGCCTTTCCCACCCCTCCACGCACCTCGACGAGGGTCTCGTGGACGAGTGTAAGAGGCACTTCCTCTACTCGCTCGCGCACCTGCGATTTCAGGTCCTAGTGGGTTTGTTTACGGTTGAGGGATTTCGAGTTTGGGGTTTGGAGGTTAAGGGTTAGGGTGGAGGGGTTTAGGCATTTAGGGTTTGGGGTTTTGGGCATTTGTGCTGCAAATACGTGTGTGTGTATATATATATATATACACACACATATCTATCATCTGTTTTGTTCTGGATGTCACCCACCTTACGGTTTTCTAACATGAGAAGGTTCATTACATATTTACAAGCACTTGTAATAGGTCCTACTTTCGTATATGAAGTTGACTAAGGTTGTATAGGATGCTGTTCAAGGCCCCTTTGGTTCCTCAAGCCAACACTTCTGAAACCGCAGTGCTTGAAGGAAGGCTCCTGCGTTTAACAACTGCCGCATGGCACCAGCATGAAACCAGTCTTCCTTCAAGGTCTCTTCCACGGGACCCACTGACTTCGGAGCCCGGACTCGGCGCTGGATGCAATGAAAAACCACTGCTTTCCTTGGCTCTCTGGCCTCACTGGAAGGTTGTGGTTCCTTCTTGGTCTTCTTCCTCTTCTTCTTCAGGCGGCTTGTGGAAGGGCTGGTCTTGTTGTAATTGAACCAGAGCTCTGCAGAGGTGCAGAAATGGCACGCGCGGTTCCGCACCTGTCCTGCATGGCCAGAAACTGTGCTGCCAAGGTTTCGCGAATCGCAGTCGTTTCGTACGATTTCGATGTGTCGCTCATATTGTTCGCGAAGCGCTTCACCAGCTTATGCTTCCTCTCCTGAACGAAGCATGAGAGCAACCTCCCGTGGCGAGCCAGGAACTCAGGCAAGTGCAAGCTCATGTGGTTTTTCAGCACCCACCACTCTGGCCCGTGATTTGCAAGGTAGAGGTCGCAATGAGCCCCAGCTCCTCCCACAACGCAATGGCGTGACCAAACCCTCATGTATATAACCCACAAACAAAGTCCTTGAAAAACCTGCATTGAAGGCCAAACCAACTCCGCAAACCTAAACCCCAAACCCTACCCCTGATGAAACCATGCAAGCAATGTTAAAACCACCCCTGAATGCCTAACCACCCTAAACCCTAAACCCCAAAACAATGTTTAAAGCCAATCGCGGCAGGCTGCACCATCCCTAATTCCCCAAGAACAACGATGATCCAAGAGGCTCCGATTTAGGCTTCAGGGTTTAGGGTTTAGGAGCTTTGGGGGTTTGGGGGTTTTGGGCTTTAGTAGGGTTTCTAGGGTTCGGGGTTTACGGGTTTAGGGTTTCGAGGGTTTCTAGATTCTGGGGGGTGTGTGGAGTTTAGAGGGCCTACGGGGTGTATAGGTTCATGCTCACTTCCCCCCTTTCTTAAACACCACCCTATTAATAAAACACACGTTCGGGCGAATCCTCCGAAGTCACCCCTGCCCTGTAAAACCTATTCTGAATTCGGGGAGGAGCAAGAGCAAAAGCAAAAGCGGGAGCATCGGGAAGAACAGCGGCAAGAGCAAACCAAAAGCAAGAGAGGGAGAAAGAGCAAGAGCAGGACCAAAGGCGGGAGCAACAGCAAGAGTAGGAGTAGGTGCAAGAGTAGGTGCACGAGGATCGCATCGACACTATGCAGGGCTGTAGATCCTCCTATAGGTTCCTGTACGCGTTCCTTTAACGGTTCCTTCTATGGGTTCATTTATGGGTTCCTTCATGGAGGCCGTGTTTACCCCAACGGTAGGATCCTCGTTGCTTTTAAAGTGCGTTTCGGAGCCCTAGCCTTCGGCTAGCCTCCAAAACAAACGTACTGAACGCAGACCCTGCACCCTAATCCTAGACGGTTTAGGGTTTAGGGTTAAACCCTCTACTCCGCACTCTCCACCTGCAATCCCGCAACACTCAATCCCTTGCAAATCCTTTCCGCCTCGATGCGCGGAACGTCCACGTGCTTCTCCACCACCTCTGTCGGCAGTACTTTTCGGTTGCTGCAAGGGTTCCCTTTAAAGGGCTTTCCGAGGGTTCCATACGGATTTCTTGTCTGGCCTCTAAGGTTTAAGGCATGAGGGCCGAAACAAAGAGAATATGGGAGTTTCCGAAAATAGGGGACCCGAATGTAGTGCCCTGAATAGCAGGATCCTTATTGCACGGACCCCAAAATAAGGTGTCCCAATTTTCGGAAACTCTTATACGGCGTTTTTGAGCTGTTCTAAGACTATACGCAGGGGCCTTTATGGTTTTATACGTGCCTTCATGACTAGCATTGGGTAGTTCTCTAAATGAGGGTTTTTTTTGGATCCCCGATAAAGTACGGCACACGTCTAAACAGGACCCCCAAAGCGACCCTGATTTACAGAACTACCCATATACTAGTATGTCGGTTAGTGTGGTATGTCTACGACGAGGGAAAAGTGGCAGTGACAGTAGCAGTGGCAGAGTCGCAGTAGCAGAGGAGCAGCAGCAGGGTAGAAGTAGCAGCAGGAGGAGTACCTGTAGTGGTAGTAGTAGTAGTAGTAGTAGTAGTAGTAGTAGTAGTAGTAGTAGTAGGAGTAGTAGTAGTAGTAGTAGTAGTAGTCGTCGTCGTAGCAGAAGTAGTCGTAGCAGTAGCAGCAGAACTGGGGGCAGTGGCACCTTCATTTTGTTTCAGGGTTTCAGTGGCGATTAATGATTCGGGCTCTAGGATAAGTAAGACTTGAGTCTGACGGGTAAGGGTCTACTACAAGCAGCAAGGGACTCACTAGGCAGATCATAATGGGCAGAATGACACGTCAATGTAGGGTAGCCCTATCAGGATGCTCCTATACCTACACTTAGAACCATGACAAAATAATGCGGTTGATGAATATTCTCTAGGGTTTTATATGAACAAAATAATTCCTAAGGAGACTATAGGCTTGTAAACTGTGGCAGGTTGAAAGTAGGGTGCCGAGGGAAGAGAGTTTAGGGCGCTGGATTTAGGTTTCAGGGCAGCCCGAAGCAAAACAAAGCAGAGGACCCCCTTGTTGCCTGGAAAGCGGGCTCCGCATGAACATCAGTCTTAAATTCTTAGGCTCGATCCTTCAAATCAAGGTACGCTGGGTCGGGATACAGTCGGGTTTACGGTGCACCACAAAGTTAAGCTTGGTTTTCTCGGCCTTTTATAATCTACAGTAAACCTTCAAACCCTTCAAGACCCGTGCAGGAAGCCCCAAGTACACTGCTCCCCCGGAGCAACCTCAACTTGCGGCTGCTCGCGGAGAATGGTGTGATACTCCACCTCACCAAGAGAGTTCGTGGCTTGGGTCTTGTTTCGGGGTCGCGAATTCAGGGTGTTTAAAAGACTTTACCAGACGGATTCTGTCTATGCCAGGATTAGCTGGCCCCTGGCTTGAATTAGAACCCTTGGTGGTTTTCGCATTCGAGATACATGGGGGCTGAATTGGCAGCTGAACTCACACACAATATATATTATATATATATATATATATATACATATATGCAAAATATATATATATATATATATATATATATATATCTACAATTTCGCAGAAGGAATATTGGATGGAGCATCTGTACCCCAGGCCCGGCACTCCTTGAAAAAGGTTTCGGGAGTCGCCGGGTACAAGTGCAAGTGGCGACGGCACTCCGATAGGCTCGACTGCTGCAAAGGTTGGGGCTCCACGTTCAGGGACTGACGGGATCATGGCTGTAGGGTTTGAGGGTTCAGGGCTTGTCGTTTAGGCTTTAGGGTTTAGGGTTCAGGGTTTGGGATTCGGAGTTTAGGGTTTAGGGTTGAGGGTTTAGGGTTTGAGGGTTCAGGGCTGGTCGTTTAGGCTTTGCCTTAGGCTTTAGGGTTTAGGGCTTATAGGCTTCAGGGTTTAGGGTCTGGGGTTTGTCGTTTAGGGTTGTTCGATCTACCGTTCCACTTTCTACACCTGGTGAGTGCATTAGGGTTTCGGATCTACTGAAGGGTTTACTCGCTTTATGGGCCGAAGACCCTTGAGACCAAGCGAATCCGCCACTCCTTTGCGAGATGTGTCACTTCAACTATATGGGTTGTTGTCAAAATTATGGTCCCTTGTTGGGTCCCTATTATAATACGGCACCTGATATTTAGGGTATCCAAAAAGGGACCCTAATTTTGACAACCACCCACATGTACAAGCAGACTTTGACTGGAACTGTCCACGCGAGATCCCGAAATATGCACTCGCCAACGTTCCTAACAAGACCAAGGTACACTCATCAACGCCGTTAATATAAACCCTACTTCAACATAACGAAAATTTGAAAACACTTTACAGAACCAAGTTCTCGCTCGAGTAGCTGTAAGGCCCTATGACCTTGCAAACTGCCACCTGTATCCCATTGCGCTTCATTCTTAGAGTTCTGGGCGATCACGACGCTCCGTCCAAGCATCACAATACTGTTCTACCCTCCTTCAAACTAACATTTGTAATACGTTTGACCAAGAACCCTTAACCCACCTCTATAAAAACCCTAAACCCTCAACCCTAAAAATAAAACCCGACCCCACAAATTGATCCTCCATGGGCCTTCTTCCGCTCCACGTGCTTGACGACTTCTGCCTCGGCAAAGTATACTTGGAGGATCATGAAACTTAGTAAGTAGGGTTCTAAGTAATTACCTTAATTCAGGTTATAAGTAGATATAGCTATAGATACGTTACTTATAACCCTACATAGTAAAGTCTCCTGATTTTCCAAATACGTTCGGGTTTCGTGGCGGTAAAGACTTAAAACGCTAATCCATGGGCGCTTAGAATTCGGGGGCTTGTGACATATTGCTGATGTATGTGTCTGCGGTCAGCACTGCCGCAATCGTAGCTGAGCACAAAGAAAATAAAAACGGAGAGAGAGAGAGAGAGAGAGAGCGAGATGGAGACAAAGGAGTAGGGGCTAATTACTGCAGGATTTAAGCGATAGCACGAACCAGTGCACAAACCCTACACCCTAAATCGCTAAATAAGGGTGCAGTGTGTAGTGCTTATGCACGGGCGAGCGCCTTAAAGCCCGGCGATGCCAATGCGTGGTCGGGTGCCGCGAAACACCGCACTCTAATGTACTGGCTGCTACGCAATTCGAAAATTTCTTCGTAGCTTTATCGGAGGCACAAAGCCGCACAAGATTCTAGCCTTGCACATCCTATAAGATTTCCTCTCCCCTACCGATTTTGCTGAAGCTTCTCCATGCTCCTAACCTTCACCGTGTGTTAAGCCGATGATAGCCGATGCACCACGACTGCTCGAGCAATGTCGAGTCAAAACCCAAACGAGGCTGTGAAGTCCTATATTGCCCAAAACCCCAACCCTACACCCTCTTCTCGTGACTCTGCAACCCTGAGCTCGAACCCCCCAAACACGCAAGACTGGTGCATCCCTGATGTTTTGCACGGTTTAAGATCCCGAATAAGCTATCTCCACCAACAACTGCAACGTGTCTGGAAATGCTACAAAATCCATTAAAAACTATCGAATATAGAGACCTCATCACACCCCATCATCACACCCCACTAGCGTGTAAACCCGAGTTCTGAAACCCATTCCCTAAACCCTGAACCCTCTAAGTGCTAAGCTGTAAGCCCCTCACGTAGCATGGAAACTTTATAAAGGGGGTTTGGGCAAAACCCTCAGGCCTCATCAAAAATCTTCGGACAAGTAACCCCTCATCAAACGGTTTGCGACAGCCCGTCGCTGTACGTCTTAATCCCCAGCCGCGTAATCAAATGAAAAAGCCCAAGATGTAGAAGTCGGAAGAAGTAGTACTACTGCACATAGAAACACTGAGAGTTTTGCACACAGTCACGCTCGAAACGCGAGTGATCAGAAGCAGAGCTCCCACGAAAAAATGGACAAGACCCACCCACACCTAATGCACACCCTCGCAGCTGCAGGTTCAGGCAAGCCCCCAATCAAACCTTCCACTCCCGTCCCGGCCAAACCCTCCTCAGCACCCCGTGTCTCTGTGGGCAAAAGCCTGAATCCCAGCAGAGCACCCCGTGGTGGAGACAGGGGTGGATGGAGGACGATCCAAAAGTTGGTCCAAAAACTGCACATGCGTGCATTCGTGCTGCATACTAGTGCTCTCACACACACACACATCTATATATATATATATATATATACACAGCGAGACTTTTGCACACAGCCGCGCTCGAAGCAAGAGTGATCAGAAGCAGAGTTCAAACGAAAGAAATGGACAAGACCCACCCACATCTAATGCACACCCTCTCAAGGAACTCAGGCCAGTGGCACCTCCACCAATCCCCCGAAAGAGCTGCGACTTGATCACCAGGCCAACCAAGGCCGCACTGCAACCCGACCTCCTGCCTAACTCAAATCAAAGTTACTTCTTCCAGGTCTCATCAGTCCAACAAAATCCCCGCTCAATGCAATGGTGGTCGATCGTCTGCTGTGCAACCTGAACTTCATCCCATTCGACATACAGAGGCCTTCCCATCACGCAATGTGTGCACTCTGGAGAGGAATAGCGGGTGCGATAGAAAGCTCTCACGGAAGATGCTTGCTGGTAGATGGCTGTCGCAACTTCCAACATATGGTCCACGGTCAGAGTCATGCCAATCAACCCGGGGTCCATCGCAAAGTGCGGCGGCCCCTTTGTTGACCTGCATCAGCGCATCATCGGGAACATCAGGCACTGGGACCGTAAGCTCCCGTAGAATCCTCACGCCTCCTCGGCTAAATCCTCGCAGCCTTCGGCAACAGTAAGCCGTGACAGCCCAACGGTCGCCTTCCCAGGATTCTGAGGCGTGCCGCCGCCGAGCATCGAAACTGCAGACCAGGCCACGATTGCTGACGACCTCACTGCAGACAGGTCCCTCTGCGTTTTCAAACGAACTCTCCTCTGCGCCTCCAGGTGCTTCAACCCACAATCCCCCGAAGACATAGCCCCCCAACGAGATCAGGTGGTTGAGGTGGCCTTGCTCATTGTTGTCCGCATCGAGGCTGGTCCAGCTATGCTCGGGGAGCTTTGCTCTCGGCCAGCGGTTTAAAGCCTTGGTCACCTAGGCGTTTTCGCTGTGCCAGCTGGAGTGTCCAGAACCCTTCCGGTGCTTGCGAATAAGCTCTTCAGCAGATCCACACTCTCTTCGTTTCCTAATGGCCCCGACTTACCTGCTAGACCGGACAAGTGCGAGGCAAAACAAGGGAGGTCTCCAGCCCGGCGGGCTCGTCAAGGCAGGAGTAATGCCGTTGGAGCACACCCAAGAACTCATCCACCGAGTTTTCACACTCAGAGATCATAAGATGAGGCGTATTGCAATTTGAGCTTAGTGTCCCGAGGATCAACTTGTCCAAGAAGATACTGTACTGAACCAGCCCAATATAAGCTTTTTCACCCTCACACTTGCCAGCGGGTAGGTCGGATACCGTTGTCTCCAATGCCGAAATGCAAAGGCGACCATCAACAAAGCAGGCAGCTCGACTTGCATCCGCCTGCGTTTTCCCTTTTTACCTTTGGCTTTCCCGATGCCGCCTTCCGCTGGCTTCGGTGAGTTGTCGGGCGGTTTGTCGGCGTGCTGCCATCGATTCCCGAAGTGACCTCCGTCCATCCTTGATGCCCCGCTCCAGGGTCGTCGGCGTAGATCTCGTTGCAAGTCCCAATCCGCCGTCACCTTCTGTTGAGCACCCCTCAGCTCCTGCTCGAAGCCGCTTGGTCCGTCGTCATGATCAGTTCCAGCTGGGAAGCCTGCGTCCAACCCCCGTGCTTTGTGCAACCTCTAGAGCGTTCAACCTCTGGACTAGGACGTCTCAATGCTCCAAGTCCGTCGTTCCCGCAGACGAGGTCGATGGCGGTGGCCGGGGTTGTCATCCCCTTCACATTCCGACCCCAAGAGCTTCACGACAGTGGGCCCGAAAGTAGATTTGATGAAGACATGCCCGTGCCACTGCGGGCAGCTTGTTTTGCTCGATGGCCGACCCCCCACCCAGAGCTTTTGGAGCGGCTCTTGGAGCCTGAGAAGCGTCAAAGATGCCAACCGACCATCTCAGCCTTTCTACCCTTTCGGGAATGGGGGCCGAGTGAAAACTGACTCAACAGATGCGGGCGGCCCGTCTCGACCCGTCTCTCTTGTTATCCTTCTTGCTCTTACTCTTCTTACCCTTCTTCTTCTTCTTATCATGAGCATTGACGGTCATGAGCTGGAGCGCGGAACTTTGGGGAGGTCGAAGTGCTCGGGCTGCGATCTCATCATTCAACTGCCCACTGGTATGCCGGCCTGACTGATGACGATTCTCGCCTTTCTTCTGCTTCTTCGGTGACGGCTCATGCTCTATTCCATCTAGGCCGCCAGTTCCAAGGGCCGCAGCCAAACCTTCAATGCCCGGCATTCCAGTCGTTACCTCATCAGGGCTTGCTCCCACTCCCTTTTCAGTGTCATCGCCGACATGGCCTGGCTGACCAACCTGAGACCGGGAAACATACTCCGGATACGGCATCAGTTTGGTCTTGCGTTGTGGCATTAGCCACTTGATGTGATCGAACATGTCAGCCGTCAAGACGCAAAAGACATCAGCGTGGATTGCATCGCGGTACACGTCACATCTGGAAACATGGGTGCGGCAAAAGTGTATGGGTGCAACTCGTTCAATGCGGTACACTCCATATGTTGCGTTGACCCACTGCTCATAGTATTGGTCTTGGCAAGCGCTCACGTGTCGCATGAAGACTCTTCCATGATTGATGTATTTCTGGCTGTGCGGCACACTAGAACACTACCTTGCTGCTTGAAGCTGTCGTCAGGGCCAACAAGCTCAATCAATGCCTGACGCTATGATGTTCTTCTGGGGCCTTCCGTCCAGTTTTCCTCCAGCGTGGAAGAGATGTCATCAGGAGTCCCAGTCACTGGCACGGGGAGAGACGGGGGGACTCAAAGGCTTTACGAGCCCCAAAGCAATGTGTGCATTCAGTGTGGTCTCGCATTACACAGCAGATTTGCCACACAATTTATCAAGGCCCCTTCATAGGTCTCCATATTATGAAAAGAAACCATGAGGAATAATGTTACTAAATTTCAAGTCCGCCTATATATCACGTGCAGCTCTGCTGCAGGGGCCATTGAGGATCGACCCGAGCGGCTGGTGACCTGCGGTGACCTGAAATGAGGAATTTGGGTCTTAGGGCTTATAGGGTATAGGGATCAAGGCTCGGAGAGTTTGGGGTTTATCATGAATAACACTTAAAGGGTACAGGGCTTAGGAATTAGAGGGCTTGGGGTTTTTCAGGTACAGGGCTTTTAGGGTACCGGGCTTAGGGTTTAGGGCGTTTGGGGCTTAGGTCTTAGACGATTCACTTAAAGGGTTCAGGCTCTGGGTCGCGGGCTCTTGCTTGAGCTCGAGGGCGGAACTACGGCTGATGGACAAAAATCCTGCATTACCCATTATAAGGAATATACCATAGTTCCCATAGTTTAGAGTCCTTAGGGTCATGCAGGATTTTGTCCATCAGCCGTATTGCAAATTTATGGGCCGAGGCCTACAGGATGTGGATTGGGTTGGGGGTTTAGGGTTGGGGACTTGAGCATAACGGGACTTCTTCATGACCAGAGGGACCCCAAATTCAAGAAGCCCCCGCCCCAACAAGATATTCGGAGTATTCCAGCGATATCCACATTCTTTGGGAGGTTCGACCCATGTCCAAGTCGCTGCCAGGGATTGCTACTGTAAAGCCTTCTCTCGTGCAGGATTTGCCCCTACCCTCTAAAATTCGCATGGGCCAGAACCTAAAACACAAACCCCAGACCTAACAACCCTCAATACGAGAACCCTAAAGACCTGGTGAAAGGATCAGGAAACGAAGAAGCGAAGTCATGGTATAGCCAGAAGTAGGCTAGCAACCACTGTAAAACTTGTGGCCCCGCTCTTGTCGCCTACTTATCCTCTGGTCGTAAAACCCAGCAAGCGCCCACAAGACCCTTATCAAAGCCGACAACCAGCGTCCAAGCCAAGAACAAACCTTCCTCGAACATACCCTGAAGTCCGAACTTTAAAGCCCTGAACCTTCAAAAAAGCGGCTTTTATAGTTAGAACAATTAGGGTTTGGGGGTATATTCTAGCATAATGATAAGGAACCCCACCATAACGTTGGTAATTGTTTAGGCCCCTATATTACACTGCCTTACGAACGCTGCAGATGCAAGCCGGGATGCCGCGTCCACGTCGCCGGAAGCTGCGCGACGGGTGCGTGAGTGACCATCGCCGGCTCCTGGAAAAGCCGAGCCGCTTGCTTCTTCGGGGCTTCGGGCTTGTATTCTGCTTGCATGTGTCTGATGAGATTAAGGATTTGTCAGGGTCGGTCATTAACCGGCTCAAAATTACCTTTCTTGATTGCGTGTGCATTGGTTCTACCAACAAGAATTTAAACAGAAAGTGTGCGACTACTCCTCGGTTGAGAGGCTTTGCAGCCATTAGACACCCACGCAGTTTGGGCGCCGGGGTGCAAGGTTTCGGGGGCTTATAATAAGGCACCGGAAGAAAAAGTATCAGCACTTCACCAGGCTTGCATACGACCTTTAGTCTCCATTGTAGTTCCTGGTTGTGGTTAACCGAATTTGTGTTGTAGGATCATAACCATAAAACTGGTTAACCAACAAGTGCTAACTACAACGGAGGCTATAGGTCGGTCCGTTGATCGGATCCCGGGTCCCATCTCGGATACCCAAAGTAGCAGTTAGAATGGAGAAGAATAGTAAGCATAATGACGGCAATGTGGGTCCCTCATACAATGATACCATAGCTGTCGCTTCGAGCATGAAGATCCAGATTAGGACCTCCCATCTGCAAGCCCCCCCCAATCCCTGCCTGCGGTATGTCGTACTCTCCGCCGTGCATCATGCCACCTTCTGCGCGAGGGAGATAGAGTGAGACAGAGAGAGCCTGTGAAGCCCGAGGCCTCGGTTGAGGTAGGTTAAAGTGTACGAGTACAGTTAAAACTTGCGGGGGTTCTGTCTGCAGTTTTACGAGATATGTTTCATAAATTAGGTGGCAAATGCCGGGGGCTTAGTGGGGTCTTAGGTGAACTGATAATGACTGCAGATGCAAAAAGAACACAAAGCCTTATCAAGGCTTGCGGGCTCCCATTAAAACATTAAATCTGATGAAGCCTAGGGCTTAGGGTTCTACAGGGCTTTGTCAAGCCCTGTAGAACTAGAATTATAGAACTCGACGACGACTCGGTCGAGACTCAGAATCCTAAATTCCCCGATATGGATCCTAAGTAGCAGGATCCTCAACACAAACATCCCTGAATGAGGTGATCTACTCAGTATAAAACTAAGCAGGCTATCAAAACTAATATGTGGTATTTTACAGTCTACTGTATGTAGTACGTAGTTCGAAAAACAACTTGATGATTGAAAAGAAATGAACACCCCCCGAGGCCCGGTCACTAAACCCTAAACCCTCAATCCTAAATCCCTAAAGCCCTAAACCCTAAACTCCTAAACCCCCCAAACTTAAAACCCTAAACCCCAAAACCCTAAACCCCAAAACCCCTAAACCCTAAAAAGCCGCCTCCACTGGCCATGCCCTGCAGGTTGCCGTAGACGCCGTAGCTCAGCGGAGCGGATGTCGGCGGGCCCTCGGAAGAGTACTTAAAGGATCAGGGGACTTCGTAAGCAGGGCTCCTTTAAGGGATTCCATAGGGGTACTATAAGGGTTTAGGGTTTAGGGTCTCCTTAAAGGATCTTGGGACCTAGTAAGTATAGGGTTATAAGTAATGTAACTATAGTTATAGCTACTTATAACCCTGTTTAAGGTACTTACAACCCTTTTTACTTGCTGAGACCCATGATCCGCTAAGTATATACAGCTTTACGGGAGCTTGAGGTCGCCATAGCTATAGGCTATAGGGTCTAAGGGTTTATGCTTCGCTTTTAGGGCTGCATCGGGAGGCAGTCTCCGCGCACGCTGCGAGGCGGGTCAAAGAGCTTGATGCCCAGGTTCTTCTGCTATATCAATTCCTGGCCTGGAGGGCTGACCAGATCCTCAAGAATGCTGACAAAAAGCATTTTGCCCGCGCCAAAGTGGATGCTCCTTTTGAGAAACCCGGGTAAGGAGCCTGTCCCTCGACTCAGGGATGTCGTCACTCCGCCAAATAAGAAGCAACGTCTCCAGGAGATTGTTGCCGCAGGTGAGCATCTCGGGCACTGTTTTCGCGTCAGCAAGGATACCAAAAACAATCTGCAGGTTGCTTGCGCAAAATGCAAGCTGTGGGTGCAGCAGGTGCACTCGCGAAGGCCATGCCTGCAATGTCTTGCACTCTTTGGTGAGCTCTTCGTATTTCGCCTGCGAGCTGCACGTAGCGGAGTGGAGGGGCCTCAATACATAAAGCCGGATGTGGATTTACATAGGCTTTATATGCGTCTGGTAGTCTAGGGCGTAGGTTTGAGGGTCAAGCATTTGGACTTGGGGTATTCGGATGTTCAGACCATAACATGTGGAAGTCCGCTCAACCCATTCTGCAGCAGCTCACTGGACGTTACTATGTCCCTAAACCCTAAAACCCTATAGAACGCGTAGGTATAGAATCCCTCACACGAACCCCTCAAGGACCTGATGCAAAAGAATCTCTGGGCTTTTTGGGTTCGCTTGCCTGGACTCCCGTTGCAAAGTATACGGCCAACAGTCGTAGTCATCGGGCAATATATGAAGCATGTCTGTGCGACTTATACTAGTGGTCTGGTCCGGTGAATCAAACCCCAAAGTTTCAAAGGGCTGAACTCAACACCCTGAGCCAAAACTCCTAAATCCAAAAGCCAAGACTCTACACCCCCAAACCCAAACCCCAACTTTAAACCCCAAAGCAAACAAAACCGTCAGACGGTATCCCTAGGCGTCATGAGGGCATGCTGTCTCCGACTTGCGTTCGGTTCTACAGAAACCGAAAACCAGAGCCCACTGGTTTAAACCCTATTCCCTAAACCCTAAACCCTAGAGTCTGGCCTAGAGGGTCATTTTCCGTTTCGTGTTCAGGTTGTAATGGATCCTGGGCTACGGGCGTAGGGTCCAGGGCATGGATAATACGTACCGTAAACCCTAAGCCGAAAGATTTTCGTTTGAGGAGCAGCAGAAAGCCATCTCAAGCATCGAGCCCTGAGCCTGGTTCTGAGCGTGGAATTGAGGCTTCAAAGCTGTGGATTCGAGGGGCCCGAGCCCTAAACCCTCTATTTCGAACCCTAGTTTCTTCTAAGCCTGTAGTACCCTCAAAGGCAATCCTTAAGGTGCACTTAAACAGGCCAAGGCCCTGAACCCTTTGTAAGAACCCTAGTATGAAACCCTATAGTACACTCAAAGGCAATCCTTATAGTACCCTTCGAGGGCTCACCGGAACGGCCTGCAGAGTGCTAGCCATGGAGGGATCCGACTGAAAGCTCTGCGGACCCTGCATGGCTCAACTACACTCTGAAGCCGATGTGCTAAACCCTTAGCCCTTAGCTCTAAGCTCTAAACGCTCTTACCATAAATCCTGAAACCTGAACCCAAGATTGAAACAGACCGATGGATGTGCTGGGAGGTAGGTGCAGGAAGTTTTGGGAAGAGTTAGGATGTGGCTGTAAGTACTTCTGTCTTGCTGCCCTGCCTGGCACTTCAGATCACTGCTGAATCGCAGAGTCAGATCCCACGGACTAGAAGACCTTGAACCGGGAAAAATAAATCCTTGATAATTAAAAAATCCTAAACTCCTAAGCTTCAAACAGACATTCGTCGGGGGAGCGGCTGAAGTGAGATGTCTATGGAAGCACAGATACTTTGCTTGTTTGCAGTGTTGCGCTGCGCTTCTTGATCCAGAGAAGAAGCGGCGAAGTCTACATCGCGCCAGTTTTAAGCTTATGTCCTGGTCGCCAAACCCCAAAGCTCACCAGACATCCCCAACCCTGAGCCACCCTACATGCAACCCTCAAACCTAACCCGAGACTCAATTGCTTGCCGGAGGAATCTATCAGCGGATGATACTATTACAAACACTCCCTGAAGATAGGCCCTATGTTGCCACCGCAAGCCCGCACAAAGCCCCAGCACCACTCCAACAAAATTTCCAGCTCAGGGTCTACAGTCTAGAGTCTGAAAGGACCGTTGGACTGTCGCACTCCCTCAGGGTCGAAGGCTTGGGTGTAGCCCTTTGAAAGTTCCGGAAAGAGACCAGAAAAAAAAACAGAAGCATCCTATCTTTGGGCAATGAAAACCGCACGCCATGAGATCCTCATGTTTAATGCCGGGGCCTGTATTGCGACTTGGGTTCTACGATAGTACAGCGTATGTGTAGAAGGTATATAAGCAGATAACACTTCTGTTTTTCAGTATCCTGTGTTAAATATTCCGTTGGACAAGGTGAGCTTCTGCAAGATGTCCCCTTCTAACCCGAAGCCCTAACCGCAAAAAATGAACCCTCAACTGACCCTCAACCCCTGCACTCTCTGCATTTTGTCAGTGCAAGCACATTCCTCCACACCCTGCACGGGCAAATCCGAGAGAACTGCGGGGTGATACGCGTCTCGGAGGATGGAACGGAATCATGTTGACGGTTTCAGGGTTTTGGAGTTTTGGGCTTAGGGTTTAGGGATTTACGGCCCTGAGCCCTGAACCCATGTCAAATCTTGAGGGCCTTAACTAGGAGAGTTCAGAGATGTTTAGGAGTGGATTAGGGGTAGAATCGGGTTTAAATTTAGGGGTTCCGAGTTTAGGGACTTCCAGCCCGAAACCTTAAACCCTTTAATCAAAGTCTTGAGGGTATCGGCTAACCCGCAGCCCCCAGGTACCCTTTAATAGAGCCCTCCTTATGGTCCTTAATAGTGGGTATTTGGGGTATATTAGAGGGCACTTGGGGGTCTAGGAAAGAGTTCAGGGAGGTGTTTAGGGATAGACAGAATAGAAGCGGATAGAGACTTAAGCCAGGCCGCCTGAGACGCTGTACATTGGACTTCAACTGGAGCTAGCATTGTCAAGATGAGCTCCAGACTCTCGAACTCCACGAAAGAGGGCTCGTAATATACCCCGGGCGGATCCTAAACTTCTAAACCTCTCAGCACACCAAGCCCCGAACAGGATGGAACTTATAGCAACAAGACTGTTCAGGCGGTTGAGTAAGTACAGTTTATGTACTGGAATCCTCAGCAGGCTACTGGGAGGTTTTCCTCGAAAGTGGATTGCCAGTTAGGCCCCTTAACCACAGATCCACGAAAGATTCGTCATAAACATACTATTTAGGATTTGAAAGACTTTCTGAAGGGGTTTAGGAGTTCATATAGAAATCCTACCAACCGGGCCTGGAGCTCCTGTGGGTTCCCGCAGACAACGATTTTCGGTGCTGCAGGAACAGATGTGCAGATAAGGCCCCGAAACGAGCGCAACCCGCCTCGTGCGTTCTAAGTCGTGAGTCTCTTACCCTAACTCTGCTTTCGGGGAGCTTCTCTGTAAAAAAGGCTACTAGTAAAAGTAACCTATGTAGGTCTTCTGGAATTGGGGTACGGTATGATCGACACTTCCTCCAACCAAGACAAGAGACCTGGGACTCTAGCGGCAAGAAAGAACTGAGCTGTCACCACGATAGATGCTACGACCTTGAGAAGGCTTTGCAATTCGCGGGGCCTTCCCTCCTGTCTGGGCATGCTAAGGCATCTCCTGATTCTCAGGACATGCGTGCAGAGTCGCCAATTCGATCCTCTAGCACAAAAAACCTCTGCAAACCATATTTGCCGAATTGAACCAAACATGACTATCTTAGGCCGCAACTCCTGAACCCGAGCACTCCGTCAAATGATATGTTGCAGCCACCATTGAGCCATCACGATCTTAGCAAGGTAAGGTCTGACGGGCCCTCAACAGGTGACCCCAAGAACGTCGTCTTGGAAGATCGAAACACCAGGCCTGCAAAAACAGCCACACGATTTCGGGTTGGGGTTGGCATGTGTGGAGTTAAGGGTTGAGGACTTGGCGTTTAGAGTTTTGGGGTATTGGCTCGGATTCCTACGAGTACGTCATTTCAGCGTTCCGTTCGAGTTTGGGGAGGTCCCTTTAGTTTTCCCGGATCCTGAACCCTCAAGCCAGAGGCCCTGAACCCTTAAACCCTAAACCCCTAAACCCTAAACCTGGAACCCTCAAGCCCGAGCCCGTGAACCCCGAAACCCTTCCCGAAGCACGCCTGTGATGGTTGCCCTTCGTGATGAGCGTGGCTACTCTGTATAAGCCTCGGAGTAAAGCCAAAAGCAGCTCGCATAGTAAGGCTTAGGCTTTATCATACTACAGTTGCAAATATAGTTCATGGTCCACAATAAATAAGGGACCAAATTGGAGGCTGTAAGTAAGGCTTTGAAGGGCTTAGGCTTTTGAATCTTTTGACTATGGTGGTAACCGGAGTCAAACATGAAAGTAAGGTTAGAAACGTTCAGGGCAAGCCGGGGGCAAGCGATCAAAGCAGAGACAACTATCGAAAGCTTGTGAGCATAGCCAGAAATTCACGAAGCCGCCCTTGAAAACGCTTACAGCTGCATTTCAGAATGTGGTTTTGGGAGTCTAACACATAAAACTCGCCAACAGGGACTATTATAAGGGGAAGTTTTTACTCATTGTCCAAACCTCCATGTTAACCTCAAAGGCGAAGCCCTCCTCACGGAGTTTGTGAAGCTACTGAGCAGGCGCCTCGTCTTTCCCATCGGAGTGCCAGAATACCAGAGACTCTGAAACGAACCTGCATCGCGAAAGGATCCTGAGCATAAAGACCCCTAAACTCTAGAAACCCCCAACTAGGTCTCTGATCCTGATCATTTGGCCCCCCTAAGTTTGAGAACCGCCTTCTAGGTCTCGTAAAAAAAGGCAGCCAAGTGGCGACCTTGCCGCGCCTTGAGGTCTGCCCGGACTTTTGCCATCGCGCCCTGGGCCAAAGGCTCGGATTTCTCGTTTGAAATCAGCTGAGATTCAGCGTCCTTGAGGGTTTAAGGCTCCAAAGCACTTGACCAATTGACCTAGACCCCAAGCCCTAAACCCAAACTCACAGAGGTGGCAGGCCCGGCCTGTCCGATGGGGATGGACAGCTCGTTGTCTTTACCAGGCAGGTCATTCCTGAACGGATCGGCACGAGAGAACTCTTTATCCTTGTCGTGGTGTTTGAATTTCTGGTCGGGTTTAGGGACTTAGGCTTGAAAGGAATCTGTAAAGAACTTGTGTACGCTTTTACTCGGGGATTCGGATTTGAGACGGATATAAAGGGGCTTTCGAGCTTGATAAGATCTTGACATTCATGGAGCTCAACATTGGTCATACAATAGCGATATAAACTTAAGGACGACCTATTGTACCAACATACATGACACAGCTGGGGCGCTCTGACATGAGTAAGTGTACATCTGTTTACAGAAGTCTGAAAAACTAGTAATGAATAGTATTCCAGACCCTATAGCAGTCTGTGACAACATGCACCGAAACCAATTGTTTACGGCCCCCCACACGTTCACTCCCGAGGACCGGGCTTGCGACCGCCGTGGTGGAGATTCTTCAGCGATGGGTCATGCTGGTACAACCAGGAACGCTGAGTCCTGGGAGAGGTTGGCTTAGGGCTTTGGTTTAGGTTTTGGGGTTTTAGGGTAGTATTTACTTTATTTAGGGCAATTTAAGGTATTTAGGGCTTAGGACGCCTGTCTTCTAGTTTAGTGCAGCCTTTGGTGGGTTCAGGGCCTCGGGTCTGGGGTTTGCATGAGAGTGGGCTCCAGGGCGGGACTGGAAGGATGCCAAGTTTAACTGGGTTGGCCTTTAAACACCCTGAAAGATATTTATATATAGGGTCCCTTATAAACCCAAATAAGGAAAATAAAACATGCCCCAAAATCCAACCTAGTTAAAGCCTCAAGGATGCTTAACCTTGCGATTCCGTTCGAAGCTCCCGTGCGCATGTTGAGTTCCTTTCTTGCACGGTGCAAGCCTGATTGCGGACATCGGGACCGAATGAGGAGCTGGAGTTTAGTGGTTTCGGAAGGGTTTGGCATCTGAGGCATCAAAACCGCAGGGTTGGAGGTGCAGCGGGTCACGAAGGCGGGTTTAAGCAAAAAGAGTAGGTCTGAAAAATAAAGAGGATAACAGGTGGTGGAAGGTTTTGGTATGTTTCCAATACCATGCCCTGAAATGCCGAGCCCGAAACCCTGGGCCATACATATCGTTAAGACATGGCCTAAAATACCCTGACCGACTTGTCAGAACTTGTTGAAACCGACATTGCCAACATTAGTTCCCTAAGGTTGGCACGCATGCTCACCTTCCAAACCCCCCACACGAATATCGAAGTAAAGGCCCTTCAATGTTCGACTCCGACTTCCAACAAATCCTTGGCTAAGTAGAGAAACATTCCTGATGATCTTCCTGTGGCCCTACGGAGAACACATGGATATCATTTGGGTGGTTGTCAAAATTATGGTCCCTTTTGGGGTACCCTAAATATTAGGTGCCGTACTATAATATGACCTAAGGGACCCTAATTTTGACAACCACCCATTTGGCTAACTAACGGCTCTCGCAAACCGGAACCTCCACCCCCAAATGCACAGTCGGGGCCCTGGCCGGGTATTGGAGGCTGGATTGTTGGCGTCATTGTAGGCCTGTGCCATGGATTTCCGGGAGTCCCCAGAAGCACTTTCAGAGGTGTTGCAGAGGCCCCTGAGTATCCCAAACCTCAGCTCCGGCTAAACGACAAGTACCTGAAGACGATAATCAAAAACTGAGCAGCATCAGGATGCCCCGGTGCCCTTCAGTGGCGATTGGTGGGGCTTTGGATCGCCATCCTTCGAAAAGGTCTAAATGCCAGACTGAAAGCACCGATAATTACTACAAGGATCCCGACTACATCCTGATCGAGGAAGGGAGTTAATTCTGAGCCACAGGCCTGGGCACATGCAAGTTTATCTGCCAAAAGCTGCCGAAACCTCCACGTCTTCCCCTAAACCCCAAACCCAAAACCCTTGCCGCACCCCGCAAAACGACTCAAACCCTTTCTGCGCATCTGAACCCGTAGCCTAGCCCCAAAAGCCCGCACCCGCAAGCTAGACTTCACACAGCTTCCTGATATAGGGGCCTGATTAGACTAATATTTTGGGGGTTTCAAGTACACTACATACTATAACATGGGACCTTCAAAGAATAATATTGCTGTTTACCAAGCTTCGGAATTACTCCCTGCCTCGCCGCAGAGGACACCGACTTTCATGCCCCTCACTCGGCCCTGGCCCAGCGGGGCTCATATAGGGGGCCTTAATCATTAGAATAGGGTTCCTTTTCAAGGGGCCTATAAGGATTACTATAAGGGGTATTATGAGGGCTTAATGTAGTAATAATTAGAATGGGATTTTGGGGCCCATTATACTATGGTTATAACAAGGAGCAGCCCAAAGGCCCAAAATAGTATAGGTGATTAAGGCCCCTATATTATGCTTATCAAGGCTTCATCGGATAGGTGGTGTGGGTTTCATTCTTCAATCACTCCAGAAAGCTTAAACCAAGACTCACTGGGTCCTAGTAGGGTCCTTTTATGACGCATCCATATGAGTGAGGCATACTCGAATTTATGGGCCGTGGTTTGGCTTTGCAGTGTTGAGGTTGTGCGGGTGTGAGGTTTCGCGAAATCGCAGATGCACATCGAATCCTAAAACACGAGACCTTGATATGGGCAAGGCTCCACTCCGACGGAAAAGCGGCAACACTACCGTATGGATTTGAAGCAAACGGGTCTGAGGAATGGGGCATGTTTCGCAGATATGCCGCGCCCCCCCAACAGTGCGTTGGGGACGAGGTTGAAGGTCTTTAGCCTGCAGGCCGGGTTGAGTGAATCACAAACCTGAATTATCAGCACCACGCAAGCGACCTGCAGCACATGAGCATCTCCAAGCAAACACCAACCCCCCGAGCGCTGGAACTCGCAACAGACTTGACAAACTTGACACGCTAAAAACTCTTGCGAAGTCTTATTGCCCAAGGAAGCTCCGGGTGGTGTACTGTTTAGGGTTCACGGGCTACCGTGATGAGAGCACCGACGTGTACTCATGCAATACGTTGCCTCCTCGTGCTCCGTGCCCAGCCCTGCCGAATGCGGCACTGCTGCTGCATCCACCTGTTTGATCGCACAGGAATTCAGCTTCGAACGCGGGTTCGGCGTGAGGCTGCCTGAGTTTCAGGTTCGGGTTCCGGGCATAGGACAGCTTAAACTTAAGAGCTTGAGTTTTGGTCTTCCGGAAGGATGGAGTGTCTATGCGAAGGAGTGGCTTGCAAACGCGTCAGAAGAAGCAAGTGCAGTAGCTCTTCAACACCGGGTGCCCCCAATGTAGGGCGAAACAGGAGATCAGTCTTCATGCGAATCTTTTCTCAAGGCTCTTCATTACAACGAAACCTTTCACAACACTCACCTGCGTAGCCTCCTTGAGCCTTTTGTTGGCATCCCAAAGCCTCGGAGCCTGCTAAAGCCATCAGACTCAGAAGCCGCAGAACCTGCGTCAACTCCTAAACACACAAGGCTCGGAAGCTCAGTGCGTAATCGCTATATCTCTACCATCGAGTCATCAGGCCCTACTGCTTTAACTAAGGCATTTAAATATCAGCCACTTGCAAGAGAAGCTGAAAAGTCTCATCTCTTGGATAGGGGCTTGTGCCTTCTCCTTCTTGCGGCTGCCCTGGCCGGCAGGCAAGCACGGAATTTAAGCATGGGAGCTTCACAAATTCCTGAGACTCCAGCGACCCCAAGAAGCAAAGGAGTTCCGCGAAACCATACTTTCCCTTCATAGACGCTTGTTGTCTAAGGAATACTTTTAGCTCCCTCTTCGAGCCGCGGACTCTTGCAGAATCGCCGCGTTGCTTGGAGTGAGTAGATGGGCTCGCGATACGGGGTCTCGGAATCAAAAATCCAACTTCGCAGGGCTATAGGGCTTCGGGATTTAGCCCTTGGGATCTCAATCGAATTGTAAGCTTTCGGACTCGGGAACAAGCGGCAGGCATGTCTGCCGGTCCTCTACCTCTTGCGGATGAAGCTAGCAGCTAGACTACTTTCCCAGAGACTCCAATATACCTTAATTAAGGAATATTCCTCAAATTATAGTAGGATCCCTGATATGATTTAAGGAATATTCTTCACTGGGTTCGTACTTTGAATGAAGGAAGCATCGAGCTTTGGCTCCTTCCTTCCCACGGCCGAGCCTGGCCGTAGAACTCTTCGCTGGTGGTGCTGAAGAAGCGCTGGTCGTGATTCTCCTAAGGTCCAGCGAAGACTTGGGGGATGGAAGGTTTGGGGACTTGGGTGCATGGGTCTTGTGGGATTTAGGCTTTAGGCCTTCGAGGCGGAGGCAGACAGGCGCATCATTTCTTCCGGGAAGCTTTCACGTTGCGACGTCCGGAATTTCGCAGGACGACGTCGTGTCAAATTGTTGCACGGGCAATAACCAGCGCGTGATTGAGCTCGCATAGGCTTGACCCCCGTCGCGGCATGAAACTTTCGTATGTTCTTGCAAACTCTACGGCCGGAAGCCAAGAATCAACAGCTCTCCTGAGTCTCTTAGAGCCTGACCAGGCGTACGACATGATATTATGCCTGAGTGAGTAGTCCACAACCGAACCCTCACAATCAAGCACCGGATCCTGAATGCTATCTTCTCAAACGCCCAAACATTGAAATCCCAGACTGCACCAGGTGGATCCTAAGCCCATGCTCACAATCAACCCCGGAACCCTAAATACTGTTCGCCCAACCCTCTTAAATGGGAATCCGAACCTCAACACCCCTCCAACCCACACCCTTAAAGCCTCTAAACACCCAAAACCGCCAAAAACCCTCCCAAACACAGATCCGGAGTCTTCCCCTAAACCCCATAAACCCTAAAGGCCCTAAACCCCTTGAGGCCCGAAACCCTATACCCTAAACCCCAAGCCCTAAACCCCTACAATCTTCCCGTCCTCGTGACGGTTGAGCCCGGCTCCAAAGCCGCTTCGCGGCCCCGGCAGCTCCCTCTGCTCCTGGGAAGTCGCCGCGGCGCGGAATTTCTTTCCCCTTTTTGGGAGTTTTGGGTTTAGGGGTTTAGGGGTTAGGGGGTTAGGGGTTTAGGGGTTTAGGGGTTAGGGGGCTAGGGGTTTAGGGGTTTAGAGTTTAGGGTTTTGGGGGGTTTAGGAGTTTACAGAGTTCTGTAAGCCTGTAACCTTTTCTCCAAGGTGTAGGACCTGAATTTCTTTCCCTTTTGTTGAGCTTTAACGGACTTTTTGAAACCTTTTCTCCAAGGCTTGGGGACTAGGGCTTGAGGGTTTGAGGGTCCAGGGTTTAGGGTAAACGGCTTCATGTAAGGGTCGCTGAGGTTGTAAGGTTCTAATCTAAAGATTCCATAGGACGCTCGGCTTCTCATGTTGCCTCCACGTTTGCAAGAACATATTTACTAAACACCAAGTTCACAGGTAGACCGGTCTTTGGGCATTGCTTCCAGGGCAGAGGCTCTGTAGACGCCCAGGGTTTGAGCGCTAAGGCTTCGGGGCATAGCCCGAGGTTTTTTGCATCCATGGTGCAAGGCTGGCAGTGCTGAGCTTTGTGTTTAGAGTCCTGCTTTCTGGACACACAGAAGACACCTACAGGGAGAATTTCTGAAACATGCTCACGCTTTGCCCAGTGCAAGCTCACTTACATCGCACCCGATGAAACGCAGAATCTGAAGCCGAAACCGCAGCTCTCGGCTTTAGCCCGCTCTTAATCCCCGTAGCAGTTGTGGAACCTCAGCCTGAGCTCCAAGCCGGCGGGCAGACGGGAGCGTTCTCCGTCGTGATCATGGCCGGGGCCTTACTCGAAGGTTCATGGACTGAGGGTTTAGGGATTGAGGAGTCTTGTGGTTTAGGGCCATTGGGTACGTAATCAGAAATCGGGTTGGAAGTGCCACGAATAGAAGTTTTTCTAGAACAACTTATCCCTTGCTGAACCACCAATAGAAAACGTTAGTTCCAATATTTTCTAATGGTTTAGGACCCAACGGAACCTTGATGTTCATAGAACTCCATTACGATATATTGAGAAGGTCTGAAGAGAGGTTCGTTGCATGGGTGCCTCCGGGCTCTTTGCTGAAACACGGTCTTGGTAGGTCGGGACTCGCTGTGAGGCATTAGGAGTTTGGATCTTGATCGGCGAGTGAGAAGGCGGGGGCAGCGGCTGTCCAGGCTCCAGGATTAGCACTAGGCCTGGCAGCTTAGAAGGCAAGCGGGAAGCGTAAGCTTCGAGCCTCGCCGGTGACTATCTTTGTAGGAACTTTGTAGTTACAAGGAACCGTAGTGTTCGTTTCCACAAGGGCTTGGGGAAAACGGCTCCCGAATCCAGGACATGTTCCTAGTCGCAGCTTAGGACTTGCTGGCAGGGGCTGGGGCGAGAATGCGGCGAGGAACAAAAAAATCTAAAGTCGTGAAAGGCTGAGGGCGACAGCCACCTGGTTAACAACTGACCAAGCACGAACCTAGGCAAAGCAATAAGAAGAGTGTAATTGGGCTACGCCAAGCTATTCTGCAGCTAAGCCTTGCTGCGACCAGAGATGATCTTGACAGGTGGGATCCCAGACGACAACCATGCAGACTGTATACACGCAATGTCAGAGGTTCCGGGAGTAGGACTTAAGTTGCGGGCTCGGGGTTAAGCCTGAACTTACAGACATGTACACTTGAACAACCTTGGTCCCGGGCGATGGCTTTGCCTTTGCCCCAATCATTCCGACTCCTGCGGCGGCTGGGGACATCAGAAGAAAACATTGCTTGCAGAAGTCCCGCAGCTCCACTTGGAAGACCCCCCCTACATTTCCGCACATGAAAACATTGACTCAGATTCCTGCGGGTAACCGTGTGGACTCAAACTTGCATTGAAGGGAAAGCACGATCACAGTATGGATGGTTCGCAGAACCGTAACATTCCTACGACAGCACCCCCGCTGTGACGGCAACTCTGTTTGTTCCGACAGAAAACCTGTCGTGAATCGGTACTTTAGCTGTGTCACTTGGCTTGAATTCTTCTTTCACCCTTGTTGTTGAACTATCACGGAAGTAGGGGACAACAACTGACTGCGTAACCCACGTATGCGTATTGGGCACATGCAGTGCTGGAACTTTTTGCTCAGGAAACCGCCGCTCAAAGTGCGTGTCCGTCAATGACATGACTTTGGCAAGCTTCCTGGAGCAGCTATTCCTTTGTAGAACATGCAAACGATGACGCAAACGAGCGAAGCTGTAGCCGAGCATCGGAGGGTGGTATACAATCATGGCACAAACCTCGCTAGATGAGAAGGAATCTTGCAGAAACCGCAGCTTGGGCCACAAGTTGCCCCGGACACTGTAGCCAAGGAGCATGGGAAACGCTGCAATCACTCTAGCCACTTGCGGTTGGCTCAGTCCCACATCTTGAAGCCACGCGACGGTAGGCTTAAGATTGGCCTCGATGCTGCATCCCAAAACTTGAGGCATTGCAGCTATGACTTTAGCCACTTTCGGTTGGCTCAGTCCCACATCTTCAAGCCACGCAACGGTAGGTTTCAGATTCGCCTCGATGCTGAGGCCCAAAACTGCAGGGCTTGCAGCTACGACTTTAGCCACTTGCGGTTGGCTCAGTCCCACATCTTCAAGCCACGCAACGGTAGGTTTCAGATTCGCCTCGATGCTGAGGCCCAAAACTTGAGGCATTGCAGCTATGACTTTGGCCACTTGCGGTTGGCTCAGTCCCACAACTTCAAGCCACGCGACAGTAGGTTTAAGATTCGCCTCGATGCTGAGGCCCAAGACTGAAGGCATTACAGCTATGACTTTGGCCACTTGCGGTTGGCTCAGTCCCACATCTTCAAACCACGCAACGGTAGGTTTAAGATTGGCCTCGATGCTGAGGCCCAAAACTTGAGGCTTAGCAGCTATGACTTTGGCCACTTGCGGTTGGCTCAGTCCCACATCTTCAAACCACGCAACGGTAGGTTTAAGATTGGCCTCGATGCTGAGGCCCAAAACTTGAGGCTTAGCAGCTATGACTTTGGCCACTTGCGGTTGGCTCAGTCCCACATCTTCAAACCACGCAACGGTAGGTTTAAGATTGGCCTCGATGCTGAGGCCCAAAACTTGAGGCTTAGCAGCTATGACTTTGGCCACTTGCGGTTGGCTCAGTCCCACATCTTCAAACCACGCAACGGTAGGTTTAAGATTGGCCTCGATGCTGAGGCCCAAAACTTGAGGCTTAGCAGCTATGACTTTGGCCACTTGCGGTTGGCTCAGTCCCACATCTTCAAACCACGCAACGGTAGGTTTAAGATTGGCCTCGATGCTGAGGCCCAAAACTTGAGGCTTAGCAGCTATGACTTTGGCCACTTGCGGTTGGCTCAGTCCCACATCTTCAAGCCACGCAACAGTAGGTTTCATATTCCCGTCGATGCTGAGGCCCAACACAGAAGGAAACATCGCAATAACTTTAGCCACTCGCCCGTGGTTCAGGCCCACATCTTCAAGCCACGCCAATGTGGGCTTCATTCTGGTCTTGATGCTGCAACCCCATATAGCCGGAAATTTACGAGCAAGAAGTTCTGTATCCACTGAAGGTAGCTCTGCTTGAAGAAACGTCTGCATGTTTGCACGCTTGGCCTCCTTGTCGGTGGTGAGGACAGCCTTGCACACAAACTCGTGTGACTTGTGAAAGGCATGGCTTCCTTCGTCGGCTTCGAAGAGTCGTAGTCGCTCGTAAACTTCCGGAAGCATTTCGTCTTTCAGCTCCCTCAACACGGCCTGCACTGTCTGGACAACAGCTTTCAACAGCGACGGTTTGTGGCCTGCGCGCCAAACATCCACTAACACCTCCAACCGGCCATCCAAGCCTCCGAACTCACGGGCGGAGTGGCCAAGTCGCAGTACTCGCGAACCCTCCGGCGCGTATCTCAGCAGAGCTTCCGTTTTTCGTGCATCAGCTTTGCAGCCCTGTTCGTCACAGTGCCGGTAGTGCCCATCATACTCCACAAACAAAGCAGCACCTTCCTTTCTCAACACGCCATACGTGGACAGATCCGGGCAGAGCCAGCGTGAGCCCCATGTCTCTGAAGGCTCCACCGGAAAGTCCCGGAAGAGCTCCTGAATGGGTTTCTCCGGCATCACGAGCACCGCCAGGTGAGACAACAGCTCCACCTCTGCCGTGCTGCGATGTACCGCGCGAGGCCTTCCTTTCTTCCACCACCAAGGCCCAGTGCAAGCCGCGATGCCCCAGGCAAGGAAGGACAACAGCAGCATCTTCCCACAACATTTCCACGAGCCCTTTCGACGGCTCATGTTCCCTTCAGGCGGCTGGAAGGTGTCAAGGCTGCATAGCAGGGCAGATGACACGTGCAAACCGATTGCATCAACCGTTCTGACAAGCCCTACAATAGCATCCCATATCTGCACGGCAGGATGTAGATGCCAAGACGGGCACAGCCAGCCCAGGAAGCTGGACTTGGTGAACCCCGGAGAGACGACTTGAAAAGCATGCTTTGGGCCTTGGCTATTACTTCACCCCAGCAAAGATGCCTTAACTGCCACCTTTTGAACTGCTTCCTTCCTGGGAAACTTTCTAAAATCCCCGAACTGCAAAGAAACAGAATCACAGATTGCAAAGGGTCCTAGGGTCCCGGAAGTCTGCGCCGTTTGTGGTGGCCTGCACAGAGATGTTGGCGGAGAGGGTAGGGAAAGGAAGGACAAGTGGCAGGAAGGGAGGGCGGAAGGTCCGAAACGAAGGGCGTACGACAACTGCAGTGGAGTGTAGTGTTTTGTGCTTCGGGGGCTGCGGTGCAGATTGATGTGGCGGTGCTCCTTCAGCCCCACAAGGAATGCCTCCGGAGACAGAAAACGACCTTTCCTGACAGCCTCAAACCTGTGAAAACCGAAAGCCCCATCGGTGGTGGACGTCTGAAACCCGAGATTCGCATATTGGCCAAAATCGATCAGACCTGTCTCGACGACACAAGTTGTGAGCGGGATGCACTCCAAAACGGACTCCCTGGTAACTCAAAGCCCAAACTCCGGCAGAGCCGACAGCAGGCAGTTTTTCACTCGCGGCAATGCTTGGGATACACAGCAAGCCCCAAAAAACTCTGCAGGTGCTTCTCTTCTTGCAAATCGAAAACGGCTAAAGCGGGTTGTGGAGGGCGGGAATGGCTTACAAGACGTTCTAGGATTTTTTAGGGTCCGAGGTGAGGTCGATATGTGCGCTGGTTTACAGTAGGTTTCCCGAGCCTGTTTGCCTACCGACTACCTCCCGAAACCCAAAAAAAACCAAGGCCCGAAGACCCGATGTAAACCCTTCAAACTCTTCGTGTCTCCTTGAAGGGATGAACCCTTGGATGAATGGCCGCCTGTAGGTCCCAGAGAAGGTATGCTGGCCCTTTACATCCACTGAAAATATTCGTAAATGCGATTCCGATCCTCTTAACTAATCCCGCAACAGGGAAAAATCGAAGATGTCCCAAAGGCCTAGTTAGGAAAGTATGGGGCTCGCCGTGCTCTCTGCGTGACGCCGGAAGGTCTCGGACCCTGAAGCGCTTTGGGGACTCGGCAGTCAGTGGGCCTTGGCGCCTCCTAAGCTCGGGCTTTGGGTTTAGAGTTTAGGGTTTAGGAGTTTAGGGTTTAGGGCTTAGGAGTTTAAGGTTTGGATGTAGGGTTTAGGGGTTGGGGGTTTAGGGTTTTGGTGGCTGTTAGGGGTTTCTGGGGTTTGGGGATTGGGATCTTAGGCGCGGTTTCTTCCAGGTTAGCTGAGGGCCTTTGGGGTTTCAGCGCTCACCTTGCCCACGGAAGCCGAGATGCTCTCCGAATCCTCCGAAATGCCTTAACTCAACGACGAGTCAATGCTTTAAAGGACGATGGACAGAGTTCCTCAATTGATGCTATGTCTGTGTGGAGTACTCTTCAGGCGCATACAACTTGCTCCCACAGGCTACTATTATTCACAAGGAGTGTAACATGATCTCAGCATCCACCTCTTCTCAACTGTTTCTTGTGAAAAATACCGTGCAGTTCAAGGTCCTCCCTGAATTACCACATTTTGGAAGATTCGGGTTTTCTGTGGCAGTGAAACAGAAGTCATACCGCCGGGCGAACAGCAGCTGCTGCCGTCTTAGGGTCCGCCGGGCGAAGGACCTGTGCCAAACCAGGATGCGAGGCTTTTCAGGGAAGTTGGTTCAAAGGCTTCGAAAAGGTGTTGAAGCAGAAGCTTGCACTGCCTGGTAGCACAGGCGTACTGTGCGATTGTTGAATACTGAGAGTGGCTTGGCTGGAGGATGGTGTCCGAACATGACTGTTTACAATCTTTGTCGGAAGCGGTTCAAAGCCCTCAAGGCCAACAGCTTTAACCAACATCCACATGTTAATCGGCCTCCCGAGGAACTACTCGCCGATCAACTTCACGAGGAGCTCGTCGACTCGGCTCTTCACCTCCTCGGCAATGACGGCTGCTTTTTCAGGATCCGGGTTCAGGGGCTCGTGGATCCAGAGAGACCACTATGCACCCTAAGTCCTACCTTGCAGAAGCTCTGAATCTGAAAAGCTGAAAATTGCATAGAGCCCTCTATAGTCTTGGACCCTCATCTGTTGCTTTCGCAAAGTCTCGGCTCAACGGTATGTGGCTTGCGAAGGTTTAGGTTTGATGAGAAATGTTGAACACACCAGGAGCTTAAACCTTGCGAATCCTCAACACCGAAGATGAACCCCGGAGTCTCCGGACTTCTACCTGGAGCCCCCAACGCTACAAGCTGGCATGAATCACAGCTCCGACTTTGAATCGGTCGCTGAACGACTGCCTTGAAACCTGCAGCGAAAACTGCTGCCGGAGCACACCCCATTGGAACGTCTTGTCGTCTACCAGGCCATTCACCTGCGTTGGGTGCACATGGGCAGTTCTCTACATGAGGATCGCTTTTTGGGTCCTAAACCAAAAGGAACCATAATTTAGAGAACTATCCACATCTTGCGATCGGTCACGGAGATGAAGCTGAGAGCAGGCAAAGGTTCAGATGCCTGGATACATCAGACGAGAAACCCAGTGCAGGCGACATGTCTCGAGGAATCTGCTGGAGTTGGCTGTTGCGACTCTTCGGGGTTTCAGGCTTTTGGTGGCCACTGATGGAAGAACCACAGCCCGGTCCAGTTGTGCCCTGTACAAGGTCAAGATTCCCTATACAACTTCTAGTTGTGGCTGAGAGATACTGACAGATCCGCATTCCCCCTACACCATCCCAAAGAATTGTCGGAAGTGTTCTCGCTTAGGGAGTAAAGGCGTGCTGAACCCAATACATGGAGCCAGCGAAAGAGACCGAGAGAAAGATGGGGAAAGCTTCATCTAGACCTGAATCCCAAATCCCCAAACCCCGAGACTCCTGCTCGCTTTTTCTCAGAAACGCCGTGACAGCAGACTTCTGATCTTTTCTTTGGGCTCTCTCACACCGCCTCAGCAGCCGTTTGACAGGTGTCAGGTCAAGGGTGAAGGTATGTGGCTGTGCTGCTTGTTCGCAAACGCAGGGAAGGACGCTTGTAGAACTTTGGTACAGGCCAAGCCTACACAAACCAAAATTCTTGTGGTACTGAGTCCCCCAACGATCCGCCAAAAGCTTGAAAAGCTTGTCCTGGCAGCATGCCCGGGCACACTTGGGGGTCTCGGCGTTTGGGTCAAGATTCGGGGACGAAAAGGCCAGTCTAAGTTTGGCTTCATAAAGACCTCAAATAGAGATATCGCGAGTGGAACCGACTTACAAAGATTTTATAAGCTACTTACCAGCTCTCTCCAGCTGCTGATCATGCCCTCTACGAGTTGCCTACAATGATTGCCCCTCAAGCCCCACCCCTGGCCTGGAACCCTTTATCTAGGGAACCTGGATCACCCCTGTCTTCTTTAAACACTCGGTACCCTAAACCCCAAACCCTACACCCTGATCCCTAAACCCTAACACCCTAAACCCTAAACCCCAACACCCTAAACCCTAAACCGCATCTGTCATTGAACTCAAGAACTCTGCCGCAGAAATCTTGCACTGTCCTAACGTAGAGGCTGGACTCCCTGCGACCCCAGGTGAATTTACAGCTTAAGGTAAACAACTGACCGATACACTCAATTTCTTTAATGATCGCTATCCTTATCCTTGGTAGGGGCGGGGAGGGGAGTGCATGATGCCACTTCTTCAGTGCCACTGGAGAAGCCCTGAAGATCATCGCGACATTCTTGCCCTCTTATCTTCTAGTAATCTGTGGCGGCTCACGTATTGTCCTGAGCAAACCCTAAACTGGAAAGCCCTTCACTGCAGAACGCTATACCTGGAACTTGCCTTAAACCCCAAAACTCAGACGCAGAATCTGCGGGACTTTTAAAACTCAACCCCCCCACCCACCCCCCGAAAGATCCGGAGCTGCGACCTGCACCTCTTCCGCTGACAGCGTCCTCCAGTGCGGATTAAGCTTAGAGGACTAGAAGTTTAGGAGACCCTAAACCCCTAAACCCTAACCCCTCCCCTAAGCCCTAAAGTCTACAGTAAACTCGAAGCGTTCAGCCCCAAGCCCGAAGCTAAGGTTAAGTTGTCGGTGCAAGGCTGCGTGGTTCGGGACTCAGTGCTCCGGCCGAGGGGGCAGCTCTAGTCTTATATAAGAACGAAAAAGATCCGAACGATGTGTATGACGCTGTGTTGAACGATAGCGGACCCTTCATTAGCACCTCAAATAATACCAAAGCGAATAGCACTGCAGGACACCGGCATCACCCTGAAACAAACTCTACTAACACTGAGCCCCGCACAACCCAGGAGGCGGCTGCAGCTGCTCGCCTGCCTGCACAGCACGACGTGGGTGTGCCTCTAAGGCCTATATGGTTTAGACTGATTTAGGGTTTAAGGCTTAAGGCAATCCACTGGACTAACTTCAAGGTTGTTGCACAATTGAGCAACGGACGGACAAACCTTCTTGGGAGGGGTTCAGCCTAAACCCTAGACCCTAAACTCTAAACCGGGACGGTGCTCGAATCGAATGGCCATGCGAGACGGGACCGTGGGAAAGACCAAGCTGGACCGGAAGAAAGTAGCTATGGCGCTACAACTACTGCTGATGATAAAAATCCTGCAGCACCTTAAGGACCCTTGACTATGGGAATTATGGTATATTCCTTTAAGGAATATACCATGATATAATTCCTGCATTACCCATAATAAGGCTTATTATGGGTAATTCAGGGTTTATACCATCAACCGTAGGAAGCTGCTTGACGCAGAAGCGACTTCCGGGTTGTGGGGTTGAACCCAGAGACTCCAATATCCCTTAATTAAGGAATATTCCTTAAATCATATTAGGGATCCTACTATAATTTAAGGTATATTCCTTAATTAAGGGATATTGGAGTCTCTGGGAAGGCTCATGCAGCTACGATCAGAGCGCCCTTGCTCAGATGGTTGAATGTTACGAAGTACCCCCCTTTGTTGCAAGAAGGTCAGGCATGCAAACAGTATCTATTTGTCTGTTTTCTGCTAGAAACCAAGATACAGACTTCTTTTTCGAAAGTAAAACCAAAATTAAAATACAGACTTCTTTTTTAAAAAGTAAAACCAAAATACAGACTTTAAAGTAAAAAGCTGCGGCCGAGAAGCGGAACCGAGGCGCGGGAGCATCCACCGCACAAAGGCGGCGACCTGCTTCGCCTTCCAACCGGTCCGGAAGGCGCTGGGGTTAGGGTTTAGGGTTTAGGGGTTTAGGGGTTTAGGGGTTTAGGGGTTTAGGGTTTAGGGGTTTAGGGTTTAGGGTCCGCCGGGCACTTGGTGACAATGCTAGCAACTAATGATCATAATGGTGGTAATGTTGACAACTATATGCTGAGAGTGATGGCAACTAGTAACTGCTGCGGCAAGGTAAAATACGACAACATGCTCTAAGATGCACGAGAAAATCAAGATTCTTGAGGAGAATAACAGTAAGTGAACACAGCATAAGACTACATGGCAGGTCAACGGTCTACTGGGGTTGGAAGTGAATCATATTTAGAAGCCTCTGAGAACTTTCTCTTCGTAGGTACGTAGCAGGAGCCTTGGAAGGATCGCGATTCAGTTCTGGCACTTGGCCTTCACAGCACAGGGGTTTTGATCGTGGGGCTTGCGGATTGAGGGATTAGAGGTGTATCGATATGTATGGTTCATGGGGTAGTCATGTGTAGATCGACCTGTAGATCTCAAGAACTCAGCGTTTCGGGTCGTGTTCTACCACTGAAAGCTTGCAATGACTCGACAGGCTCATGCAGATTGACCTTAGGCATGTGGCCCCCCTAAACCCTAAACCCTAAATCCTAAACCCTGAACCGTGGCCCCGAAATGCTAAGCCTGAGGAACACTCGAACCTGAATGCAAAGAGAGCCTCAAAAGGAGGCACTGCAAAAAGTCCGAAGTGCTCGATGCCAAAATCTCGGAACCCTGAAGCTCTGAAAACTACAGACCCTACCTACCTGTTTTGAGTTTGGGGTTTAGGGTTTAGGGTTCTAGGATTCGGATCTGTAGTAGAGTAAACCTGAATCCTAAATCCGAACCGCTTAAAACACTGAACGATAAATCCCTGAACCCTTGTAGTAACCCCTCTGACACCCTTTAAAGGACCCCCGAAAGGAGCCCTTAAAGGAACCCTTGAAGCAGCCTCCGCGGAACCCAAGGGATTCTCCGATCCAGCCTTAATGGGCCGAGCTTTCGTGCAATCCTCTTCCCCCGGCGCATCCGGGAAGTGCTTGCCGATGTACTCCTGGTCGCGCTTTTTCGGCTTAGGGTTCCTTAAAAATTTCCTTTCCAAGGGGTCTATAAGGATTACTATAAGGGGTGGGGGGCGTATATAGGGGCGTATATAGGGGCCTTAATAACCAGAATAGGTTTTTGGGGCACATTACACTATACCTATCTATAACCACAAAAGAGAACCCTAGAAATCTGGTCGCGTTCTTTCGGGCTTAGGGCTCAAAACTCATGCACTTCTTTAGGGTGCAGGGTTCAAGGTTTAGGGTTCAGGGCTGATCCATTTCTGGGCCGGGCTTCTAGGACTCAGGGCCTACGGCTTTGCAGCGGTTGTGCGGTGCGAGGATCTGTTTGGCTCAGCTTTTCTCGGATCGTAAGACTTTGTAGGGGCTGTGTTTATCGCTTTATGCTGTCTAGGATGTCGAGTTTAGGGATTTGGTAGGTTGGGGTTTTAGGGTTCACTTTTATGGGAACGATCGACCGACGAATTGAACAACCTAGTGGTTTACCGTGCAGTTACGCGCTCGAATGGGAGCTACGCACTGTCGACAGTGGCGGCTGCTCTCGAAGTTTCAGTTAGCCTACTTGCTGAACCTGAGCACAACTGCAGTTTGATGCAGCGGGAGAACCCTAATATAGACCACAGAAATACATTCGAACCCGTGTCATCTTTTCAATAAACCCAGCAAGAGATCCCTTGTCGCAACAATATCGTAAGCTTAGGCATGGCATCTTTGGGAGGGGTCGAGCTCTCGAAGATCACTTCGCAAACGCCAAACTTTGCACAACACTGGAAGCCCGAGAAAATCATGTAAAACCCTGAAAAGCTTCTAAACCCTTTCGGGAAAATCTGTCCTAAACCCTGAACCCTAAGTCCCAAACCCTGAAGCATCCGTTGTTTTCTCAAGGGTCCCTCCTCGATGTCGCGCATGAGCACAACATCCTCGCATCTCGGGCCGACCCCGTAGCCTCAGCTCTGACAAGGGAGTTTCCGAAAATTAGAGGTACCTCTAAAGGGACCCTTTTAGGGTTCGTCAGAGGGATCTATATATGAGGGTTCTATAGAGGGTTTAGGGTTTAGAGTTTCCGAAAATTGCAGGTACCTTAGTTTGGGGTCCTTAATAACAAAGACCCTATTTCGGAAACTCCCACAGCTAAAAATCCAAAAGATTCTGGGAGCTTGGGGGGGATCCCTTAATGTAGTAGCCTTAATAATTAGATTAGGGTTTTGGGGCCCATTATACTCTTCTTATAATCATGAACCCCAAAAATAGTGTTGGAAATTAAGAAATCCCCTATATTAACCATGTTGTTCGGTTTTGTAGTCCGGAACAGATTGCGGAATGATTTAGATCCGGCTGCGTATTCAGACCCTAGTGACCGAAGCTCTTTGGGCTCTGGATGTGGGGTTCAAAGATCCCAAAGACTCCCCCTCCGCTTCCTTAAGCCTAAATAAAGCCCACTTCGGGACCTAGGGTTTAGGACTTAGGGTTCGGGGATCTCCAGACCCGCCAGAAGCCAGTTTAGATTAAACCACTGAACAAAATGTTTAAGGCGCAGAATCGGTCGGGCTTTCCCTTAAAAGAGCAGCAGAATTAGTAAGACAGCGAGAAGGAGAGCTGCAAGCCTGGTGTGCTGGAGCTCCCAAACCCTGAACTTGAGAGCCGGAACCCTAATAACACGTAGAAAAGAGCTCGAAAAGCCGGTGAAAACTTCCTTTGTGTCTGCGAGAATGCTGTTGACTGTTTTAGAGGTTTGCGACTTGGGTGATTTGGGATGTTGAGACGAGATGGCTGCTCACTGCTTCTAGAACGCTGCTAGAACTTCGCCACAGCCTCATTGGAGGAAGCCTTGAAGCAGCTGCGATTCTCGTATGAGCTTCTGTCGATAAGTAAAACAGACACAAGGCAACATGTCACCAATAGGGGCCACAAGAAGATTCCTAAAGTAGCACCACATGCCCCCTCTCAGCACAGCCCCACAGCCCTGTCATCCCGAATGCTGACCTTACATCGTCTCAGCACCCGGCTCACCCCGGAGCTCAAGGGGTAGTGCTCAAAGAACCACATGGCCTGGCTGGACTCACCGCTGTGAAAGTTATTGCATGTCGCATCCGGGGCAGACGGCGGGAGTGCTTTGCGACTGCAGGGTCTAAGGAAGTTCTATCCTGAAGCTCCCGTGGAGTCGCGGCGCTGGGCCATCATGTCATTAGGGCTTGTAGGGCTTGACATGAAGACTGTGCCTTGCATGTTGTCTCTAACCTCTGAGGCATGGCGAGGCAAGAGCGTAAAGCTCCCCGGACTAACCGGCCACTCAGAATGCACGAATGCCCACTTCCCTGCAGCAAGCCATGGAGTTCTAACCTTAAACTCGGCTCTGCGCTAGACCCCAAGTGCCGGAACGTAAAAACTGGACGGAAGACAACACTCGTGCTCCAAGTATGACCATCAGACCTTTCGATCCCTGAATGAAACGACTTCGAACGTGCAGGTACCCAGTCCACAACATACCAGCAGCAAGACAACATAAACAACAATGTTCATGCAACGAGGATATATGCCAGTAACCTGATAGTCAACTCTAGTAATCAATCTAGTAACAATTCCAGTAAGAAGCTGCTAGCAGCAGCAGCAGCAGCAGCAGCACAAGCTAGCAACAGCGCAGTTTATATTCGTGCTACTTTGAAGAGCAGGAAGTATAACATCAGTCACAAGGCAGCAAGATGTCCATGAGGGCTGCGCCATAGACGTGGTCTCCGGCGTCAGCGACTGCACGTGGTGCCACCAATATGGCCTCGGTTTACGGGCTGGGGTACACCAGGAAGCCCATACCATGAGCATGGACTGGTTTAACCCTGGGATCCTCGAACCCCGAGTCCCAGGACCTTCAGCCCTGGACCTTGGACAGTATAGGCTCTCCGGAGCCTGAACGAGAAAGCCCCGAAACCCCCTGGGCCCCATGTTTCGGCTGTTTAAGGACCCATCATCATCTTCCGATCTTTGGCTTGAGGTCCAGTCCCGGACTAGTGGGTCGACCCCAACCCCGTCTGGGAAGTAGATTCCCCAAATCGTCAACTAACCTATAATAGGCACCCATCAAAAAGTACGAACTTGGGTGCTCTGCTTCTGAGATCCTTGGAGGGAAAGAGAAGGCAAGGAGGAAGATTTGGAAGAATGCAGCGAAGACAATAGGTTTGCAAATATGGGTGTCCCTGTGACACTAATTACACCCAGCATCAAGATCGATGAATCTGAAATGACTATAGAAAAGCTTCCACCTTCGAACTATCTCCTAAGCCCTTTTCCTTAAGCTTCGAAATGTTCCGGCACCCGCCGATCTACACAGTAATGACGAGGTCCAGAAGCCTGCCCAGACTGGAACATCCAAAGTGCGACATCAGCATCCACCACCCCTAAAGCCCCGAAACCTAAGCCCCTAACCCCTCTGCCACACCCAACTAAACATTACTAGGCCCTTCCGAAGTCCCAAAACCTGAACCCTGAACCTTACTACGTACACTTACACCCTACCTAACCCCTCTGGAGCCCTATAGGCCCCAAAGCCGAAATCCTCGAAACTTGCGGCACTCCAAAAGGGGCTTGCAAACCTGACACCCGGTGTTGCAGTTTAGGGCTTTGAGGGTGTTTATGCGAGGGTTTAGAGTTTAGGCCCTATATAAGCTCTAAACATTTTACACCCTAAACCCTCGACCTGAAACCCTAAACCGTAAACCCCTGAAGCCTAAATAAACCCTACAGTTTAGGGCTTAGGGCTTTAGGGTTTAGTGTAGCTTTCGGGAATCCAGGCGCCCGGCGGTATGTACAAGGCCTCGCCTGGCTCCAGCTCGACCTTCGCAGGGGGTTTGGGCTAAGCACACTAGGGGGGTGTAGGGGTTTTAGGGGTTCAGGGGTTTAGGGGTTCAGGGGTTTAGGGGTTCAGGGGTTTAGGGGTTTATGGGGTTTAGGGGTTTGGGGGTGTAGGGTTTAGGGGTTTGGGGGTTTGGGGGTTAGGGGTTTAGAGATTATGTGAAAAAGTGGTCAGGGTTTAGGATATTGGGTTTAGGTCTTATGGTACGATAGCAAGGCTTCCATGCTTTATGACGCTACGGATTAAGATGCGCAGGCTCTAGGGGTCAAGAATAGAGTTAGAAACACCACTCGGTTGGGAAGAGCCCGAAAAGAGAAAGCGAGCAACAGGCTTCTGAGCACAATGGAACCTGGGCCCTGGTACGAGATCTGCCCAGGGTCGTGGGCCTTTCCTCAAAGAGGCGAGGTATCCCAGATGGTTGCTTGTGGAAAGCCACGGTGGCTTTGACCCTAAACGCGAACCCTTCCTAAGTCCTAAACTCCTAAACGAACCCAAAGCCTCAAAACGCTCTGCTTCAATTCGGAGGCTATTAGGGATGTTCATCCTTCCGTCCTGCGATTCGCCGGCCGGGGCTCCGGCCATGTAGCCCTTGGCATTCTGCCATCCCGGAAAACGATCGCCGTCTGGGGCATCCAGGTCCACCATGCTCCTGCTACGGTTTGGAGAAGATTCGGGGACCTTCCTACCTCACCTCACATCCAGAAGGCTTCTGTGCCCTGGTGCTTGCTACGACGCTTCTCAAAGCCCAGCCCAGACCGTCAAACCTGCAGCCCTGCAGAGCCCCGGGGTCCTAAAGTTGCACCCTGCAACCTAAGGCAAACTCTAAACCAATAAGACAATCTTAGTAGAAAAGTGTAGCCGAGAACACCATATAAAACCCTGAAACCAAATGCTAAAGCTTTGGAAGTCTCTCGAGGATCCAAAACCCCAACACCCTAAGCCCTACCCCAAGTCTTTACCCCAAGTCTTGAAACTGGCCGGGCCCCCTTAAACCCTAAACTCCCGAAGCCCTAGACCCCGAAATCCCAACCCCTGAATCCCTCAAGGGCCTCCGGTCCAGATCGTGGTGCACCGGGAAGGGGTACAAGTGCGGCCAGTCCTCCGTCGGTTCTCGGTTCCTTTTGAGGGTCTCCTTTAGGGGTCTAGGGCCTCGGGTTCCCTTTTCAGGATTCCTTTACAAGTTTGGGGCTAACCCCAAAAGGAACACCAAACCCCTAAGGACCTTGAAAAGGAACCTCAAACCCCTGAAGGAAAATTAGAGGAAACTTAAACCCCTTAAAGGAGGCTTTAAAGGGAACCCCAAATCCCTAAAGGAACCGTTACGGGAACCCTAAAGCCCTAAAGGAGGCCTTCTAAATAATGGTATTTCGGTGTTTCGGGGTTTGGGGCTTTACGGTTCCTTTAAGGATTCCTTTCCGGGTAGTCCTTTGAAGCGAGTGCGCTGCAGGCCTCGGCTGCACCCTGTACGAAGTGCAGCACGGCTGCTCGCGAATTGCAGGGCAGCGTCCCGGCTCCAAAGCCAGAGCGGCAGTCATTTGTCCAGCACATGTCCAGCAGTCCAGCGACCCGCGGCAGGTGATTGCTAAGACGAGACACTCTGCCTTTAGCAACTTCGCAAGTGATTGTGCAGAGAGTGTTCATGGTTCGTCAGAACTCCTAGCACAACCCAAGTAGACCACCTCATCTTCCAGGCATGCCACAGCCAGGGTTCCACTGCCTGGGGAGCAGTCCAAGACTGCTGCCGCTTTCGCGGCGGGGTTGGATCTGGGCATGGGAAGGGGTAGTGTAACGGCGACACTCGATGCTATTGTAGTGCTGCACAGAAGACACAACGGAATGTGGGAGCGGCGCAAAAGTGGCTGCCAGTGGCTGAGCGGAACAGCGGCGCCCAGCGAACAGCTGCGATCGCATTAAGGGTTCCTTTAGGTGTTTGGGGTTCTGCTCAAAAAAGCATCTTTTGGGGGTTTAAAGTTGCTTTAAGGGGTTCCTTTTAGGAGTTTGGGGTTCCTTTGAAAGGGCCTCCTTTACGGGTTGGTTCCTTGTAATGGGCCTCGTTTAGGGGTTTAGGGCTCCTTTCGGACTTTGGGGTCCTTTTGGAAGGTCTAAGGTTCTGTTCAGGGTTGTAGTTTGGGGTTCCCTTTCAAAGGCCTCCTTTAGGGGTTTCAGGTTCCTTTAAGGGTTCCTTTAAAAGGTTTGAGGTTCCATGTAAAGGGCCTCCTTTAAGGGTCTATGGTTCGTGTAAGGGTTCCTTTACGTGTTTGGGGTTCCTCTGTTCCTGCAAGAGTTCCTGGGATTCCTTGTTCAAGGTTCGTTTGGGGGTTCCTTTAGGGGTTTGGGCCTCCTTTAGGGGTTTAGGGTTCCTTCAAGGCATTCAGGGGTTCGGGGTTCCTATTCAAAGGGTGTCCTTTAGGTTTTTAGGGTTCCTTTCAGGGTTCCTCGGAAACATGGGCTTCTTTGAAGGAATCTATGAGGGATCCACAAGAGTTCAGTGCTTTGGGTTTGCCTTTTTCAGGGTCTAGAGTCGTGGGCTTTGGGGTTCATTATAACACACAAGCCCCCAACACGGTTGGTCTAACTATTCAGGCTTGTATACTCTGGAAACAATGAGCCTTAAACTCAATAGGTTTTGGGTCTTGGGTTTTGGAAACCCTAAACTCCTAAAAACTAAAACAGTAAACCCTACACCCCTAAACCCTAAACAGTAGATTTGGGGGTTTGGGTTTGGGGGTTGTGGCCCGGCCTCTGGGGGAAAGAGGATGAAGCGCTTGCGCCCCGTGAGCTGCACGTGCCTGAAACGACTACTTGGATCGGGAAACTTAGTAAGTACTTGGAACTAGTAAGCAGGGTTCTAAGTGAGGTCAATATAGTTGCATCTACTCTTAATCCTAATTCAGGTGCTTAAAGCCCTACTTACCAAGTCCATTGAGCCTCTAAGTAAGGCTATAAGTACCTTAAATGGGGCTTATAATTCGGTGTAACTTTAGCTACTTACTTATGAGCCTACTTACGAAGTCCAATGATCGTGCAAGCAAGGATCAGGGTGAAGAGCTCTGAGGCTCAGGGCTCTGGGTCTTTGCGCTTTCGGGTTTAGGGATCCGGGCTAGGGGTTCTAGGGGCCCTCAAGTTATTGGTGAATTCCAATTTGTGGGTTTGGTCTTCGTGGTGCTTGGGTGGGCTTGCCTTGGGTTTGGGGGACCGTGGGCTACCATGATGGACTTGCAAGGGTGCATTCCGAGCAGCTCTGTTTTTTTTCACGCGGGCGCTTCCAATTTGTATGGCGTTCTGGCCGATCAGGCGAATGCGTGGAATGTATGCAAGTCTGTGCGAGTATTGCACAAGCAGACAAACACAGACATGGATAGAGACAGGGGGAAGAAAGGAGAAAGAGCCTGCAGATGAATTGGCCGGCCTACCTTCTGCGAGGCGACCACCTCTAGGGACTCGTCGTTTGGTGTGCTGAATATTTGCGCAAGACGCGTATGCCGGCAAGCGCCACCAAGAGCAATCGGAAGGCAGTGACACAGGTGAGGAGGCATGGCCCACAGGGCGGAAGCTGCCGTGCCGGACAAAACGACAACAATATCGCAACGGTATATAGCGTTTCCATGGCTGGAATCGAAGGTGTGCGTGCTGGGGAGACGACCACTCACTTGTTTCAACTGTTGCATGCTCTATAAGCAGGGCTGCGCTTTTTTCCGTGGCCATGCGCACGCAGTGCTTTGCTTCTGCAAGAGTGATTGAGATTTGACTCGGCTGCAAGGGTTCCAGCCTAAGGCATCGAAGGTGTTGGCGGGCTTTGAACAATTCACTATTCGGAAGCGGCGGATCTGCCTAGGAGCGCGAAGCGGCCGTCAGACCGCAGCACCGGGTCTTCCCTGTTGGGCAAGTCGATCAACCCATGCGCTGGCAATTTCAGAAACTGCCTGCCAACGGTCTTGACGGCTTCTGCTAGGGCCGTGAAGGAAGCCAGAAGAACAAGGTGGTGCAATTCTTGTCGGCCGCCTGAAGCTACTTGCTTACCAAGCGTTGCCACCAAAGCCATCCTCATTACCAGTCGCATGGTCTGACTCTACACTTGCATCCTGCTGCCTGGGCATACGCTGCCAACCAACTGGCACACAAGACCTGGCCATCGTCAGTCAAACCCGGGTCGGTAAGCTCGTATTCTCCGAAGTTGGGATATAATCGCGGTAGCCCCCAGCCGCCCCGGGCAACGCTGGTCTCTATCATGCAAAAGTAGAAAGGCCAGAAATGATGAAATTCAGCAAGTGTCGCGCGGTGGGCGCGGCTTCACTGCAGTGCTTCCTTCAACTCTTGGCCCTTTTTGTCGGGTAGGTGAGCCAGGCGACCTTTCATGTTCAGCCACCTGTGCGCGTAGCCCCCTGCACGGATGGATTCCGCGAAAACGGATCCCCGCGCGCTTTCTATGGAACATGCCCAGTCACCGTGGACTTGCCGGACATTGGGGCCGGCTTGCAAAGGAGACTGATATTGCAGCTGGAGTTCGGAGAAAACCTGAAAAACAGTTGAAATGCGTGCACCAAGAAGGCAGCCTTCTGGCTGCTTGTCTACAGGAGTCGTACTTCTTCGGCAGGAGGCAAAAAGGCATGACGCGCCAATGTAAAAAAGATCCTTCCAGGTGGCACCGGTGCGAACGTGGGGTTTTTCCAGCAGGACGAGTGAGCGCAGCAGCACAGGTGGGGTGAGCACCGCCGTGAAGGCTGGTGTGCCGGAGTCTGGAGTCTAGGGTGTATTTGTCATGGCGAACACAGTAGAGCTGATGAATGAGTCCCGGGTCCTCAATCTGCTGGCGTTGGATGTCATCACAAAAAGCGACACAAGCAGTTTCCATGGCATCCAGGATATTCTGGTCCGTAAACTCTATGCGACAGTCGTGATGTTCGTCCTCGGGAAGTCGCTTGTTTTCTTGCGAAAACTGTTGGCTCGGTCCTTCTTTTGCTGCTTAAAGGGGGGGCTCTCCTCCACGGCATTGACAGCAACCAAGCGGCCAAGCGCTGCGCGCACACAAAACGAGGCAAGACGCGACCGCTGTTCCTGGGTTACCAACCCACAGGACCGGCAGACCGGCGCACCTTTCAAATAGGGTTGGCAGCACCTTGAGCCTTGGAAAAAACACCATGATGGCTCCCCTAAGACCTAGACCCGAAACCTTAAACCCGGAGCCTAAACCGCAAACCCACAGCCCTGCAGCTAGCAAGCAGGTAAGTTTCTATTCCTTCTTGGGTTTAGTTAGATACTCATAAAAATCTGGAATGATACCCACCCATGACAAAGTGTTGGGGTTTAGGCTTGTGATGCCGCCTTCCACGAACCGCTCTCTGAGGGAGCCACAGATTCGGCTGCAGGTCGTAGTGACAGTGGTAGAGCCTGAAACTGGGAAAAAGTGTGCTCGGTTTTTTGCGGTAGTTAGATCTGAGATAAGCAAGCTGTGTTACGAATCAACATTGCGAGCGGGCCCGGTTTCAAGTACAATTTTCCTTGAGGGTCGTCAGTGCAAACGGAATCCATGACTCGCTTGCCAAGTTCCATGGTCCATTTTCCCCAACGAAAAGACCAAAGCCCAATTAGGGGACCAGCATGGCCACAAAAAAAGAAGCGCAAACATGCAGAGGGGCCTCAACATC